CAAGATACTCATGGACACAAAAAATGTGACTGGGACATTTTCGAATGCATATAACACACCTTTAAATCAGAGCAGAGATCTAAACAATCCATGGGGTCTCTTTTAACTGGTCTTTTATCTGTTTACACAAATTACAGAGCCTTTGTCAAACTAAATTTACATACTTATAACGGATGGGATATTCATTTAATTTTCCAGACACTTTCCTGCCATGGTATAGAAACAGGATCTCACTTGATTATATGTGTTTAACTTGTAAGTGATTCTTAAATTACACGGTTACATCACTACCTCTACATCAGTAAGGGAAGTCCATTCAAATATAGGTTCAAGTTCAATGATTTATAATTCAATTAATGTCACCAATTACATCACGATTACAGTGAAACGTAACGTAGCTATGCAGCATTGAAACAAATTACTGTCAGTTGATTCATTTACAACAATAACTGCAACAGCTGGAACCCAACGTTAAGCAGATATATCGTATAATTTCTGTCCCCTCCCATTCAACGAGATTGTTTTGACAAGCGGCCATGATGAAAATCCAGGGATAAGGCCTGATGGCTTCAAAAGTTGACACTTGTCAAAAGGCCCTCATCTTTATCGCCAAAACAAAAAAGTATATTCTGTGCCATGTCTTTCATCAATACATGCTCTACAAATAGCACAATTTATAAAAATTATGTTAAAAGAACCGTTCAAGGTCCTGCGAATACCAGTTTAAGTGTCACCCACCTGGACCAGCTCCACGCCACACTGCGACAGTGTAACCCTTGACCCACTTTTCATTGTATTGATTGGTTGAAAGTTTTGATAGGTCAGGTGCATAACCTCAGCGTTCTTTCCCTGGGCGGCGAAAATTTGTAAAAGGGGCGCGTTGCATTTATTTATTTATTTAATTTTTTTAGTAAATACGTCATCTACAGCTACCTTAATTTCAACTTCAACATTTTCACATTAAAAAGACTTAAAGACAAAAATGAAAAAGAAGCGCATGTTTTTGGTCATGCGGACAACCAAGTTTCACTTTCAGCTGATATTTTGAGGAATACTGTTATGGGTAAAGGGAAGAATATTTTTAATGAAATGTTTCATTTAAACAGATTTTAATCAGGATTTTTTAAAATACTTTTCCATTAATATAATGTTCCAAGCCAATTTAAAACTCTCTAAAATATTTTCTAAACAAAGGGCATATTAAATTCATACAATAAAAATAAACACAAAGCTGGCTTTATTTTGATGGAAATAATTATCTTAGATTGTATATGTGCCCAACTATGTTACCAAAATTTTATGAAGTTTTGAAATTGATCCCCGAAGATAAAAAAATGTATCCTAAACATTCTGATTNATCAGAATAAAAGCTATAACTGCTGTTTTTGTGGTAAAACAGAATATATTATATTTCTATGAGTTATTCACAAGGTTTTTATTGTGAAATATAGGTCTCATACAAAGAGTTATTATGCCTTTAAGTTAATCTGTCCAATACAGAAACTATTCAAACTGACAACCAATTGCTTTAAAGAAAGCTTAAAGCTTCTCTAGCTGTGTTTTTACGCATGTACCCAAACAACCATTGAATGGATGAAAAATATTAATAACTATTATTCTAAAGTCAAGTATGGGCATTATTTTGGTCGCCTTTGCAAAGTTAATTTAGGAAATATTAACATCAGCTTTGCAAGATACTCATGGACACAAAAAATGTGACTGGGACATTTTCGAATGCATATAACACACCTTTAAATCAGAGCAGAGATCTAAACAATCCATGGGGTCTCTTTTAACTGGTCTTTTATCTGTTTACACAAATTACAGAGCCTTTGTCAAACTAAATTTACATACTTATAACGGATGGGATATTCATTTAATTTTCCAGACACTTTCCTGCCATGGTATAGAAACAGGATCTCACTTGATTATATGTGTTTAACTTGTAAGTGATTCTTAAATTACACGGTTACATCACTACCTCTACATCAGTAAGGGAAGTCCATTCAAATATAGGTTCAAGTTCAATGATTTATAATTCAATTAATGTCACCAATTACATCACGATTACAGTGAAACGTAACGTAGCTATGCAGCATTGAAACAAATTACTGTCAGTTGATTCATTTACAACAATAACTGCAACAGCTGGAACCCAACGTTAAGCAGATATATCGTATAATTTCTGTCCCCTCCCATTCAACGAGATTGTTTTGACAAGCGGCCATGATGAAAATCCAGGGATAAGGCCTGATGGCTTCAAAAGTTGACACTTGTCAAAAGGCCCTCATCTTTATCGCCAAAACAAAAAAGTATATTCTGTGCCATGTCTTTCATCAATACATGCTCTACAAATAGCACAATTTATAAAAATTATGTTAAAAGAACCGTTCAAGGTCCTGCGAATACCAGTTTAAGTGTCACCCACCTGGACCAGCTCCACGCCACACTGCGACAGTGTAACCCTTGACCCACTTTTCATTGTATTGATTGGTTGAAAGTTTTGATAGGTCAGGTGCATAACCTCAGCGTTCTTTCCCTGGGCGGCGAAAATTTGTAAAAGGGGCGCGTTGCATTTATTTATTTATTTAATTTTTTTAGTAAATACGTCATCTACAGCTACCTTAATTTCAACTTCAACATTTTCACATTAAAAAGACTTAAAGACAAAAATGAAAAAGAAGCGCATGTTTTTGGTCATGCGGACAACCAAGTTTCACTTTCAGCTGATATTTTGAGGAATACTGTTATGGGTAAAGGGAAGAATATTTTTAATGAAATGTTTCATTTAAACAGATTTTAATCAGGATTTTTTAAAATACTTTTCCATTAATATAATGTTCCAAGCCAATTTAAAACTCTCTAAAATATTTTCTAAACAAAGGGCATATTAAATTCATACAATAAAAATAAACACAAAGCTGGCTTTATTTTGATGGAAATAATTATCTTAGATTGTATATGTGCCCAACTATGTTACCAAAATTTTATGAAGTTTTGAAATTGATCCCCGAAGATAAAAAAATGTATCCTAAACATTCTGATTAAGTCGGCTAAACAGGAAAACAAGAACTAATATCTACAATGTAATATGTGATACTGTCCTTTCATGTCCACTCTTGTGAAATTAATACAATTTAACAAATAAAGGTCACAACAAAGTGTGCATTACAGGAAGTCACAGCTAAAATGACAAATTGTTATTTTAATGACACTGCTAGTATGTGAGAATCACATTACTATGTAAACAGCCAGTTTTGTGTTCATTTTTGTGCAGGTATTGTCAGGTTGCTGTAGGACACAAGGGGATTGGTAGAATGTCCTCTGAACTAATTTACAGGGGAAGATCAAATGTTGTGGAGAGGAACTTTCTGACCTCTTGAAGTGCATAGCTGCATTTTGTGGAATTTCTGCAGCTCATCCCATACTTACACATTCCCAATGTTTCTATTCTTTTTTTTTTTTTTTTCTTATTTTGGAAAGTAATTCTTACATGCCATTGATAATGATATAAATGAAAGTTAAGAAGTGTTTTGGTCAGAAATATGCTTTGAATGAATCCATTATATTCAAATATCGAAATAAACAGATGTACCAGTAAATATCAGCAAGAAAATAAATAACACTGTTTTGAAAATGACTGGATTTATTGTTTACAAACATGAAAGTTCATACATACGTCAATCATTTTCTACAAAATGGGACTTTCTTTGCCTGTTTTGCTCTACCCACTCATCTGTCATTTTAATGTATACCACCATGACTGTCAAAGGTTCACATATTATGTACCTTTTACATCAGATAAATCGTTTATGTTCCAGCAGTAAATACTGCTTTTCTTGCATGGTGTTCATTGGATTTCACACACACTTCATCGAACCCGTTAAGTTTTTAAAATTATCCAGTTGTTACTGTTGTTAGGGCTAACAGTTCCAAGAAGAGGCAGAACAGTCAACAGTGTTGCTAGTGAGGAACCGTCCCCATCCAGTATGGTGAGAATTGTTTTTATCTGATAAATTGATATACAGAGAGGACGTCTTCTTTAGTTATTGAAAAATTGTTGGAGGAAAGTCAATGAAATATGGACTCCATATATATCATTAACAAACCGCTTCCACTAATGATGACATAGCTAGGTTAATTTTTTCTACAGAAGGCTTTACATACTGATATATAAATATGTTAAGGAGCAAAAGCCCCAGATCACACTTTACACACAAGGAATAAACTACAAAATCTAATGCCACATGGATAGTTTGCTTAAAAGCGTATATGGATGCAATGTGACCAAGAAGAACTTTTAAAGCTAAGTATGAAACCTTAATAAAAAGCAAAAGCAAGATTGGCATTGGATTTTAATTTCAATGCAATTTTATGTTAGATTTCTCTTGGCAGAGCCCTGAACTAACCAAGCTGACTTTCTAATAGTATATGTATAAAATAGTGCTATATGGTTAAAATATCTTATAAGATTGAGTTTAAAATGTCCATTTAAAAACTGTACACGTTTTAAGCATTTTAAACAAGTGGAAATAATTCCTGAATGTTAAGCATTTCAAACGAGTGGAAATAATTCCTGATTGTTCATCAATAAACAAAACATGTACGAATCCACAATTTCACAAACAAAGGGATGTCCCATTAAAAAGTGAAACTGAAACTGCACAAAAAGAAGCCTTCCTTTTTTACTACTGTAACTGCCATTAGGGCCCAGGTCATTCTTTTTTTTAAGATGCATCTTAAAAAATTACTTGAAAGGAGCTAAGAATCTTCAATGGATGCTCAGATCTAGGACCAGTTCTGTTCATTAACTATCACACACTATTGCACTTAAGTAATAAATGCTGACAAGTTGAGAGAGTTGGCTCTACATGGCTACCTGTATCAAGACTGTATATATNAAATAGATAAATAAATAAATAAATAAAAATAAAAAATAAATAAATAAAATAAAATAAAACTCTTGTGTTCAGAAAGATCTAAGCCACCACTCAACTCACCTGTCTTTCCCTTAATTCTCTCAGGTCTGCCTCACATTTCTGCATCTCCAATCTGTTGAGTTCCTCTGTTTCAGCCAAACATCTTAGATCTTCCTCCTCTCTCTTGCGTCTTGTTTCCTATGTAACAATTCAAATGAATAAAAATTACTTTATTATAAACTCATGAAAAAAAATGTAAAATTAATGTTTGATAATCATCATTTTTTCACATCTTCAATTTAGAAAGTTTTCACTAGCTTCACAAGCAGTGTTTAAAAAGTTCTTACCACTGATACCTACCTCTATCAACTTTTCTGCCTCCCATTTCTGCTCTTCTTCATTGGGCTCAGAAGATCTGAATAATTCAATTTTGTTCATATTAATTTTGGGTATTTGTTAAAACTATCCTGGCACATGCAAATTTTGACCATTGCTAAAGATGATTTTGCTTTAACTGAAAAAAAGTGATAATAACATCTGATTTGATTTTCAAATGTATCGATGATTCGATGAAATATAAATAAGTGGACAAGAATGAAATCATTTATAAATCCAAATATCTTATAAAAGATGTATATGCTTTCTGAATACAAAACCTGGAACAAATCTTTTATTTGTTGCATAACAAGCTATGGTTTGAATAAATATTACAAAACAGAAGACCCTAAAAAATTCAAAATATATCATAAATGCTTGCATGAAATAGATGTAGCATCATTATATGATATCATGGAATGTATTCTTAGTAAAAATATTTTGAGATGTATATTTTCACAAAACACACACACATGCACGTACACACAAGTAAGTGATATTTTCCAAAACCAAATATCATTCATCTTGCTTGCTTTCATTTCTTATATACAAGTACTGATATCTGGAGAGGGGAAAACAAACAACAAGATGTGTAATTATTATTGACAAAACTGAATAAAAAAGATCAACTAAAAGGGTGCAGATAATAGCAAACTTAATTCATTGAAGTGACTGGAATGTGCTTCCTTGAAGTTGTTTATCATCACTAGCCCAGATCCGTGTGGTTTCCAGTGTTAGCATGAGTGAACAAAGGGGCTTGTGGTATTTTGTTACAAGCATGCAAGGCTATTTTGCATTTCATTTAAACACTTGTCTTTTCAAACAAAAATACATAATATGGTTCTGACCATAAATGAAATACAACAATTAACAACACATACATGCAAATGTCCTTTGGTTAAAACGCAATGTTATGTTGTATCATAAGATCCTTGCAGGCACTACTACTCTGAAAGAGGGGGAAAAAAATGCACAAACACAGTGCAACAAACATGCCTTCAAACTAACAAACCTGTATCTGCTTCATCTGCTGTCCTTAATAACATCTGTACAAATGTTCAAGGCAGAAAAGAAAAGTTTGAGACAAAAGGAAACTTTGGGATGGGTGAGAAATAAACGTGAATGAGCATTTTTAATAAACTTTTCGAAATTATTAGTGAAATATTACATTTCTGTCAAAGTATCTTTTGAAAAAAGTTTCCCTTATAGAAGTATAATGAAAGTATTTTTTCTTGTCTTATTAGCAATGATAAAAACTCAAAAACTCAAAATTGTTCCTTACATAATCTTTACATATTCTGGGAAAACAAGAAGCAATGTAATTCTCAACTACTATATCAAAGACAAAAAGTGTCCACAAACAGTAATAGGATAAAAAATTTTCCCTCTTTATGAAAAAACAAAACAAACACTAAAAAATTTAGACAAAAACCCTCACTAACCTGCTTCGGACACTCCTTCTTGGTGAGTGATCTCTGAAAAAAACAGTCAGGTAGAGAGAGGAGAATTAATTAGTTTAGGAAAACGGTTAATCTGAGCTCTGAACTCACAAACAAAGCTCTTTTATCAAGCAGGAAAATGACATGCAGAATGACATTTGAAAATTTGAATATTAAAAGATGAGAAGAAATATTCTCAATTTAGTGATTGTATCAAAGTTTACAGTGAGTTATCATTTGTCAATGTCCAAAGTCTTAATAGTGCTTTAATCACAAGAGTCCTTTAAAAACAACATATAATATTAGCAAGAGATGACATACAGAACAGAGAGTGGGATCAGTACAAAAATGTTTTATTATCATAGAACTAATTTTAATAACGAAATGCACTAACAGATATTCACAATGCAATACAATACAATACAATACAATACAATACAATACAATACAATACAATACAATACAGTACAATACACTAGTAGTGGGACACAACAACACCAAATAATCACATTTGCAAAAACATTGGTAGGTGGTAAAAAATATTTTAAAAGACATCACAAGAAGCATACACAGGTGTCAATTTATTAGTGAAAATAGGATTGAAGATAAATATGCAAACCATGGCATCAACACAATCTAGGTTCTTTTTAGCTTCGTTTTCAAACTCCACTTACTCCTCATGTCCAGGGGAAGACACATGGCGAAGATTTTTCTTCCATTCATCTGCCATGGCTTGACTTCAGTCTCTCGGGTTTACAACAGAGGACTTCCTGGAAGAGAAGAAACTGAATAAATCATAACCATTCAAAGCTTTAACTTAAAATTTAAAACTCTTGCCTGCAATTGCTTCCCTACAATGCCAAAGCTTCCATACCTACTCTTCCTAATGGCAGCAGATAAGGTATGTACCTTAAAAAAAATTATTTTAAAAATACAATGATGTACTAGGGTTATCAAAAAGTTAAAATCTAAATATTTCAGGTACTTGCACAGGTGCATGCAAATTGAACATTCATTGGATAAGCGCTCCTTGTCTGAGCAAAACCACAGTAATAATAATCAAGCAGTATAGTCAAGCCTTCATGTCAGCTAGATCATGTATAGAGATCATGGAGTCGTGAAGAATACGTGTTACACTTGGAATATCAAACACCTGAGTTAAGTAATATTCATACTATTCTGTAAACAAGTATGTGGCCTTTTAAAAATTTTAATTGGTAGTAGGAGCCTTTAAATGTCAAATTTATAGTGGCAGCATAGAGTGCCACTCCCTTGTAGGCATGATTTTAAAAAATGAGAGTGCAAGGCAGGCCACTGAGTATCCCCCCCTCCCCACACACACACACACACAATCTTCCATCTGTCTTGACATCCTCCATGATCCTTCTACACAGCTTGAAGCAATCTCCAGATCTCTTTCAAATAATGCATGTTTTTCTTTTCATTACTACTAGGTTTCAAATACTTTTCATTCCTTTGAATTCAAGTTTTTATGTAAAAACCCCTCAAAATGCAGATGTTTTTTGTGCACATTTTTAACAGTAAACGTAAACCAGTGTTCAGTAGACTAAATATAGAACGAGGTTTGTTCTTGCTCATACTCTCTCTCATACACGTCCTCGGAACTAAAAAACAGGATTTGGCATGTAGTAGAAGTTCATTCAGCATCAAACACCTACAGTCCCAATGGTTATATTTGTCAGCAAACAAGTCCCAGTTTGTCGATGTGATTAAAAATGGCGTCAAATCACCATACACCTGAAGATATCTCTCCAATTACCTTTCATTCAAGGCTTTAGGGACATACTTCACCCTTGCTGGGAGATTGGTGGGAGGCATGAATTATTTCTTGATTTTATTTGACATTTCATAACCCCAGCATAAACTTAACATTCCCTCTCTCAAATTTTGTTTGCATTTAATGGGGAGGTCTGAAGACACCTGACACTTAAGAGGGGTCATATGCCTTTCATTAACACTACTTTTATGGTAGGGTCTGTGTAGAGAGAGACCAAACAGAAGAAATCTTAACCTGTGTATCTAATGTTACATTTCATTAGCAGTGTTGCCAACTCCATAGGTCTTGAGCTATGTTCAGATACAATTAGGGCTTTCTAAGTCAGAAAACAGATGAAAACTGCATCCTCAGACAACAATATCACAAAATCTTTCTAAGCTAATGGTTCTTATAAGAGTCTTTTGTTAAATCTGCCGGTGTATTTCAAATGAAGATTTAGAAAAATGTTACAAGAAGTCTTTAACATAATTTCTTTGCGAGTCCTATAGACAGTTTCGACACAATAGGCCCAGTACATATTTCTAATCCATACCATATGTTTCACATATGGTGAATTATATTTTCGATATTTGCTCACGGTTAGGTATATATGTATTTTAAAAACAAATAAATTTGCACAATAAATTTGCTCTGGCAACTTGAATGTCTTTTTTTTCTGTGTGTTAGGGTAATGCCTTATACCTAGATTGTATATCTTGTACATTAGTTATACCAACACAGTGATAAGTAACTTTAAACCCACATAAGATCCATTAGTATAATAAATTTTGACATTTTATTAGTTTGCTAATTTGAATTTATATTAAGTCAATCTGTCCAATATAGAAACTATTCAAACTGACAACCAATTGCTTTAAAGAAAGCTTAAAGCTTCTCTACTTGTGTTTTTACGCATGTACCCAAACAATCATTGAATGGATGAAAAATATTAATAACTATTATTCTAAAGTAAAGTATGGACATTATTTTGGTTGCTTTTGCAAAGCTAATTAAGGAAAAATTAACATCAGCTTTGCAGGATACTCATGGGCACAAAAAATGTGACTGGGGCGTTTTTGAATGCATATAACACACCTTTAAATCAGAGCAGAGATATAAACAATCCATGAGGTTTCTTTTAACTGGTCTTTTATCTCTGTTTACACAAATTACAGAGCCTTTGTCAAACTAAACTTACATACTTATAACGGATGGGATATTAATTTAATTTTCTAGACACTTTCCTGCCATGGTATAGAAACAGGATCTCACTTGATTATATGTGTTTAACTTGTAAGTAATTCCTAAATTACACGGTTACATCACTACCTCTACATCAGTAAGGGAAGTCCATTCAAATAAAGGTTCAAGTTCAATGATTCGTAATTCAATTAATGTCACCAATTACATCACGATTTCAGTGAAACGTAACGTAGCTATGCAGCATTGAAACAAATTACTGTCAGTTGATTCATTTACAACAATAACTGCAACAGCTGGAACCCAACGTCAAGCAGATATATCGTATAATTTCTGTCCCCTCCCATTCAACGAGATTGTTTTGACAAGCGGCCATGATGAAAATCCAGGGATAAGGCCTGGTGGCTTCATAAGTTGACACTTGTCAAAAGGCCATCATCTTTATCGCCAAAACAAAAAAAGTATATTCTGTGCCATGTCTTTCAACAATACATGCTCTACAAATAGCACAATTTATAAAAACTATGTTAAAAGAACCGTTCAAGGTCCTGCGAATACCAGTTTAAGTGTCACCCACCTGGACCAGCTCCACGCCACACTGCGACCGTGTAACCCTTGACCCACTTTTCATTGTATTGATTGGTTGAAAGTTTTGATAGGTCAGGTGCATAACCTCAGCGTTCTTTCCCTGGGCGGCGAAAATTTGTAAAAGGGGCGCGTTGCATTTATTTATTTATTTAATTTTTTTTAGTAAATACGTCATCTACAGCTACCTTAATTTCAATTTCAACATTTTCACATTAAAAAGACTTAAATACAAAAATGAAAAAGAAGCGCATGTTTTTGGTCATGCGGACAACCAAGTTTCACTTTCAGCTGATATTTTGAGGAATACTGTTATGGGTAAAGGGAAGAATATTTTTAATGAAATGTTTCATTTAAACAGATTTTAATCAGGATTTTTTAAAATACTTTTCCATTAATATAATGTTCCAAGCCAATTTAAAACTCTCTAAAATATTTTCTAAACAAAGGGCATATTAAATTCATACAATAAAAATAAACACAAAGCTGGCTTTATTTTGATGGAAATAATTATCTTAGATTGTATATGTGCCCAACTATATTACCAAAATTTTATGAAGTTTTGAAATTGATCCCCGAAGATAAAAAAATGTATCCTAAACATTCTGATTTAGTCGGCTAAACAGGAAAACGAGAACTAATATCTACAATGTAATATGCGATACTGTCCTTTCATGTCCACTCTTGTGAAATTAATACAATTTAACAAATAAAGGTCACAACAAAGTGTGCATTACAGGAAGTCACAGCTAAAATGACAAATTGTTATTTTAATGACACTGCTAGTATGTGAGAATCACATTACTATGTAAGCAGCCAGTTTTGTGTTCATTTTTGTGCAGGTATTGTCAGGTTGCTGTAGGACACAAGGGGATTGGTAGAATGTCCTCTGAACTAATTTACAGGGGAAGATCAAATGTTGTGGAGAGGAACTCTCTGACCTCTTGAAGTGCATAGCTGCATTTTGTGGAATTTCTGCAGCTCATCCCATACTTACACATTCCCAATGTTTCTATTCTTTTTTTTTATTTTGGAAAGTAATTCTTACATGCCATTGATAATGATATAAATGAAAGTTAAGAAGTGTTTTGGTCAGAAATATGCTTTGAATGAATCCATTATATTCAAATATCAAAACAAGTAAACTGGGAGTAAACTGAAGTTAAGAAGCATTTTGATCAGAAATATGCTTTGAATGAATCCATTATATTCAAATATCGAAATAAACAGATGTACCAGTAAATATCAGCAAGAAAATAAATAACACTGTTTTGAAAATGACTGGATTTATTGTTTACAAACATGAAAGTTCATACATACGTCAATCATTTTCTACAAAATGGGACTTTCTTTGCCTGTTTTGCTCTACCCACTCATCTGTCATTTTAATGTATACCACCATGACTGTCAAAGGTTCATATTATTCATTCAGATAAATCGTTTATGTTCGAGCAGTAAATACTGCTTTTTTTGCATGGTGTTCATTGGATTTCACACACACTTCATCGAACCCGTTAAGTTCTTAAAATTATCCAGTTGTTACTGTTGTTAGGGCTAACAGTTCCAAGAAGAGGCAGAACAGTCAACAGTTCATTTAATGTTGCTAGTGAGGAACTGTCCCCATCCAGTATGGTGAGAATTGTTTTTATCTGATAAATTGATATACAGAGAGGACGTCTTCTTTAGTTTTTGAAAAATTGTTGGAGGAAAGTCAATGAAATATGGACTCCATATATATCATTAACAAACCGCTTCCACTAACGATGACATAGCTAGGTTAATTTTTTCTACAGAAGGCTTTACATACTGATATATAAATATGTTAAGGAGCAAAAGCCCCAGATCACACTTTACACACAAGGAATAAACTACAAAATCTACTGCCACATGGATAGTTTGCTTAAAAGCGTATATGAATGCAATGTGACCAAGAAGAACTTTTAAAGCTAAGTATGAAACCTTAATAAAAAGCAAAAGCAAGATTGGCATTGGATTTTAATTTCAATGCTATTTTATGTTAGATTTCTTTTGGCAGAGCCCTGAACTAACCAAGCTGACTTTCTAATAGTATATGTATAAAATAGTGCTATATGGTTAAAATATCTTATAAGAGTTTAAAATGTCCATTTAAAAACTGTACAAGTTTTAAGCATTTTAAACAAGTGGAAATAATTCCTGAATGTTAAGCATTTCAAACGAGTGGAAATAATTCCTGATTGTTCATCAATAAACAAAACATGTACGAATCCACAATTTCACAAACAAAGGGATGTCCCATTAAAAAGTGAAACTGAAACTGCACAAAAAGAAGCCTTCCTTTTTTACTACTGTAACTGCCATTAGGGCCCAGGTCATTCTTTTTTTAAAGATGCATCTTAAAAAATTACTTGAAAGGAGCTAAGAATCTTCAATGGATGCTCAGATCTAGGACCAGTTCTGTTCATAAACTATCACACACTATTGCACTTAAGTAATAAATGCTGACAAGTTGAGAGAGATGGCTCTACATGGCTACCTGTATCAAGACTGTATATATATATAAATAAATGTGGGATAATCCTCCCTAATCCATTGATTTGCCAGCACTCAATCTACAATCCTGAAGTAGCAGAATCCAAGTCAACTGAGTAGAAGAATATATCTGGCGGTGGTTTGAGTTACAGATTCCATTGAGTGAACAAATGAATGGAAATTAGAGATTAAAAAAGCAACCCAAGATGGTACTCTTGGCTTAGTCCGTGGAAAGTAGTTCTTGTCTTTTCTTTTGTTCAGCACACATTGGGTTTTGATTTTAGTTTCTCAGTCCTTGCATCTAACTCTCAGCTTCCTGGTGTTTCTGCAGACCCTCTCGCCAATCTGGATTTTTTGCAGCCTGGAAAATGATTCAGGTTGAGATAATAATTGCAGTCTAGTCAAGGATAAAAATACAGATAAGAAAACTCAAGCTGGATAAAACCCAACAAAATGACATACATTTTGAGCTTACCCAAACTACTTATTGTATTAAATGTTTTGAACTGCACAGGTTTTACATCTATCAAAGTTATAAATAAATTTAGTAATACTGTGCAAAGAGCCACAGTGAATATATAATGGAAAAAAATCAAATCTACTATTTTGACAGTTCTATTCAACTTTTGAAAATTATCCTAAAAGATACATAAAGAAAGAGGACAAATAGGCTTTTTCAAATGAATTAAACTATCCTTCAGTATACCTCTTCTTCCTCCTTTAATGCATATTTACTCTGGCCTGTTGATTTGAGTTGGTTGCGGAAGGATTCTTTTCCACCCTTGTTTCTGTCAAACCTGGCCAATCTTGAAATACAAACATTTTTTTGTCAAAATACTGTCAGCACTTCTCTTTAAACACAAAACATCATACAAGTAAATGCACGAGTTCATTAATACCGACAATTAAGTTCATTAATATATTTGATTAAAAAATTTCAAAAAGTAAGAAAATTATATTATAATAAAATATTTCCATGAGCACTTTTGAGAGCAGAGTATGCAAGCTTATAGAACCAATCAATGAAAACTTACTTGGCATCTGTCTTGGAGACCTTCTTCAGCACAGGTTTGATGCTAAAATGAAAAATGTTGAACTAAAAAGTTACCAATTTTTTTACATAGGCAAAAAGTATTTTTAAAAAAGTCGGGCAATTTAAGTTTTAATCTCATTTAAATCATTAAAGTAGTCTTTATGAAATTAAAGGTACAGCCCCATTTAGTGTATTTACAGCATCTCGCAGAATATTCAACTTGGAAAATCCAGAAACAATTTATTTTAAGAGGTTAAGGCTATTATTGAATGTGATGTATGCACACTCCTCAACCATTTTCCACAAAAATCTGGCTAACACTAATTCACAAAACTTTAAATGTTCTACACTAACTGAAAGCTCTCGGAGGAGATGGCTGAACAAATGTACACCCACATAAAGATGGAAGATGGACAGACAGACAACCACATTTCTAACTAAATTCACTGTAGGAAGAGCCAGGTATAGAAACAATTTCTAAAACTGTCGAAGTATTTTACTTTTGTTCTTTTGTAATCTGCTTCAGAGAAAAAACAACTGTTAACAAAAGAAAAACGTATATAATTTTAATAAAAATAAAAGCAAAAAAAAAGAGCAGTACTTACAATTTACCCTTGATGTCATTTACTTTTATCGTAAGCTCATTGATCTAGATATAAGATAAAGTTTATGTTAAAACATATTTATGCTTCCTGTGCACAATAAAAGATTCCGCAGTTATTTTAAGTTACTAAAGAAAACTTCAAAGCATGAGTAAGCCTTCAAAATTATTCTATATTACTATATGCGAGGATATGCAGAAATGTGAGAACTAAAGAAAAATAAGTATAGCAATTTTAACAACAAGCTTTTAAAAATCCTATTCTCAGTGCATAATACTGTTATTATACTGAATGTGCAACAATACTAAGTTGATTCAACTCTATACAAAATACTTAAAAAAAGAAACTGAATCATTAATGTCATATTTAGTTGTAAAGCATACAGCATTTGTCAAAGCAAATCATGCAAGTACAAGAAACAGTTAAATCTGTAGATAAAAAGTCAAAAATGAGAGAAAAAGGGTGACAATATAAGACAATACAGAAAGGATGGTTACCAACATATTACAGGACAACAGGATAGAGAAAAAGGGTTTCACACAAATTCTTAATACCTTCCAAATCTACTCTGTTAAAATATGCTCAGTTGAAAAAGTTTGAATATTTGCAATAAAGAAATTTCATTAGGGTTTAATACAAGGAGTAATCCTCAGATGTCAAATAAAATAACAAACAGATAGTTCAAACTGTATAAGACCATAGCACTGTACGATACATATAGCTTAAGCAATTGCTTCATGCAGACAATGTTTACGATACTATGAGTAAGCAAGCTATGCTATTAATGGTTTAGTGCCTCTAAATAGTTATTCCTTGTTGGTACTACAAGATAATAGGTTGTAAGAGCTAGACACTGTAAATAATTGAAAGATAGCTGGCGTGTTTATATATAACTCTGAACAAATAGAGATAGTCTAGAAACTAATACACATTGTGTGCATACTAAGTGCCCTCTAGATAAATGTGATTATCTTTGAAGTTGACGATAAGTTGTTGACTCGTTGACTGAGTACATATTCAATAAAATGTCAATGAGTAATAGAAACATACTAGAGATAAAGCTCTTACTTTATTAATGTTATGCTTACACTTCAGGTTTTCTTCATTTCTGAAATTTCTGTGATACTGATACCTACTACTTAACTGAACCCTAGCTATACAATACCTACCTCAAAATCTTGTTTGCGTATTTTAACTTCCCACTCATATTTATCTTCTTCCAACTGAGCGTATTTCTCGTATAACTTCCTACAGAGTCTTTCAACCTCCTCTGTTAGTAGAAAAAGTTATTACTGTGTTGGGTTGCCTTTATATATAGTAGAGGGCACACCAAAATCAGACACAAAGTGCTGGGTCAATGCCATCAATTCATTTTTTGTTTTTTAAAAAGGGACTTAAGCTATTAAAATTTTTTAGTTACTAAATTTCTGATGACAATTCTAAGATGAATATATTAAATATCAAATATCAGTAAAATTCAGTTATACATATTGTCATTTTAACAGGTCTAGTCCCTTTTAGAATACTCTTAATCACAACAAAGAATATTCCAATAAAAACTTCAAATAAATTAGTGACAATGTATCCAACTTGTTCTCAAATAAACCATGCTTATCACTGATTAGCCCTCCTTTATGCCCTGCAATTAAGAGAACACACCATAAGGTCAGCCCACAATGGCAACAATACCAACACTGCAGTTACAATACAATGTCAATAGCAACAGCAGTAGCAGCATCCAGCAAGCACAATGACAATGTTACACCAGCCAGTCAGCCAACCCTTCAGCCTGCAATAGAAGTCATATCTGATACTCCAAGGGTTACCTCGAAATCTTGTTTGCGAATTTTCAGCTCCACGTCGTATTTCTCTTCGTGTAAGCGGGCATACTGCTGGTAGAGTTTTCTGACAATCCTTTCAAGATCCTCTATAAATTGACAATGGGAAGATAGATAGATAGGATGATGGGATCTAGTGTAAAAACCCACACATACAACATCAACACAAATGTGTTCATTGTGCAGAAGACAGGACTATAAAACATGATCACAGATCACAAGGAGTAGTCCCTACTTCATGGGAGAGGAGAAGACCAACACCAAGCAAGAGTTCCTCCAGTCTAAGCTCTGGTAGGGAAAAAAAGACCAACAAAGTTCCACTATTTTCAAAATGAATTCTGTAATGCTGAGAACATTTGTAATAGAGTCTTCACTTTGAAATTATTTTGTAAATTTTGCAAAAATATAACAAACGAAAGGAAAGAAATGATTATATTATTGAACTATGACCAAAAAAAAAAAGTTGAAGTAGTATTTGGAAAAAAAAATTAAATTAAAATTTTAGCCTTCAAAATGTATAAAATATTGTATGGAGTTGGTCCTCCTATGACACCAGAATGGAAGACAGATCATTCCAGATGCTATGATAGTTGCAAATCCCATTCCGAGGTTCCAGACAGAGGGGATCTCCTCTACTTTACCTCCCAGTCTTGTTTGCGGATTTTCATTTCTATATCAAATTTCTCTTCCTCCTGAGTGCAATACTGAGCATACAATTTCTTAATTATGTCCTCTAGCTCCTCTGAAATTGTAAGTTGTTGAAAAAATGTGCTCTTTTAATAATACTAGAAGTATTGGTCATGGTTGGTAGAAATCCACTGAGGTCTCAAGTGAATCATGCATGGCCATTAAACTTTGACGATCTGCATAACACAATGAACATTTGACTCTCACTATAGCAAGATGTTTTATAACCAGTGTGAACAAACTTACTAGTTGAAATTTAATAGGCAAAAAGATATAACAGAAAAAAATGTTTTTTTTTTAGTAGATTTAACAAAAGAAAAGCCTTTGCATAACCATTACATACTTAACATAAGTGAGACAACAAGCAGTTAGACGAGTTGCACAGGAAAACATTTATTTTCTGCCTGACAATCACGTTTGTACTTGTGTTCAAAACTAAGATGTGTAAACGATTACACCAAGTACACAGAAAGAATACAAATATAACAATGTAGTGATATGTCAAACAGAGAGACAACATTTTTTACTTGCCTCCTCAATCATCATGCTGCAAAAAAATACATTTAATTGCAGAAATTATCTTTAAAAATACATATTTAACAAAGTATCCAGAACACACTATCAATTATGTGTACAAAACAAAACACACTTGTGAGAAAGTGTAGTTTTACACTAAAGCAGGCAAGCTAAAAATCTGTTACAAACACAAGTCTGGTCTACCACCTTTAAATATCTTTACTAAGAGCTGTGCATGCAACAAAATGATAACTTGGAGGCATTAGATAATCCCTGTTTGGCCAAAGTGGACAATATCACTAAGAAACTCTGATACCTGAAAAATGATGAACACGCAATCATTGTGAAAATGATAAATTTCTGTGAAAATAAAATAAACATCAATCTCACAGTGAAATAGCAGTCAGTGTCATGCAACAAATACAGACACGCGCCATGCTGCTGCTTACGTTTGTTGTTGACACCGTCTACGTGCAATGGTTCCACCTTATTCTTGATGAAATTTTCTTTCTCCTCCTTCTTTCTCATGGCTTCTTGTCGGAGCTCCTCAGCAGCTCTTTGCATAATAAGTTTCTAAAACACAAACACTTTTCTACTCAGCAAATCTTGCACTAAACATAATTATCTTTTTCTGTCAAACAGAAATTAAAAGTGGCATATCAGTATTAGCAAGAGAAATATTTGCCCATTTTCGCCCCCTCATTTTCATGACCATAGAAAGTCTCTGTATATGCCAATTAGTTTAATTTCTGTTTCAGACTCATACAAAAGAATGTGCACAATTGTTTCCCCAAGGCTGAAAACAGTAAGAGAACAATCAGCCACAAACATTTATCACTGGAAACATTCTTCATGTATTGAATGGTTTAAAAATTCAATGCAGGCTTTATCAAAACAGGTTGGTGGGATGGGAACTTTCAGAGAAATGGAATAATTTGATTGAAAAGACCCAGCATATCAGATTTTACCTATGCAGGATCATGGCAATGAAGAAATACAGTTATCAGCTTTTGAGGAAACTGCAAGCACAACATTTCTTCTTTATTTAATATCTTATGATGTCCCTACCTCTATCATTCATGCCATCAATATTTAGAGGTGGCACTCTTTCCTTAAGTATCCTTTTCTTTTCTGCAAATTTCTCCTCCTCTTCTGCCTTAAGCTCTTGCAAGGCTCGATCCATGATTAGTTGCTGGGTAAGAAACACAACATGCAGTCAAACGTGAGGTTCAGGCATTGAAAAAACTATGTCACAGAATCACTAAGAAACATGCTTGGATCAAGACTGAAACCTTGCTTTATTTTGCATTATATCTATGTAGTATCATCTTTCATCTGGAAATCAACACATTTGTGTAACTGCAATAATCCAAATACAAACATTTATAATTATTTCAGTTTTGGGAAAAGGTGCACTGAAACAGTTGAGGTATCTATAATTCATATATGAATTGGCATTAACCCCCCCCCCCCCCAAAAAAAAAAAAAAAAAAAAAAAACACTTGATCCAAGCAATTCCAAAGAAGCTCATATCCCTTCAAAGTTACAAAACTTGCAATTCTAACTATCTCCTGCTGGTCTGGCCATTATCATGCACACTTTTTTCCAGAAAAAAACCCTGTAAAATACAAAAGGCATAGAATAGCTGAAACAGACAGTAAACTATGCAATGATCTGGGTAGCAACAAACAGCTGAAACAGATGGTAAAATGCAGTTGGGTTGTTGTAGGAAGGCGGGGGAAGGGATGGGTGGTTTATGGCAGAAAAGTAAGGAAGGGATGGGTGGTTGATGGGTGCCTGTAGTCTAGCAGTAACTAGTGATAAGGGGTTAGAATGTTAAGATGTTAGTGTGGTGATGGTTAGTAATTTGTTATATTTTATTATCAGTTTCTATAAAAACATTTTTGCAGAGAACGGTTGCCTTTGCACCACAATTTATCTAAAGGTTTTTATGATGCAAAAACATGAATAGAAGATGCATCTATGCATCTAAAAATTCACAAAAGCATGCAGTATTAGCACACAGATATCCAAATAGACAGCCTCACAGCAACACAGATATTTCATAGAGAAGTATCCATTCAATTATCACACAGATATTTCTTTGACGTGAATTTTTTTTTTCAAAAATGCTCAAAATTATGCAAGCAGTGAGTTCATATGTGAATCCAGTGAGTTTTCACTTAAAAAAAATTCAAATCTCATGCAAACAATGCAAGTCAAAATTTTCCTGGTGAGCCTTGCAAGACTGGCAACTTTTCTTCAAGCAATATTTATACTTTCTTACAAATATCAACACTGATTCTTTGTAATATTAATCTGACACAGAACTATTTAGAAAGATATCAGTAAGTTCCAATACATTGTCAAACCATAAAAGAATAATTGACTTGAAATACATGATAGTTTAATATCAGAATAAAGTGAATGGTATTAGAGAATTGGCGTATATTATGTTATTTAACAGTTGCAGTAAAACTTGGTCCAATTTGATAGGTTTTATAGGTTCCATAAACTGCTGTATTTGTTTATCTAGTTGTTGTGAGTGGGGTTAGTAATACCTTTAGTTTTTGCTTTTTCTCTGGGGAAAGACCACCCAAGCCTTTCCTTCTGTTCTTCCTTCTTTCCTCCTCCTCTCTCTTAATTCTCTCTTCTTCCTCCTTTTTCCTTCTCTATTGATTTGTAAACAAACACATAGTTACTGAATAAAATATTACAATTTATTCTGGAATACCACTGCTACCTGAAATATTAAACTTCAAATTATTGGCATAAACAGAGAAATATATCCATAGCTATACACCACTTTCATTCATTCATTCATTTTTCTCAAAATGTGACAAGCACTACATTATACATTATACATTATACATCTATGGGACCATTCCCACAGATATTTGGATTGATCTATCTCCCTGGGGAGTCTCACTAAATTGCTATCGATGTAACTGGCTTAAATGTCTGTCACGCCTAGTAACGCTGTTCGGGGGGGGGGGGGGGGGGGGGTTAATTACCTTTATCCCCTAGCTGATTCGGTAGGCATGACAGACTTTTAAGACTCTTGAGCTGACAGCAATTTAGCGTGAACCCCCAGGGAGTTAGGTCGATCCAGATGGATCGATCTAAGTATGGGAACCCAGTCTATGGGTAACTCCAACAAATTACAAAAAGAAGGCAAAAAAAAAAAAACAAACTTTCCCGTATATTGCTAAAACAAGATTGAAATACATGCTGAATAGAAAAAAGAAGAAAAAAATTACTTATTAACAAAAAATGTCCGATCAAGCCCTATTTGTGATCGACTCAAATTAAAATCCCACAAAGGACCAAAGATTTCAAGCAAAACAGTCTCTTTTTTGTCTCTTCTGTGACTGAACATAAGGAAAGGGAAATTTAAATGATGCTTATAGTGTTTTCTTAAAAAAACTAACCTCTTCTTCCTCTCTAGCTTTCTTCTCAGCAGCAGCCCTTTCCCTGCGTTCTATCTCTTCACGCTCACGTTCTTCTTCTTCCTACAATTGGCAACAACAAAGTCACACATCTTTTATTTTAGTTTCTAATAAGAGTATTTTTGCTACCTTAACAAGAGTGAAGTTTTGCAGTATAAATATGGATAGGCATATGCAATATGCCCTTTAAATTTAAAATGTCAGAAGAAATGTATTTAAAATTATTTTTAAAAACAAAGTACTTGTCACAAGCAATTTATTCATTTTCACTTCCAAATGCTGATGATGAAATATTTTGTCAAATGCTAACAAAGCTGAAAGAGAATCTTTATTATTGCTTTATTTTCTGAAACTTATCAAAAATGAAATGTAAATGGATAAATGGATACTACATCTTTTGACAAACAAACTCTTCCAACAAAAAAACTTCCACTGCACAATATATCACATCTTACTCTTTGCCTCCTCTTGCGTTCCTCTTCTTTTTTCTGCCTCAGTTCTTCTAATCTGGCTTCCTCCTCCTCCTCTTCCTACATACCCCAGAAATTAACTCACACATAAGCAAAACTCAAATAGAATATGCTGCTCATGCAAGACAATCAATACATTTTGAATAAAATAAATGACAGGAAAAATATTTCTTTTATTTAAAAACAAAACTATATCAAAAAAAAAAACTTCAGACATAGCAAAGAACTGAGTTCATATAAGCTTTCAAAAGTAATCAAAAAGAAAAAATATGACAAGAATAAATACAAATAAAGAATAAACAGTTGTGAAAAAAAAAAAGAAATTAAAGTTCGGTAAAATTTCTGCACTACAAAACACAGCCCTTTAAGAAAAATAAAACAAAACAACCATATTGAAGCAAAATAAAATGCAGATACCTCTGCAACCATGATGAGAAAATGGCAAAGAAATAAGTTGTTGGGCAAGTATCACTTCCAGATCTTTCTTACCCTTCTCATGCGTTCCTTGGCCTCCCTGGCAGCTGCCTCTCTTTCTTCGCGGAGACGCATAGCTTCCATTTCTGCTTCATCATCATCAGCTGCTGCTGCTGGAGCCTTCAAACACAAATATTATTTTGATTGTTAAAATCAGAATCATCCATCAAATCATTAGTGAACAAAACAGTGTTTAGATTGTCAACAGCTACATAATTACAATCAACCATATTAAGTTTATAACATTTAGAACATTACCATAGAGAAAATTAACCTTTCAATTGCATAAAGTTTTAATGATAAATGAAAACTTCATCATTTTTCAACATTAAAATTATCTTCTATTTTCAAAGAACAATGAAGGGCCTTTTGAATGATTATAAGTTTTTATCATCACAAAAGATTTGTGCCTCTGAAATGAACAAAGTCAAGTAAATAATGTATTGTGTACAGTAGTGCATATCCCTTAGACTTTTATTCTTACAACCTGTCTGAAGAGCAGGTCTATAGCGATCAAGACTGATGTTGTATTACTTTTTAAAAAAAAGGTACATAAGTCATTTTCATTACTTAACCGGTTGATGGATAGAATGGTAAATTGGCAACTCTTCCTATATAACAGTACAACTGTGCAATACATGCTATTTACCTTGTTCTTCACAAAAATAACAATACTTGAAACATTACAATAATACAAAAATAGCTACAAATAAATAATTCAATGAAACAAAAAACATATATGAAAAAAGTTCACACACAGGAAATTGTTTTTTTTTCACAGAAAAACAAATAAGAATGCTGCCTAACTAGACACAAATTCCAGAACTTTTGTCTTCTTGCCATATCCATATAATAACAAACTCAACTCATGTAAATGGTGTGCAACACTTTTTTCTCATCCAATCTAGTTAACTTTCAACAACTCAACTTTAATACTTCAACCTTTGCAACATGTTTGCAGAACTGGAACTGCAGTTAAGGTGAGCAGTCAAAATAAATCATCTTTGAAATAATCTATGCTCATTTAAGGTTTCTTGATAGATCTGAGCAAAAACAAGGTAAAATAGAAGCCATATTTTGCCAGGTTGGAAGTATTTTCCATCTCATGCAAATTTTCACATACATGTACATGGAATTAATTTCTTTTCACAACCTGAAAAGACCTTCCAAAAGTGTGCGCAACATACGTACAACAAAAAGCACAGGTGTAAAGAAATAAGACACTAAGCACTCTAAAAATACATATATAAAATAAAAGCAAAAGAATTACTCAAGAACGTAATATCTGAAATTCACTTCTCTTATACCGAAACTGAAACACATAACTAAAACATTTAAATGAAGAAAGCTAAGTTGACATCAGCTACTAGCAACACTAACACTAACAAAAATAAAAACACAACCAATAATATTAAAACTGCAATAAGCATATCTGTATAACTAAAACTAGAGAGAGTTGCCAGCCATTCTATCCCAACCTACCTCCTCTTCTGGTTCTTCCTCCTGTGTGGGTTCTTCCTAAGAGGGAAAAGGTAGACAAGGGAGGTAAATAAAGGGAAGAGACATGCTGACAGGGTTCTCTTGGCTTATATAACCGAATTCAATGGGTGATAGGCCTTTTTTTTTTTTTTTTTTGCTTTAGTCCTCTTGGACAGGGTCATGGCTTGGGTAGGTCACAGATAAGAATCTAAAGGTACGGTTCTGACCTCCAAAATGAGGTCATTGATCTCTGGGTTAAGGCCACACTTTTTTGGATAGGGATAAGGGGACCATTATAAATACCATGATGACAAAACTAATTTATGATTTTTCAAAATTGCAGATCAAAACTAAGATTTATCATAACAGGGAGTGACAAGGTGCCCTGAGCTTCAGGTCTGAGGTGAGCCAGTCTTCATTTTCAAACCTTCATACATATGAGACTAAGGTTATTACAGGAAAGTTTTGGTGTGTACCATGACAAGCACTGGCACGCATCCATCAGCGATTGGCGCAGTAAACTTCATTGAATTTTCAGATGCAACAAACAAACATGTATCAAAATTTGAAAATAAAGCAACTGGCCAACATGGACTCTGAAACTCAGGCTAATATTAGGAAGATTTATCAAAAGTATTACCATTTACAGCCAGCACTAACTTAATAATGTTATATATTACTTGTGCTAATATCACATGAAAGCAAATGCATAAATATTCTATTTCAATCTCAAGTAATCTTAGTATTTGTCACAGTATATTACACTGTAGATTAATCTGCAAATCCATAAAAAAGTGAAAACCTTAATAGATGAACTTTCATTCCATTACCAATTCCCCATTGTAAAATGATACTCTAAACTTAAATAACAGACCTGCTTAATAATGAACTCTTAAAGCTTGATGTTTGTAACATGACTATTTAATACTGCATGAAACATTAAAAAAAACATCAAAACAAGCATGTCATCATAACAAATATCATGAGCTTAATGGAACATGTTTTAAATGCACCATTAAACCAATAGGGTCATATTGCAATTAGTTCCACAGCTTTTACAGGACAGAAAAGTTACTTTGGAGAAAGATTCCCACAAAGAAATACACATTACATAGAAACTGACAGTCTACACTACACAGTAGTACTACATTGTACACATAGCCTCTAGAACAGAGTAAAATTGACAGATGAAAAACTACATAGAAGTAAACACATGCCCACTCACAGATAATCACCACTAACCTAAATTGTATCAGGAAAATATGTACAAGTCATCTTTCATTCTCTTGCTCTATGTATGTATGTCCTGGTTACTATAGTCAAGACATTTTTGCAATAACTATGAAAATTCAGAAATGCTCATTTCAAATTCTTGGATGATAATTTTCATTTACAGTTGACTGTATCAAATAAATGACAATGAATAATATGTGTTTCTCGATAAATAACAGTTTGAATTTTCATTCAATTTGGTACACCTTTATCCTTTTTATTACAAAGGAAAAATGACAAGCAAGATAACCTGGGATAACCTTCAGGGGAGAAACAGTGAATTTTGAAAGAAGTTGAGAAGGTTTAACTTGGCATCTAAGGTAAATTATTAATCCTTGTAATTATCAATTGTGACTATCAAATCCAGTCTGTACCTGCACATTGTTGACCTCTGGGGCTGGAGATGCTTCTGCCTCCTCCTCCTCTCTTTGACGTCTTCGCCTGGCGCGTGCTGATGAGACATCCTATACACAACACACAAATAACAACACAACATATTATCACAGAGGAAAGAACTGCCAGAAGCTCAAAACAATACCGGTTCTGAATTTGCCACCAGGCATTTTTTTTTCAAAGTGCTGTGCAAAGCATGGGTGTGAATTAACGTTAACACATACAGACAGTGATAACTTTAAACATAACTCTTTTGATCTCATTCTACAAAGAATGTGAACACACCAAACTGAAGCTGATTAAAAAGCAATGATTAAAAGAAAATGAGATGTTTACACATTTAACTAAAGGGCAAAAAATAAAACTCTTTGCTCACACAGGGTAAGGAATTTAAAACATAAAAATAAAAAAGTGGTGAACTTATAAGATAAATATCAACAAGTTACTGCAAGGTAAATCAAAACTAAAACATTTAAATCATTTGACAAAAATTGCACCCAGGATGAACTTTATATGACTTAATTTTAAAGGGATAAAATCGGCAAGAAGAAAGGGAAACAGAAAAAGCAAAACAAAACAAAAAAAAAAGGATTACAGTAAAACTGTTTTTAACCCAAGTAAAATTTGGACACATCAGCAAAAATCCACTCCACAAATAAATGGAAGACTGGGATAAGTGTTATCAAATGGACAAAAACAAGAACAGGATAACATCTCTGACCAAACTAGGTCACATCTAGTGACCTTGAAGAGAATTTGACCTAAACCTTGACCTTACCTCTGAATCTTCACCGCCACCTCCTCTGAAAAAACATAAGTAGAAAAAATTAACTTCCCTGACAACAGAGCTGACAAGTATGCTCTACATCTAGTGAAGCTATCCCTTGCTTGCCCCAGGCTTTCTACTTCCTCTATGATCTAGGCTCTAAGTCTAGCCTAATAGCAATTACATTTAGTACCTTATCCTTGCAATTTCACCATAAGCCTACAGAAAATGCCAACATTAAAGCAACATGCTGAAAATAAAAATGCATTATTCTAGTGACAGTGAACTACTAGTATTTCTGAAACATAAAGAAAGTGAAATTAACTATATTTGGTTAAATTCAAACGTGAGTAAGGTCAGAAAGAAAAAGATTAGCAAGAAGCAATTAATCAACCTCTATATCTACAGTGGAAAAATCTATATCTAAAAATGTTTTAAATAGTTTTTTTAGAACAGATAATGAGAAAGCTACTGATATGTAATTGAATGCCTCCATAAGGTACCAATTAAAATAACTGAAAGGTTAACAATAATATTATGGTACACCATGCCAATCTATTTTCTGCTCCATGCCTCTCGTCTGTCTGCTTTAATTCGGTTTAGGTGAAAACACTTCCATGGAATGTCTTGAAAGTGTAAATCACTTGTGCAAATTATTTCCACCATGGAAGAATGGTACTATTTTAAAAGATCTTCAGTATGGTGGATGTTTCACTTGAAAACCATCCTCTGGATCTTGATATCACAGAATTTAAATGACAAACTCAAGAAAATTTGATCTGACATTCAATCCCAAAAAATCTGAATTAATAGCATTTCATTCACTTGAAAGTTTCAAATTCCCCAAACTATGTCTTTCAAACTGTTTACACAACAGGTTTTGGCAATCAAAAGTGTGTTAAATGATATATGTCTGAGGTCCTGGAGCAGAGAGTACGTAATTCTATATATAACAAGAAAGAAAATGCCCAGTAAACTATGATAGCCCACAAAAAGCCGCCTTGACTCAGTGTTTTAAACAATAACAAAAGTTACATAAAAAAGGTTGCCAGAAAAACCAATTACTTAACAAGTGTTTTAAATGTATGAGGCCAGGGTGACAACCATGAATTCCCCCCCCCCCTCCCCTGCACAGCTACCCTCTACTCCACTTTCAACTGTTTTGTGCAGAGCACAGAAAACAGAAAGATCACACTGTGCCTCAGACAATTCAATGTTAAGCAGCACTAACATAGAAGCATAGAGGAATGATAGTTCTAGTCATACCAGAAGCCCACAGCTACAACTATTCTATATAAACCCTAGCCTTCATTTTAAAAGCAACCCTACGAAAAGCAGTCTATAATGTGCCCTTACTTTCAGTAAGCAAATCAAAAAAACAAAGAAAAAAAGTCAAAAATCACATTTATAAAGACTGGACAAAACATTAAATCACTAACAATATGGAAATTAAAACTCAGAAACAGACTTATATTAATTTTTTATAACAATGGAAAACAGTTCTTAATAGACAACAAACATATAAGAGGGAAAATATCAAGCTCCTATATTAATTCTACACATATCAATATTGATTTTAAAGTGTAAGTCGCTACATAGGTTCCCAACCTATTGAGACGTTCTCGTCTTTCACGTCTTCTTCTCTCAAAGTCATCCTCCACATCGTTACTTTCAGGTGAGCTGAGGGTAGAGAGCAAGCATTTACAGGTTAAAACACAGGCTACAAGTACAGCATTAAACAAAGGTAATAATCACAAAAACAGGGAGATAAAGCTCCACATTTTCACTTCAGAATAACCTTATATCGCCCATTTTTTTTTACCCGAACAATTATGGTAGGCACTTAATGAAAATTTGGTAAAAAGAAAAATTATTTTGATTCAACCAAAAAGATTATCAGGAGCTGGCAAAACCAAATCTGCCAGTGAGAACCCAAATTCTGAAATGAGAAACAATAAAGCAACTATTTGGCTACTAACATATATAGCAACACAGTAGTGTTTTTTTAATTAGCCATCACAAAACAGGTACTGGAGAAAACATACAAATAGCAGCTGGAAGTTTTTTTACTGTAAAGTTTTTGAATGATAAATTTAAGAAAAAACAATAATGCACAAACTTCCTTAATCATGAAATTACGAGGCATGTTGACATCCATATAGTATCTACACCAGTATATGAGCTGATTGTCATTCCAAGATTTTCATTTTTTGTTTCATTAAATTTGTACTTAAAGAAATCTGTTTCCATGTTCCATTCACTGTGAGACACAAGAAAAAATTTTTTTTTCAAATTCTCTCTAGCGGTATACCTAAAAGAAAAAGTCCAAACATTTGCAAACTGTCTCAGTTTTCTTTGAACTGATCTTATGAACCCTTCATATGACAGGCACCCATTTTATGGGTCCATTTGTGAAGTGTTATCTTTTCTGCACATAAAAGTTTAAGGCAGTCTCAATGGACTATTGCTAAACCTCATTTTCTGTTTATCATAAGATAAAGCACCGAGTGCAAATGGAATGTCAGGGATGCTGAAAGAGCACAGGGTTAATTTTACAATTTTTATTTGTTTTATGTTGTTAAATTAGCTGTCCATATTGATGCCGGAACTGCAAAAGGAAACCATCTTATTATATGACAAAGATGCAGTGACACATAAAAACACAATATCTATGACTTGCAAACATACACATAACCTCTGTGTTTATGTATCTCAGATGTTAGCAAATACAATGACACTTTGAACAAAGGCAAACATTAAACCTCTTAAACCAAAGAACAAATTTACATTCTCAAGATCTCAAAGGTGGTCGGTCAATAAATTTCTAAGAGATCGGAAGACCAAATGCAATAAATCAAACATACATTAACTCCCCGCTTCATATTAGTCAGGTAAACAGTGATGGGTCACAGGGTCAAAAACTTTCCACACACCTGAGCATAGCAAGGTATTTTAATGGCTCAACAGTTGCAATAAAAAAATAAAAAGATAAATTTATGCTAAACAAGGCCAGTACTTTCAAATGTTTATAACATACAACTTTCTTGAAAGCCTGAATTTTCAATACTGCTTCATGATAACATCTGATGCATTGAAGAATTGAATAAAAGTGTATGCAACAAACATTTGAGAACTATCCTGTGTCAAAACCTTTATGCATGTGTAATAAATAAAACTTGCAGAAATGTTTAACCATACAAAAGACAAGGCAAATAAGTCACAAAACACACGGTGAAACACTTCAATTTCAGAATATACCTACATTTTGGCATTTCTTGCCTCCCTTTCTCTTCTCCTTCTTGCTAATCGTTCAGAGAAATCTTCCTCCATAGCGCCGTTCGTTGTGGGTGCCTCTTGAGCACTGACATGCAAGAAATAACAGCAACCTCACAGCAATCACATGCATATAACCACACCATGCAGAGGGAACATTTTCAGGCCAATACAGTGAAAGTGAATGTTTTTAGTCTTTTATCCTTGTTTGATTATTATGGATGTCAAGGAATTATAAGATATACCAATCACAACTAAGGAATGATACTTTATATGAATTCCTTGCAATGATTCTAAAACTCAAACTTTTTGTAACTGCATTAATATTGTGAAGATGACACCAAATAAAATGCTTGAATGATAATTGATTTTCCAAAAGAATTCTCTATTATACAATATCTTAATTAGTTTGTGTGTTAAATGATATCAAACATTAACTGATTATCTCTGATAACCAGAGGCTATTTCTTGATTTGCAGATCAGAAACAATTTTCCACTGCTCAGCCTATCTGCTCCTGACAACAGAATCTGACAACTGATGTAAAACAGGTCTATTTTCTTTGAACAACACAAATACAGCCATGCCTTTCTTTTCTATTGGTAATGTTACTCCATCAATTAAACCAATTAACTAAAACAAGGTGAAAAGATCTGTTCAGATGACTTGTTGAACTTATAATTAAAAGAATCTTTTGTTCATGACAGATGAGCCAAAAGGCTGTTTAAGTACATTTTAAATTTCAAGTAATTTAATGGTAGGGTGAGGCAGGACGGCGTATTTGCATATGCTTTCTTGATAAATAATTGTGTGTTATATCCAATACCAATATATGCCAGGACTAAACAAATATTAAAGTAGTGTTTATAATAAAAGCACAAGTCACCACAACATGACGCAATTTGGCTGGTTTGCAGTGACGAAAGAATGCAAAACTTTTTGTTGTTTTTCAAAATATACCAAGAATGATGTCATACTTTTTGCTTGCTTAGGGGTTATGTAGAATTTAGTGCTATATTTTCATGATGACAATTAAAAAACATACATTTACACCAAAACATTATACCCCAAAAAACTGAAATTTTTCGGTTAAAATGTTGCATAAATTTAACAAAAACATTTATGGAGTGGTCTCCAGAAAAACAAATAAACTATACTTAGGCCCAATCAAGAATTAATACAGTAAAAGATGACAATAATTTATATTAGTAGAATTTCAACAAATGTACTGGCCCTGTAACTCGAAAGCATCGCACATTGCGACCAAGCGCAAGCGCCTCGATTCCATAACTCGCCCATACTTGTCCCATATAATACATTGTAGCCTCTATGTGATATCGCTATTCACAATACGTGATGCTTTCGAGTTACGGAGCCCTGATCAAATTGTAATCAAATGTGACCATGCACCAAACAAAAAAGTGATAAAACAAACTTGTGGTAAGACAAAATTCCTCACATGTGACATAAAAAAACATGCATCAAGAAGTATGCACCAAAGGGCTCTCCAAGTATTACCAGTACTTACTCTCTTTCGGCCCTTGCCCTCCTGCGGGCTTCACGACGCGCTTCTAAATCACTCATGTTGGTACTGTGTGTGCTATGGGTGCCCTAAACTAGACGAAAGCTGCAAAGATAAAATGAATAAATGATAACTCAAATCAATCCTAAGCACATAAGCAGAAATAATAACCTCATGATGCCATATGTTGCTTTCCCAGTCAAGCCAAGTATCTCAGCAGAATGTGATTGCAATTTCTAGCCATAAAAGACAATCTAGTCTTTATGTTATCCCACAAACTGTTTCAGTTAGATTGACTTCTTATTATCCCCACACCTTTTGGTATAAAAGGCAGGGATTATTTTATCCCTTGAGTCAGTCTGTGTGTTTAGTAATTTCCTCCAAGACCATTAGCATTGCCATTAGGAAGTTGAAACTTGGGGTATTGATAGACCTATCATCAGGGATGTGCATGGGCACTTTGGAATTTTACAGTACCCGGGGATTGGCTTAAGAAGGCGAAACTTAGAAGATTAATAGACCTATCATCAGGGATGTGCATGGACACTTTGGAACTTTATTGCACCGGGGGATGGGCTATCCCTGGGGGGTGGTTAATTCTAAATTTTTTTCATCTTTACAAAGTGGAAAAGTGTGGGGATATGCAATTGCTACCAATTGACACCATCTAGTTGTTCTATATTACAATCAATCATTCTGCAGAGATACTTATTGCTATCTTGGTACATCAAGCACAATTTAACAGGGAGCCTCCAGTGCCCCTCAGATGACCAGGAGTAGCATCCTATCCCGATGCCACAAAAAATGTGCTCCTGCAAAAGTAAAACGATTCAGTAAAGCTTACAGGTAAATTTCCATTACAGAAAAATGACCTTGTAATTAAAATCCACAGGTTTATTCTTTACTAAGAGACTTGCCTATCCACCTATGCTACTAAAAACTAAAGACATTAAAGCTTAACATTTATCAAAATACTCTTTTACTGGTTTAAAAATGGCAATGTATTTTATACATATGTATTCATCAATTTTCTAAAATTTCATTACAAACATTTTTTTTCTTTTAATGGCAAGCCATATCTTAATCTAAATGGCCATATCTTCATAGAATACAAGTGCTATCAGCACCTCTCCACTTTGTTAATTTAAGTGCTTCATTCTGTGGCATTCTCAGACAGAACCCATCTGCAAACCCAAAATATAAACCGAGTTACAAAATGTCAACATATACAGAGGTATTCTACCTGGATTTTTTGCACCTATGGTATTCTAATCTTATTCAACTTACTCAGAAGAATCATCAGATCACCAAGGATCCAACATGGAGACCCCATTGTGGTTTAGAATTTCAAACCCTGTGTTCAACATAGATAATCCAGTGACAACAGTAAGACTATTTAAGGTATATATTTATTTTTTAAGTACAACTCTGAATGCACATTAAGCCAAAGTGTACAGACCTTTAAATGGATAGGTATCTGCTTTGAAAATGCATGCCATGATGGGACCACATTTTTGTATTTTGTATACACAGCCTACACATCAGAGTCCCAGTCTACAGGTATTAACAAGAGCACATCTCAATGTGAATTTAATAAATTGAGTTCTATGGACATGACCTCCTTCACCTTTTACCTGCAGGAGACGAAGTAAAAGTTCAAAATCACCAAGCTTATAAATCACAGCATACAGGGGATCTCTTCTGCTTTTGGTTCATTTTACAAAAAACAGAACCCTTACACAGTTATTATGGCTGACACCTGCAGGCATGAGAGAGAACTCCTTCAGATTTGCATTATCTTTATTCAGATGTCTTAACTTTTTCTTCTTTGACTGTCAACTGGAGTAGAACAGACATAAACTCTAAAAGACAACAATTGGTGCTTTTCCTTTTAAAATTGGAGGTTAGACTAAGAAGTTCATGACTTCATGCTTTAAGATTTTTTCAGTGTTAACATATGTTCATAAAGGTTTGGGGATATGTTCATAGACTGAGTAGAAAAAGAACAAAAAGCATTGTTGGATCCTTAATTATTAAAAAAAATGAATTTTATTTTTCACTGTATTGTATTTCTTTTCGTAAGACAGGCAACATATACTTCTAGTAAACAGAATGATAACATACCAAAATCATAACAACTGAATGACACATGAAATGGGCATAAAACCACACTTTTAAGGTTCACTTTTTCAAATATAACATTGCAAGAAAACTTACTAAATCCCTTTCAGCTTTCAAACTTACTTTGATTGTAACTTGGCTCACCCAATAAAGGGGCACTTTTGTCACACATACTACAGCAAATCTTATTAAAGCACCACCAGGACTGTACAGACAGACATTACACTTAACTGTTATGCAACCTGTGGGCTTATGATTATTATTAGGTGGTTGGTTTAAGGTGGGCACAATTGTTGTTATACATAACAGCCCAACAAGGTCCTCCATTTACAGATTGATTTGAAATAAGAGGACTTAAAGTGAGTAATCCTAAACCAATGTGTCTGGGATGATGAATCCTGTGGATCTCTACTTCCACCCCATACACATGTAGACTTTGATGCTAATCTGTTACCAACATTTAGAAGCAGGCAAACATTCCTACTCCTGGTAGCTGCTGCTTCTGATACAGGAGAAAACTGGAATAATGTATTTTGTGGATGTCTTCCAGCTTTTGACTTTTAAGCCTGCACTTTGCAATCATTAACCCTTGTTTTAAGCAAACAAACATCCTGAAGTTGTTTCTTCAAGAAGAAAACATGGAATGATGTATCTTTATGCAATTCTTCCACATTTGTGACCTTCCCTTTGCAACCATTAAATCCTGTTTGTAAAAAATAAACATCCCAGAGTTACTCTTTAAAGACCAGTGGAGGGGGGGGGGCAAAAGAAGGCGATAACTTACATCTTTTGACAATCAACATAACATCAGCAATCAACTCCACTTCTCAGCTACTTCACTTAGCAAAATATGTTTGAAAGCTTTTAGATACTACCTGGATGAAGAGGGAGCAGCTTGTAAATGAAACTGATAGAAGGTACAGAAGGTATATTTCCAAGCATTCAAACTGATAGCTTGCAATTGTACAAAGGAAACAAATTTGAGGATGATTACTTACAACTTAATAGAAACACCAGGACTCCAATTCAGTCTATAAACTTAAATCACACCCTATGTGATGACCTTGTATTTAAAACTCCATATAAGGTTATATAAACAAAGTGATAGGTCTACAAAAACTACAAAACAAACAGATGGCAATAAGTGGGCATGGGATTATAATAATACTCCTCACCTCGAAAAAATTCAAGCAAGCAATGACCCCACAAACTTGAGGCTATGGCAAAGTAATCTGTTCCCAGGCTGTTTGCATCAATGCAGAAGGTGCACCTATCCTATGCACAGGGCTGTAACTCAATCCTTTCACCAAAGTAAAGAGCTAGCACCTTAGATTAATCCACAGTGCCAAAATTAGATCAAGCTTCTGCCTGACCAAGGTGAGCAGATACACATCATGTTACTCCCAGGTTCAGTTCACATATATACTCAGATAAGAGGCAATCTTATTGTGTTCCTTTTAAACCTTGGTCCTCATTGCAATCAAACAGTAACTAGCTCAGCAATAATACAACCGATCTTATTTTGTCTGCACCTAAAAACTGAATATTCCCTGAATCCTACCATGTAGAACTGATATAACCACAATCAGAAGAAAATGTTGTAAAATCAGATTCAGCACATCAGAATGCATCCGAATATACCTGCAAGATTTGGTAATTGCATACTGCCCTCATTTTTTAGTCTGACATTCGCTTGCCTGACTTGATTTTCATACCTAATTGATAGCTGAGGATGATAGTTATATGAGCAAAATAGATCAGTTTAAAACATACCATGAACAGTATTTACTTAAAGAACATGGTATCACATGTATATAGCTTCCCCAAAAATGCAAAATCATTTTTCCTTATCTTAAGTCATCGTTTATTGATTAAAATGAGATTGGCCTCTTCCTGCTCTATTTTGTTTAAAGAACAGGTCAAATTCCTGTGTATTTTCCTTTTATCAAATTTCAAGGGTTATCACTAACTATGCAGCATATTTATTTGTTGAGGCCAAGTCAGAAATCAAATGCTATTGTATGTTTTAGGACTGCAGGTTCCAAAGCAAATATTACTGGGTGCATTGAGAGTGCAGTGTGCCCATTTGACCAGAAAACAAGGCTTGGTGTACCGAGTCTCACTTTTAGATATATTAGTTTCACATGAAGCTTTTTTTATTTTTTTCAATAAAATTATTTCACCTCAACCTGAAAGCCTTATTAACCAATTGCTAATTTTCATCTTCGGAAATCAGAAAATAATACCCTTCATCAACATGCAATTACCAAAATGATCACAAACATGAATACCAAACAACTACAAATAATTCCACTAAATGGGGGTTTGGTTACCTGTAACAAAACTTCAATGGAGTTGGCATGTTGTAAACTTAAGTCAACTAATTTCATTTACACTGGAATCCAGTTGAACAATGACTAATAGACAAACTATTCCAACTGGACATTACGTTTCACAGGTGCACTTAATGGGAAACGGCCTGTGGGTGCCCATACCTTGGACATAGGGAGAGGAACAATCATACTGGACTTACTACAGATCAAACTATGAAATGAAGTACAGATGACTTAACTTACTATTCCAGAAATCCTATGAGAGAAATCAGGGATGGATTACACAATCTTGCTGAGCTGATAAGTGATATGCTTGAATTTTTGTTGGAATTGGAACAAATAAAAAGATGAAATTTATAAATTTATCTTATTTTAACAGCATTTATAAGATAACCTAAAAATAAACTGACATTAAATCCTATGGAGTCCAATTCTTTTTCAAGTGCCTTTGGTTTGACGAACCTATTGCTAAAGGGGCTGGGCTCTATTGTCACAACTGCTTAGGTAACTTTGCATGAGTGAATGGTGAGGGATAAGTCTACAGATATGATGTTGTATACGAACTTGAAGATTTCACTTGAAATATAGTGCAAGAGCTTTCACCCTTTCCTAGTCTGGATTTATCATTTTCAAAAGGTGCCTATAGATGTGTCACTTGTGAATGCATATTGCACATGTGGGATGCGAGGGAGGGGAAGGGTTGGAAATTAACATTGGGCAATATTCTTAAATACCAATCAACGTATAGAATCAAATAAAAGGCATCTTTTTCTTCATCAAAGCATCCTTATTTTTCTCTGGATGATTTTAAAATACATTTCAGCTTATTTTGCAGATTATCTTATGGAAGTATATTTATAACCTAAGAAGCATGTCAACCCAGGAAGTGGCATCTCTAGGTATAAGCTGCTATTACCTGCACATTTCCTGACAGGTATCTTTGTGTGTGTGTGTGTGTGTGGGGGGGGGGGGGTACCTAAGGCAAGGAGGACACACCTGTAGAACACGTAAGTGAAAGCATAGGGGTGTACCATGCAATCCTAGGTATGGATGTTTCTCATGCATAGAAGCACCCATGTCTAAATCATATAGGTGTTTCCCATTTCATCCATCATTAACTTGCAATAATTTGAAGTGCTCAATCACAACATATTCAATTTAAAATGTCAATTTAAAGAAGTGCCCCTCATCATCTTGTTCTAGATGACTTACATCTGCCACTCTTTGCCTTACTGCCTTACTGAGAATACTATTTCATTTTGCCCAGATTGAACTCAAAATATGTTGTTGATGCCAAGAAATATTAAGGGTCAACTTAACAGACTTTCAGTTCACATTTTTCAACTACTTCAAAGTTTCTTTTAGTATTTGTGATGTTTTTTTTCTTTCAAAATGTCTGTACTATAAAACCCAACTCCTCTTTTAGTTGCAACTGCATAGCTGTTTTCCAGTAAAGATGTCAAACAGACAGAGCACGATATTTTTCAAAGATTTAACTCACCTTAGAAACTGTAAATGCTAGATAACATTTCAACAGGTCATTTTTGCTTTGGCTATAAAATTAATCATTTTGGAGACATTTAAATCTGCTTTAAATCAATGACAAATTGTAAGAAACACTGTATGAATATTCATATATTCTTTACCAAAAATAAGCTATCTTTGGCCACTGGCATATTTTCTTAAATCAAACAGCATTGTTCCCCCTCCTACATCCCAACCAAAAATTTCCATCTAAATGAAATTGTCAAGCTGTGTAGTACACATCACGGCCAAACTACTCGGGTGACATTTGTGATAAATAATTGGGTTGTCACTGCACTTCTTTGTCCAAAGATTCTCCTGACATCATATACCACTACTCATTATACTTTATAAACTTTGAAACTATTTGAAACTTCAGTACTCTGACTGATGGAGGTACCGAAATTTAAACTGTCTTCATTTTTTATCTGAGTATCATAACCTGGTTAAGGAGTTTTTTTGCAAAATAGTTTAAATAGTTTTCACATATACTGATCTCAGATCTGATCTGTTCTCTCCCTTCCTGTAAGATCCCCCTCACCAGGGGCGGATTTAGGGCATCTTCTGGGTCTTCCGGAAGACGGTCAGATTTTCAAGTTTACATTGACGGGTATCTAATTTTTTCTGTCAGAAGATGGTCAAAAATGGAGGACGGATCAACAAAGATAAATTGGAAGACTGTCAAAAAATAACTCTGGATCCGCCCCTGCTCACCACCACCACACATCTTCATTCCCTCTTTCAACCATCTGGAATGTATTTTCCAGGCTTTTGTATACCCACTTTCAACAAATCTGATCTCATTTTCATCATCAAGTTGAATATGTTTAGTCTCTCCCTCAAAGCATAATAAGATAACACTTTATAAGAGACTGTGCTGTTTGAGTCTTACAAACTAGATCCACATCTTAGGCTTGAAGTCATGCATTTTTTAAACAATATGGGATATCTTATCATAAAAAGTAAAATCCATTAATAAGGTAAGAAGATCATGATTGATAGTGTTTTTTTTTCAATTTATAAAATATCTGGAAGAGATAGTACAGCCAAAAAGCCAAACTAGGTTGAATGTTTAACCTTAGAGATTATGTAGGTGATATCAGTGGATTTCCTGAAAGCCTGTGAGAGGAAGAGGAACCACCAGTGGCTACATAATACTGTACTCAACATTTGGTCATCTCGCAAACTGGCCATACTGAGAACCCCCTCCCCTTCTTACACATCTCAAATGGCAAAACCAAGGAGTCCTATACAACTCCTTGGGCAAACTAATTCTAAGACTAGACTTCCTGATACCAATTTTATTTATATCCAAAGGATTAACTACATATCTCACAACTGGCCTTCTCAATCAAAAACTTCTTAATACACTCTATAATACCTCAGAATACACAACTGACACAAACATGAGTGAACATCACACCTGCTAGTCTATCTTAACGAGAGCCCAACAACTTACCTGGATTTTGTAGAGATATATTTTCTACCTTAGTCTACTCCAAATAAAAGGAAACCTAGACGTGCCTGGAATATTTTTGGTTTGTAACACTATAACACATCTAAGGAAATCCAAAAACAGTCCATCTGGATTTCTTGGGATCTATATATGCAATATGAATCAATATGAACCAAACAGGTTCAAGAAAGTCCACATATAACCCCTGAAAATTGGCAGAATGAGGAAGTGAACAGTGTCAAAGGCTACTGGGCCACTTACTGTATTTTGTCCCAAAATAATAGAGGCATGCAAATTTCCAATTTCTCTTTTGCTCTATCAGTGCACTTACTGCATTATATGCAGAGGGCTAAATTACAAGACGAAGACGTACAGTGTCTGTGTAAATCTTTAAAAAAAACTCAATGTAAACCCAATCTTCCTCTTTAACAGACTTTTACACCAATGCCACTCTTAACTCAAGTGCATGCATGATTGAAAGCATCATCTGAAGCCATACAGATATCTAACAATATTTGATCCATTTTTCCTGAAAACTTACTGATACTGGAGTCAACTTCACAAGAAGCCAGATACTTCCTGTTCCTCTTCCACAGACAGTTTATCACCATTAAATAGCAATGATGGCATACCTACTGAACTTTTTCAGTAGACTTAATGAACTTCTGCATGCTAGGAGCCCATGTAACTAGTCTGATGACTAAAATTTGTTTTTTTTTATTCTGAAGGAATAACAAATGCCAAACTGAACAGTTTTTGTTTATTTTAAAGGTGAATATCAAATCTATACTACTTGGGTGTCTTTTTTCCTTTCAGTTAATACTCCCTTGGTAGATTATCTCTTGAGCACATGCCATGACAAAATCATACAAATTCACAATCATTCTGCAGCTAACGGCTAAATGCAAGTCAAATACCCATGCTAAAATTTCACTTATGCATAGATATATAGAGAACACCAAACCAATTTCACTGATAGTGTTTAAAATAATGATATACTAAGACAAGGATAAGTCAATTACTGTAAAGGTACAGGGGGGAGGGAAGGGTAAGCCAGTTTACATTTCAGGTATATTCAACCATGCTCACTTCAATTGTACATAGACTGACAGGCAGCTATGCCACCCAAACATGCCCAAGAGACCCCAACCCCTCCTCTCTAAATCCTACCTCAAATGTTAGACAAGCTGTTCATCTGTTGACATCGGAGTTAGAGTTAGTGCTACTACACTTTATAGAATGAACATACCTTTATAGACCCACATATAAACTGCTTAAGTAACATGTCCTAAGTGCAAGCTATATATATATATATATATATATATATATATATATATATATATATATATATATATATATATATATATATATACTTTTTGACTAATATGAACTAGCAAGGCACAGCTAGGACCTAGGTAAATGGAATGACCAAATTGCATATATTTTGTCATGTTATATGACATGTAGTATCAATATTAAATGCAAAGACAGTACAGTGCATAACGCTCAAGTCATATCTGAGGTATATAATCATGTATACTTGCACATATAGTTACATATTACACAAAAGGAACATATGTACTGGTCAAGCAAAAAAAAAGTTATAGGTGGCATACAGTAAACTAAATATTAATCATTTCTGGACACTTTATGAAACACAACATCAGTGGTGCATAATACAAAAACAAGCTGCATATTTTTATCAGATGAAATTTCTTGCCGCCTCATGTACAAGATTAATTTACTCAGATGTTCAGACAAGTGCATCTGCATGAAGACAAGCACTTGTTTAACTCACTATTTCAAGAATAACTAGACTATGACCTCATCTGAAATATGCCAAGACATGTCTTTCTTTGTGCCCTCAATTTAGTCGTATGAATTTGGAGTCGATTCGGATCCTATACACATAATATTACGGCAAACACAGGTAAAGAAACGGACACACATTTTCTGGGCGGGGCTATTGTTGGGCCTCATACCATTCATTCGAAATGTAAACATTGACCGCATAGTAGGAATGTAAAACAACGAAGCATAGCCAGATTTTAAAACATAGATTGGTCGTTGTAAAGAACGTCTAAGAGCTACTTTATGCACAAGTTTAAGGTATCTAATGCTTTCTTACATAGCAAGCCCCAAGTTATTAAAAGCCCACGAACCGGCTATGAAGGCAGCCATATTGGGTAAGCCTTGAAGATCTCACTGCGCTTCTAACTTACGATAAGTTACCAACTTAAAATCAAAATGCGATTTTCTCGAAATTGCACAGGACAATGCATTTACCCCTTATATTTGTACTTGCATTATACAGACACTATACTTACTTCCAATGTGTAGAAATAGGCTCGATTTTCCCTTCCCAACAGAGTCAGAGGCGAAGTATCAAGCTCGGACGAGAGGTGGACCTTATTCTTAGTGACGTAACGCGCTCCATCTGATTGGTCGAAAGTGTAAGTGATTGGCAATGCGCTTCAGAATGCCCAGACAAGTGCTGTAGTTTTAAGTTCACAAATATACATTTAAATGGCAAATAAATGCAAGGGTTTTTAATTTTATATTCATTCCATAGACAATAGTAATTTTCAATGTTATAATTTTTTTCTTTGTGCGTCACTATGCGTATTGCGGGTAAAGCTTTCTTCTTCACTGCAGTAGCCCAAGCATGTGCTTATATGGTAATATCATGTTACTTGATAGGATTCCTACAGGAAAGCATTACTACCAGCATATTTAGAACTCATAGCTGGGTTATCAAATACTGCTCAGGCCTACTTTCTACAAAGATTGCCACAACCACTTCAGTGTGCAATTTCTTGCTAAAAGATGCATCAAAATCAACTTTTATCTGTTCAAATTTATTTCAAACTGCTCAAAATATTCAAACATGTATAATGCATTTTAGATTCATCTGGTGCTAATAAGCAATCTGACGTTTATAAAAGGTTAAGGGGTATATCTGTAGGAAAGTACATGTTTTACTGTGACAGCCACTACATTAAAACAGAAAACTGGTCTGGCACTTGTGTAAAAGACCAAGGAAAGACTTGAGCACTATTTTTAGGCCACTTAATGAATTTTAATTCTTTAAAAATATCAGCATTTGCTAACAAAACAAACAAAACAAACAAACAAACAAACAAACAAACAAAAAAAAGAAGTATGTCAAGCAAATATAATGCTCATTCCTCTAAGAGAAAATAATAATTATGGTATGACTTCTCCTAATGCACTGTTCTGCTACAAATATAACATCCAGGTATTAGCATCAGTGAGTGATGTAATCTGGTCTAAGTTACATGGAAAAAAAACTATGCTCAAGCTCAGGACAAGTGAAATATATAATCTGTTTTCCATCCAACCCAGTTTATTTGGGGTCAGTAGGTTATAGCATATAAACCAGATGAGAAGAGAAAATACTTCATTAACAACACGCAGATATAAAGATTCCTTTGCTGCTACTATAAAATAACCATAAGAAATATGAATCATTCATGAATCATTAAGTCACAAATTTCTTTTGACGGAATATGGAATTCATTGCCATTCAAGCAAAATTATATTTGGTAAAAGATCAAATGAAGTTTCTTAAAATGGTATCATTGCCTCAAAACAAACGTGCAATTTGCATCAAAATAATTTTTTTATGACAAAACAGATATAAACATATGTTTTTACATTTCGTTTGTCTATCATTTACACTACTTGTTATACAACCAATACATCCAGTCAAAACAGAGCCAACCTTGCACTGTTTCTTCACCTAATTTGCTCCACACATCATCAGATAAACCTATCTTTATAATAAAAAGCTATATACAAAAATATAAACAAAACCACACTGCTACTCTATGTCTCATAATACAACATTATGATAATAATCTCTGCAAATGCTTTCTGTGTGGAATGCCAGTGTTCATTCCCTTCCTCTATACAGTGTTAACATATTAGCAGTGAAGGTGGCAATGTGGGATGGTGGTGTATAAAGCTGTTGTAATTTTGTGGTAACTAGGATCCACTGCCAAGAATACATTCTGATGCACCTTGCTGCTGTCTGTCTGTCAGAAGTTCTCCTTCTTTGGCCAAGCATCTTGTGAAAGAGCACACCTGAGCTAATTAATCACCTGGAATATTGGCTGATATGTGTGGGAGGTTTCATTAACTAGTCTCCATCTGCTCAGTGTCGACACCTATTGGGAAGAGCCAGAAAAGTTATCATGGTTAGTGAGACACCTATTGGTAGAAAACAAAACTAACACAGGCAATTAAAACTGCTAACATGTAGTACAATTTAAATATTTGCAGATGGCTGTAAATGGTCATTACATATTGCACTAAAGACTGTGGCTTGTATCTTTATAGTTTTGATAATATTGTGCAATTCTTAATTTCTTCATTTATTTATATCGTTTAAAAATTATACAAGTTCTCTCATAATGTTATGCATTTTCTATTTCAATAAAAAATATTATACAAGGTTTAAATACTAGCCTAATTCATTGAACATGAATTCTTGCTGGTATTCCTTAAGGAACTGTGTAGAGCGAGACTCATCCATAAATAAGGAATATACTCGTTTGATGTCATCCACACTGACTTCAGTGCCCTAGTTAAAAAAATGAAGATGACACTTTAAGTATAATTGCTGTATTTGATGTGAGGTTAAACAATTATTCTCCTTTTTTTGATTCAAAAACAGTCTCCTGACATCACAGAAAATTGAAGTCTACAAATACTTTTTGATTTTATTTATTTAGGTGACCTGTGATAAATTAACATTTGTTCTCATAAACTTAACAAAGACAGCAGAAAGAGTATTTATTCTGGCACAAAAAGTAATACCTTCCTTTTCCTACTGACAAGAGCGGCAGCAGTAATGATCTGTATGGAATATCTCAGAGAAGTCTCCATCCCAATTCTTGTTAGAACTGTTAATGCATCTTCAGTCATCTCAACATCTTCTTCTTCACACCTGCATCATAACAAAATAATTATCATGACAAATTGTTAGAAATGTGAACTGTTCTAATTTTACATCAAAGATATCTGTTTCAACTTCCAAGACAGGCCTATAAGATGTTTCTGTTTAAAATCTAATGATTTGTTCACAATATTGTGAAGAGTAACTAAAGCCATTTTGAAGCTTCTTGCCATTCAACTTGACAGCACTTACCGGATTTTTAAAATTTGTTTGATTTCTTTTTCTTCATAAGGTGATGTTGAAATGATAAGCAGACGGTCCAGCAAGTCAATAGGAATGCCATGAGGGCTCATGTAGTTTGTACCCCGAATTCTAAAAGATGAAGATATATATATATATATATATATATATATATATATATATATATATATATATATATATATATATTACAGAGGCAGAAAATATAATGCTTCCAGGTTTAAAATCAATCAGAAAGATGCTGCATAGATGTAGTATTATGCGAGTAAATACAGACATGAACTAAGATGCACAGTTTTTTTTCAAATGCATAAAATAGAGATAAAAATTCTGTAAAAAAATCAAATACACCAACCATCTAATACAGCCTATGTAACAACACAATATTTTCAATAATAGTTGTGACTTTTTGATATTTGACAGTAAACAGTTTATCAAGCTTATCATACTCAAAATACTACTAGCAATAATTCTCACCTAGTGATGCCTCTATTGGTTGCCATAATCAACACAGGGGCCATGTCACTTTCTAAGGCACGGTTTAGGAAGGAGAAACACTCAATGTCTAACATATGAACTTCATCAATAAAAAGAACCTAAAATATATAAAGCAATAATTATAAAACTATGACTCATTTGGTTAAATATGTTCTTAAGAAATAACTTAGGACACTTTAGGACTGGAAACCTTGTTACAGTTATTGAGTTAGGCAATATTCATGTATGTCAGCTAATACCAAGATAAAAACATTCACTTGACAAAATTTGCTTGATATAGAGAAAAATCATTTGAACCCTAAGGTGCAGGTGGCACAAAATCTATTGTACAACTTTAAAAAAATTGCACATTTGTAAAGGATTTGCAAGATAAATCATTTAAAAAAAAACAATATACCAACAAAGCAAATGGAAATGTGCATGTGTACATCAATACCAAATACTGACTGCACTAAAAATGTTATTAAGGCCACACTTTTTTATTTTTATGGATGACATCCTCTGGGTACCCCAAAATCGGTGCGAGAGGGCGAAAAAAAAAAAGCGGTCCAAAAAAAAAAATTCTGCTTAAGTAAAGGAATGCTGTCAGTACACAGCTGGAAACACAAATTTTACCACAGAAACACGTATCAAACTAACAATATGTCTTTATCCATGCTCTCAAAATATTAAAGCATTGTGAATACTTCGTAGAAATGTAAAAAAAAAGTCATGAATAGATATACTTTTTATTGCAAAATCTATTAAGGTTATTTCATGCATTTTGATGGTATAGCAATCAATAAAACAAATATCAAACAAACAGTGTGTCTTTATTCGTATTCTCAGAATATTAAAGCATTTTGAACACTTCACAGAAATGTTTTAAAAAATGATGCAAAGATATGCTTAATACTACCAAATCTATTAAAGGTCATTTCGGACGATGCCATTTTGTCTACTTCGAGTCACACGGCCAAACTGTCAGGTGGCCTGTCCGACCTTCAGCCCACCAAATACCTCGACGCCCTTGTCGACCCTTTTTTCGCTACAGAAAACCTGGTAGCTTATGTGCTGCTTTGTACAGAATGTCACTGAAAATTTTCGGGCGATAATCGCTGGCGGCCGCCAGCCTTTCGCACAATTGTAAAAAGGTGATATCTCCATGCCCAATATCAATGGCATACCAATCCAAAACGACGGCACCCGTTCTCTTTATGACTTTAATTGTCGTGTAATTTGAAAGTTATCCTAGAGATGAATTTGACGGCAAAGCGGCCACATTTCCACGTGGCGATAATACGCATGCGCAGAAAGCTCATTTCCTGGCAAATTCAATAACGACGTTTGCGCCAACCGACTTCGTTGGGGGCTGGGGGGGGGATTTTTTTTTTTTTTCCGGAGAACGGGCGAAAATCGGTGCGCGCGCAGGATGTCATCCATAAAATTAAAAAAGTGTGGCCTAAGTACTCACTCCTGGAACAATCTCAGCTTTGCCTTCCTCTCTCCATTCTGCTACTTTAGCATTGATCTGTTCTCGTACTTCAGTCTTTATTTCACCAGTGTCACCTAAAAACAAAATTATCCAATCAAGATGATTTTTTTCTTTTTCTTTTACAATCTGTCATTATTATTAATTATATTAATTAAAAAGTTTATCATCCATTAAATTCAGAAGATTTCTGGTTGATTAAACAAATGTCCAAATCTCCTTCAGTAAAAAAAGTCACTGACATTTTCATTTCAATCTTATGAATTAATCAACACCATTTAGAACATGAAAATTACCTCAAACCACAGAAACTGCTTACAAATTCAACAGATAACAAAGCATTTAAAATTACATCAAGATGTGCATATCATGAAATTACCAGAGAATAAAGCAAGGAAGCCTTGTGTTCTACTGTTAATTACATCAATTTCATGTAAAGTTACAGTGTGCACCACTTCTTTCCTTTTTTGCAGTTCGCCCTCTGGACACTGGACAAATTTGGTCTGAAATTTCAAGATAAATCATAAAATGGAACCCTTACACATATCACTGCCCTGAAAGTATTCACAAACCTAAAACAAGGACAGCGATTAATTTTTTAAAAAGCTTATTCATTAGCTCATATAACTATGATAAATTCTTAAGTAAGAAAATTTACTAAGGCAGGACTTGACAAGCCCTGTTAACTTAATCAATAATATCTATACTTTGGTGCTTGAGCTTTTACATATTGCTTTGAGTTATTTTTTTCAAAAAATCAAAATTTAAAAAACTGCTTTTTGCTTTTTTTTTACCAACCTGAGGTCCCATGGCATCATAGTCTCTAGCTCTGGTAAAAGACCTGCCCAGTCTTGTAATCTTGCCTGTGGCTTTGTCAATTGTTATTATATCACTAGAAGAAAAAGGTATAACATGATGTACATCTTAATTCATAAGTTTCAAACAAGTGAAAAGTTATTGTTATCACCTTAAAATGTGAGCAAATATCACTGAATCCCTGTGTAATGTGAGTCAATCATGTGTATAATATAATACTCTGCATCTTTCAACATTTTGTCTCTCTTTACAAGGTAATTCAAGTTTCAAAATTATATCACTGTGTCTTGATGACTTCATAACTACTGACATCAATGAAAATCATCCAAGGCACTTCATGATGTCATACAAGACTAGAAAACATTAGAATCCACGGGAGGAGTGGCTAACCTTTTAGCAATAAGGACAAAACTCTTAATGCTGGGAATGTTGTCTTAGACAGCAATACATAAATGTTACATACAATACATGTTGAATAGGTGCTGTTATGCAAAGACTGTACTTTTAATAACTTAAAAGAAAGCAAGCAAAAAATATATATATATATTTGTGGATTACTTCTGTTAGCTTTAACTAGTTGCACTTGCTAGTCTATAGTTATTTTTGACCCCACCAAATGCCACAAAACCTTGTTTTATCTCATGCTTAGTTGTGAGATTTTTGGCTTTCTCAAATGATATATATTTTTTCACAAGTTACATACCCTGCTTGTACTTTTTCTTTGGTGAGAGATTCAATCATTTTCTGTCCAAGATCATAGATAGTTTCCATTTCTGTAGTTTTCAAAGTTAGCTTTCCAACTTTGGCTCCCTGTTAAAAAAATTTTTACTATAAAAACTAAGGCAAATTTTCCTTTTATACATTCATTATGTAGATACCCAGCAATGTTCGAACTAAAATATCATAATCAAGTGTCAAACAATGATTCACAAAGAAAAGAAACAGGTTAATGAGGAAAAGACTAAAATAAGCAAAGAAAACGACATAGGCTTCATGTTTTTTTAAATACATAATAGTAAAAAAGCAAAAGATTATGTAGAGTTTACTTCAAAGGCTGCAAGTTAAATAAACATTAAATATGAATTATTTTGTTGGACTGTGTCAAAGTAAGACAAATTCTTTAATTCTCAAATCATGTATAGGCTACAACATTAGGGTTTATGTTCTATCCCATTAGTGCAAAAATTGTCCATTATTCCCCGACTTAGAAACTTACCGTGCCAGTAGCAGGCCTGTCTATCTGTATTTCAACAACTTCACCTTCTATGATCTCTGTTTCTTCCCTAAAAAAAGAAGGAAATAAAACATGTTTGATAAACACCAAGATGTGCTAATTATTTATACTTTTAATTCTACTGTTTACACACAATGTATTTCAATTCTTCTAAATTACCAAAAATTACATTAAGCATATTGTTAAACCATACATCTTCTGATACTTACTTGATTCTAACTCCTATAGATTTTCTAAATGCTTGAGTCAGAGCTTCTGTCTTCCCCATCTCTAGTGAAAATATTTCACTTCCAGCCATTGCTGTAAAAGGGGTGTCTTGACCTAGAGCTTGTGCCATACCTTTTTAAATGACAATAAATAATAGCTTAAATTCCAAAAAAATGTAGAATAAAATCAATTAATAATAGTAACAACTAGCCATGAACAGTTAGAGATAAATAACATACATGGAACAAATAATACACAAGTAGCTATATGTCAATACTTGTGCCTGTATCACACCAAATTCTCATTTAATCATTATTTTTAATCAACAAAACAATACCCAAATACCCTTCTCTCAAAATTCTACAGATGTTGTAAAAGTTTGAGCTATTACTCCTCTCATGACATCTGCTACAATGTGATTAATCCACCCACAATAAATAGAGGTTTTTTAAAATGTTATCTTACCCATGGCTATGGCAGTTTTTCCTGTCCCAGGCTGCCCAGCTATCAAGATAGCCCTGCCAGCTATTTTACCTTCCTGTAATAATACAATGGTCTTTAAAATACTAAGTGTCATGGTTTCAAATTACTGTTAAAAAGTAATCCAATATCTTGCCAAGGGATTCTTTCTCCTACTAAGCATATAATTATGACCAAATGAACCACTATACTTAATACAATATGCCATTTTAGAAGAAAAAAAAACAACTGTTTCTGCCTAATGGTAGTTTTTTACAACAGTATACTTTTGCAATCATAGATAAGGATTATTTGTGTAAAGCAAGAAATAAAATGCATCTGAGTAAGTGGACAAGCAAGGAAGAGAGAGAGCAAGTGAAGGAGTGGGTGGTTTGGTGAGCAGAGTTAAACCAAACTAATGCATCCCGTCTTTCAGATGGAAACAAAAGAAAAGGACCAAAATGTTAAAAAGTAAGATATACAAAAACTGGGTAAAGCAGCTGGTAGCAACCTTGATCATCTCCAGTATAACTCCTGCTGCTCTCCTAGCAGCAGTTTGTCCCACCATCCCCTGAGACACCTGCCTGGCCTCCAATGCATCATCAAGACCGAGACCACGGATGTGGGAGTGGGCACCTTGTTAATAAATGAGCATTATCTCAGATATGGTTACTATACTTGTGGTTTGAACTGCCACAAATAAAAATTGACTAAAGAAATATGTCTGCCACAAAATGTCAAAGTAATCAAGCATAAGTAGTAAGTTGCCTTTAGATTTTGTGTAACTTACTTGGATCTTTTTATAGCAAAGTTACATTGTTTTTTTTTCAAGACATTTTATACTTCTCTGTATATAATAATTACTTTTTGAATTTTGAAGAGTTAAACTAAATAAGAACATTATAATAAAAAATAAGAAAGGAGGGTCTGTTTCAGTTACCTTGACTACCAGGCTTTTATTCAGACAAATTGCTTTCTTGACTTACTACCAAATTCAAACCAAATGCCGATTAGGACTTTTTTCTTATTGTGATGGTGATCTTTTTTCAACAGACTTGTATATATTTTCACAAAGGTCCTAAGTTGCTTACCAATCCGCTCAATCCTTGTCACCTCTCTAACTTCTTGTACTTTCTGTGCCGCTGCCTGAAGTATATAAAGAAAATGTACTTGAAATGTGTAAAATCAAGGGAATCACTATAGTAACTAAAGAACAGACTTAAGAAAACCATCCTACTGAACTAATATTTAAACAATTCAAAAGTTTATATTCTTTTTACAAGGGGTGTGCAGTCCCCCAACACCACCCCAACACCCATTAATAAACGCAGCTTAACACAGAATAATACATTGTTTATCCAGAATCACGCATAATATGAACTGCAGAGGCATTAAAAGAGTTTCAGTTTTATTATAAAAATGTAACACTATTTATAACTGTTCTTGCCAATATACGAAGCCAAAGGGGGGGGGGGGCAATTTAATCGTAAATTTGTATAATTTTGTTTTTAAATTGGGTCAAATTTTAAAATATTAACGTTAAATCCAAGCATTAAATATTTCTTTCGACTAGTTAAAATTCAAAACATCCAAATGTAAACGGTTTATTCCACATGCATGCCAGAATGTAGTCAAGGAAACATTTTCATCACGCTACCTAACCGGCTTCTGTTGTTTTATCTTACCATATAAGACGGTCGAGTGAACGAAAACTAGAAAATATAACGTGAACAATATCTATATTAAGTCCCATTAACAGAAAGACAGCTAGAGTAGCGAAAAGCATTATTACAAAGAACTGGGATGAACATGTGCGAAAGCGTCACTTACCGCCGCCATGTTGATGTAAGACACGAGAACATACGAGATTAGGTTTAAATTGGCGAGATTTCGCGCCTCAGTTCTTGTTCACGAGACGTGTGTGCTGGTAGGCCTGATCTTCCCGACTTTTTGACGTCAAAGGCTTTACGTGTTGATATTAAAAAAAAGAAACATATCGTTTGTTAAATATTATGAACTGCTGTTAACGATTCAAAATAAATGAAATGCCTATCCATTTCTGGGGTCATTCAACAAAAAAGTGAACACCGTCCTCTCAGTGAAGCACACATTATAATGTACGTTAATTATCTGCATACAATTTCGACTTTCGCAGTTTCCTTTTATATAGTACCTCTCAAAAATTAAATGTTATCAAAATTTGACATCTAATATTTAGATCTAAAAAATATATTACTCAAAATGTATGAGTGACTGTTAATTTGTCTATATTTATTTATATTATTATTCTTTATATTGTTAACTTTTTTTTTCTATTTTATAAATCATTTAACTATTTATTCATTCATTCATTCATTTGTGGAACGCCCCAGATGGGACCTAAAATGGGGGAGGGGGGGCTTTCCGCAAAAGATATTCATTTTTTTTTTTTAATTAAAATTAAATTACAGGCATATACAGGTATGTCAACATTTGTTCATATATACCATTTTATGAAATTTTTCAAAAGTATGCCCCTTTTCAGTTGATTTAAAAGGGCAAATACCAGTACTGATCACATCGCACTTTAAACTCTTTATTCAGTTGTTACCACCCCTCTTTATCAGAAGCAGGGGATCTGTTGAAGGGGTCCTCGGCGACAGCTCCAGGTTCCTTCGGTGGGGCTCTATGGACGAGTACGTGGGACTCAATGTGGAGACCCTGGGCCGGGCCCTTTGCAGGGAGCCTAGGCTTTTTTCCTCTTTTGTGCATTTTGAACCTCCCCCCCCCCCTTTTATTGTATTGAACTTTTGGTGCCCCCTTGAAAATAATTTTGAGCCAACTTATTTTTTATTTGGCAGTTGTCAGTAGAATATACATTGAACATATCAGAGTTGTACCCTGTAATTACTGAACAATCTTTGCAAGACTTAATTGCCTGACACCCACCTGCTCTCCCTTGTAAGTCTGCAAAGCCAATGGTTTGTAGGGAGTACTGATGTTAATATCTATCACAAATCATGTTAATAATTAATAATTTTATGTAGGATGAATGCAACTTTTGAAATTTCTTTAAAATATATACTGGAATGAAAACTGACAGTAATTTTGAAAACAAACGAACAATTAAAGAACTTTTGAAAGGCTTATTCCACACTCAGCAAATGCAACTTTTGTGCAAAACAAAAAACCAATTTTTTCAGAGTATTTTACTAATTTCAAAGCATTTCAACAGAGAATATTAATGTAGAAATGTTGCCTTATTTACTGACAAAACCTGAATTTTGGCCAAATTTGCAAAGATCAGGGAGCTGCAAACCAGTTTTCGTAGCTTCATTTCCAAAATGCAAGATTGCATAAAACCAATAAGATCCTATAGAATCCTGTATGAAATTGGGCCAATTTCACATAGAATCCTATTGGATCTTATAGGATCCTATAGGACCTTTTCGTAAGGGCTTTTTAATGAAAATAGAAGTGAAAAAAAGAATATTTGCAGAATTCATAGTTTGCAGCTCAGGTTGCCGATGCACCAATCAAGTTTTCTTCAAGTTGATACTGAAATAAGTTCCTTTTTCGTACACCAGTGCTTTTTGCATTTCCTCTTATATCTACAAATAGTTCAACCAAGGCTTCAGGGGGCAGCTTTTGATGAAATATCCACAAGTAGTTCAACAGTTTATGCAGATCATGGTAATGATAAAACCTTCCTGCAAGTTTTAACTGCGAAAACTGCAGCATCATCCAAGGTAGTTTTGAGTAAAACTCTACGTCCATTTTCATAGTGAAAACAAAACCTGGTGAACAAGTTACATTATATTCAAGAAATAAGAAATACTTTGAAAATATAAATCTCTGAGCAAACATTATTAACATGCCATAGTCAATATTATCCTTTTGCCATGATTCTAGAGTGGAAGTGGCATTTGTGTCAGAAGGATTTGTTCTGTATATAACCTGTAAGAATCCACTGCTCATATAGGTTGGAAACATTGATATGATTTCCTTTAATATTTGAAAATTGCTGCTTTGGTCCACTGACAGAAATATGAGAACAACTGTTTCCATTTGATCTTTTTCTGTGGTCTCCTCTATCAGTGAATTTATTGTTCTCATAATTTTATCTTTGCCATCTTTTTCATTCATCAGGATGCCAATAGTCTGAAAACCTGAAGTAAAAAGAAAATATATCAAACATGGTGAATAAAACCTAAACATTTAGAAGACAAATTTTCACTCTGTAAAAAATTGTATTAACATTTCACAAGTATTGCATTTCAGGTCCCTAGTAAATAAGAAAGAAATTTTTTCTTCTTTTATCATTATTTCGTGACATTTTATTATTTTATTTATTTATTTTTGTTGTTGGGGGGGGGGGTGCTCATGTTTGTTGATGTCGCATAGATTGATAATATGTACTGGTGTTAGGTAACGTAATTCAAAACATTACAGTCCAACGTAAAAAACACGTGTTCCTCACCTTTAATAGCCCTCTGCCTGCCAACCACTTGGAGTTTTGCGCTGTGGCTCCAGTAAGACAAAGGAAGAACCACGGTGCCGCTAGGAATGGGTCCCTCACGGGCAAAATTCCCATTAGTTTTTTCCCATTTAAAGTAGTATCTCCGGAGTAAATTCAACATCCATATTACATAGAGTGTAGCCACTGTCACAAAAAACATCGATATTATCTTCATTTTTGCAAGTGCATCCTACCGCATATCTAATGCATTTTTGTTGTGGTGGAATTATGATTGAAACCATGAACAGCTTAACGTTCCTTCTTTCTCTTCACTGTGTTTAACACAAACTTGCCAGGGGCGGATTTAGGCCGTCTTCTGGGTCTTCCGGAAGACGGTCAGATTTTCAAGTTTACATTGACGGGTATCTATTTTTTTCTGTCGGAAGACGGTCAAATATGGAGGTTGGATCAACAAAGATAATTTGGAAGACTGTCAGAAAATATCTCTGGATCCGCCCCTGCTTGCTACCTCCTACATTTAATCTCCTCGCTTTAACCCGTTGTTTATTACACCTGAGACGCAACACCTGTGAAAGGAGGACAGAAATGGTACTTCCGTTGTCCCGTTCATACTGAAGGGCAGAAACCACTAAAAACAGTTTTGCAGGCATTTCTTAGTATGGTCGTCAATGGGAAATTATTTGGTGGTTTCTGTCCTGCAAATTCAATGAACAAACCGTAACATAAAAAGGGAAGTGGATTATTCCTCCTTTTAACCCCAGTATTTATCCACCCCTTGGAACTGCCCATGGTCACCACTCAGTGACCATTACTACAGAAGCGCTTTCGATTTGGAACGATTTGAGTGACGCATGTAGACCTACAAGTATGTGGACCTCAAACCGCCGTTGGACCTTATGTTCAAACACGTTATTTTTTCGTTATCTCATTTATTTATTACTAATTATGAACTAGGATTTACAATAAGTTCAGTTCTATAGTAGGGCTTGCTTGTGTTTTACCCTCCTGCTATTTCGTGAACTTGTTCAACAGATAGTGTAGGCCCTATTCTTTTATTCTCACTGAGAGATTTGAGAAGATGATTGATTTGACATTAACTTTATACAGCAATGTTTGAAAATAGGGGTTTTTGTAGACAAAGGAACTGCTGCATTGCAATACATTTAAAACAATTATGTCATTAAATGTGTAACTACATGTATTTATTGACATAAACAATGTATCGTTCATGTATCTTTATTCGCATGATGTACTGTACAGTAGGTCTAGATCTACTTCTCTGATGTACGTTTACTACAAGAGGCTATGTACAGCATGGTGAAGTGGTATTTTGGATTGAAGACCTTGAATTACAGTACATAATGTACATATGATAATTAAAATGCGATTACAGGGAATAAAGTCATTATTTTGAAAACCAAAGTCGACAGGCCTACAATACCAATTTTTTAAATTTACGAGCTTTATGCTAGACCTACTCACCACGGAAATACATGTAGGGCCTATTTGAATAAAATATGAGGAAAATGCTTCTTAACAACCGCAGTTTTTATTTTAAAGAATTGTGTCGTATTTTGATATTTTTGATATTCTTCTGGTGAATGCGGCATGGGTTCAATTAATAAATGACTGCTTTAATATATGCCGGTACACATAGGCCTACATGCATATATACACGTCCGAAAGAATAATTTCATTCACCGCCCACTATCATTTACAAAAAAAGGTTAATCAAAGAATTTTTATGTCAAAATAACCAACTCCCAGCGGGCTCCAAAAATCACTTGAAGTCTATGAAGATTCGACATTCGATTTTAAAATCGAAAATATCTTCACGACCTGATTCCTCGAGCTCGGTATTTGGCGACAACGAAGCCTGGTGTTTAGGAATATCACCCATATACTGGAAAACAACAACAAAAAAAAATAGATTGATTAAAATAACACAAATGTAAACGGATACTATGGTTGTGTCCTTACGTGTGTGTGTGTGTTTGTGTGTGCGCGTATTCGTGAGTGTTTTTAAAAAGGGGTATTTCATTTCCCGTCATGTTTGCATTTCTAATCTTAACAAGTGAATTTTAAAAGAATCAAATGCCTTTTTTACTGGTTCAGGCTTCATCAATATCTCCAAGAAGGTCGTCCACAATATCATCGACGTCGTTTTCGGTCAGATGGCTCATATCGAGGTCGTCGTTGGAACACCGTCTGATATAAAATTAAATCATGCAAATTTATGCATTAAAATGATACACAGCTGTTTAACTAACTGTTTCACACCAATTTGTAAGACACGTTAAATAACCTTTACGAGGACGTTGTTTTATAGGCACATAGGGTTGCAACTTCAAATGAATATAGACCACACGCACCCTTTGCTACATTCCACTTGTCCCAAGCGCGTCTCTGTTGCTGGAGTCTTGGCGACATGCATAGACACGCCGACGACCGCCAAGTCGATGTTCGATTCCCCGGTTGATACATCCGAAGGACGGGGTCCAACTACATATACAAAGAATAGTTTTGTTATTCTCACATGATGATGTCCATGATGATGAAAATTACTTTTAAGAACATGCGAGGGATCATTTCCATACGCCATTGTTCCTGTATAATCAGATAGCTAATATATATTTTCCTTGCAAATGACTATAGCAGGGCTCTAGCAAAACAGCACAAGTTTACGTTTTCCAATGATTGTCAAGTTGTCTCAAAATAAATAGCTAACTAAAAAAACAGCGGGTATGTTATCTATAAAAATATTGAATATCATCTGTTTGTATTTTAGATTTAAAAGATTGCAGGGATGTTGACAATTATGAAAATGCACCTTTCACACCACGCTGACAAAACATCCTGATCCTTTCGCAAAGTCCTAACTTCCTTCGAGTTGCTGAAATAAAAAAAAAACGTAGGCCCTATGCAACGCTACGATTTTTGAAAAATTGATAAAGATTTATGTAAATTTGATTTAATCTTGTAGATTACAACTTCTTGGTAAAATTTAAGCATTCAATAGCCTAGATAAAAGTTCGTCTACAAAGCTCAAATCTGTGAAAAATATAATTGAACATAATGTTATCTTTGATAGTTTGAGTACTTGATAGTGGATGAAATTCTTTGCTGTATTTAGCATATGGACGTAGTTTTTTTTTCATATATGTACCGGTATACATTACTAACCATTACTTGACTCTTCTTTTGTGTGATTATCACCAAACTTTAGCTTCTCAGAACCCAATGAGTATTCTAATTTTTTCAAATTATGTTGTTCGGGGATTTTTTCATTAGAAAAAAGCGACTTACATGATAAAATGTCGGTATAGGCCCTAATAGCCTGATTTCATCTATTTCAAAACATTTCAAATGAAAAATATTCATTTCAAAACAAAAATATAGTAGATAAAAACTTACTTGATTGATTGCAACCCATAGATGAAAAATCAATATAGAAGTAAGAAGAAAATCTTCAAATGGTAGTCTTGCACCCAACGTTATGTCAGAAACAAATGTTTTGCTATGTGAAAACTGGATTAAGGTACATTGACTATTATGACGTCATAACCCGACAAGAGACGACGGAATCGCGGTATTAGTGCATAAATCGCTTTGCCTTATTGAGCAAATTCTGTATAGAAACGGCGTTTTCAATTTCATTTAAAAATAAAAACCAACATTCTTTATTGATTTGTTTTAAAACATAATCTCGAAATGTTAGTTTCTGCAATTTAAATTTATAGAATTCAATAAATGCCATTTGAAGCAATTAAACAACATAGAATTCAATAAATGCCATTTGAAGCCATTAAACAACTTTTATTTCAAAAATATTATATCTGTAAGGGAATATATCTATAAAGAATTTATAACACAAAATATTTTTTTATATTGCATACGAAAAAAAGTTGAAATATATAAACACAATTAGCACCAATTAAGCTATGACTTATGACAAACTATTCTCGATCGAGTCATAGATCTATGATAGAGCCAAACATTGAAAACGTCCTGTGGCCCCTTGTCTGATTCGTAACATAAGAGGGGTTCTCCTGTAACCAGTTCTATGAACAAATACACTACACTGTAGGAAATTTGAAATCTGATAGTTTTCACTAACATCATCTACTCAGTAAACTGAGCTACTCATCGACAGCGATCTGTATAATAGAACTTTGATTTATTTATTTATTTTATTTTATTTATTTATTTATTTATTTATTTTTTTTTTTGAAACAGTATACAAAATTTCTTTTAAGAAACTAAATTCAAATATACGTTCACGCTAAATGTCTTCTGTGTAATATGCGGTAGAAGTATGACCCGCAGTCAGAGGTTGAAAAAAATGTCACATTGAAATAAACCATCAACTATGACAGAGTAAACCACCCCTTGTTACGTGTAGGACCACTTCCCGGAGGCATCTGCCTCAACCAAGTCATGGCCCTGGAAGATCGTCATCTGAATGTTTCCTTCACAATATCAACGTACGCTCTGTCCTCGTTCACCTTACAATCATATTCCAAATTATTCAAGCGACTTCCCCATGTTAGATGGCTGTCTCCTGGGTTGTAGAACTTGCTCTGTATTGTGGTCTTCATTGTCCCCAAATCCTTGATCTAGAGGGAATAAGTGGTATAATATTTTATTTATGACTATAATGCTCATATTCATAAATGTAAGCAATATCAACATTTGTATATATATGGAATATATGGAACATTTACACTAAAATAGTGTCACACACGATACTGAAATTTTGGTACGTTACAATATTTTAATCATGCGCCAAAGACAAGTAATACAAATCAAATAGGCTGTTAAATAAGGCGAATCTTTTTTCAGAACGTTTTATGCTAATTTTTTTCCATACCACGAAAGAGGAGTCTTGAGCTACAAAAAAACCTGAGATAGAACTTTCAGCGCTGTTTCAAGAGTAACTTACATTTATTAGTACTAGCATGCTGTACCTATTGGCCTTCTTGGTCACGGAGGAATATTGAGTATCCCAATCAGCTGTGTAGACAATCTGATCCTCGGATTTACTCGCCTCTTTCAGGGCAAGATCAACCCCATCCACTTGAACATTCCTAGAAAATGGCACGAGGTAAATGAATATCACGGAAATGGAAAGCTCAATCACTCTGAATCTGAAAGTCTCCACCTGTCATTTCACTCACTGATACTTAGGACCCAGCAAACAGATGACTATAGGGGCTTCGTTGATGATTATGACCAGTAACATGGACATAATGAGAGATCTCTCATTATGTCCATGCCAGTAATTAAGATGTTTTTTTTAACACTAAAACAAACTTCAATCTAGATAACTTTCGCGTCTTTATATGAATTGCTCCATCTCTCTCTCTCTCTCTCTCTCTCTCTCATGCACGCTTTCACATAGGCATTCACATACACGCTTAGCTCCAGTATTTCGGTCTGAAATGCATTTTTTATCGAAACAATGAATGCTCAATGATCGGCCAGTTGTCGGCACGTAAAGTATTATAATTTTTTAACTCTCAAATGGGGCCGTACTGCTGGACGCAGAAAGGGCGCCGTCCAGTGTAAAGGGGGCTTTACAGGTACATCTAAAACCCGCATTCAACTGTAATCGAGTGCTTAACTGACTTTCTTTATTGTGCATGTGATGTCTAATCATTCTACACATGAAAACGTTTTATCTAAACATCCCCTCTATTACGAATGTGTGTGACCTACATTGTACGACTCAATTTACTCACGAGTTTAAATGAGATGTTTTTATCTACGTCTACGTCAACGTTCATCCATTTCCCCAATCAGATGTGCAGTAAATGCTGGCTCGTTCCAAGGTCCAAAAAGTGTTCCTTTGTATATTAACAGGTATAAAGAGAAAACATCCGACTCCGACACAACTCCTGACATATCAGTGCTTTTCATATTTTCCACCGTATCGCATTTATCATATAGCTTCAAAGCATAAAAAAAAGTGTCAGAATAGAATACAAGATCAAACATACAATTTATAACTAATGGGTAAAGGATATAAAATGAGGGGTCGAGTTTTAGGCTGAGCTAACGCAGAGAAGTTTTTACATTGTCATAATTAATGAACAGGAACGCATCACTAGTTTTAACGCTATTCAAACACGCAAAAGTGGAATCATTGTTTGGAGTTTTGATAATTCGCAAACAATGGTCTAGTAATATGCATACCAAAATTTAGCCTGTTTACACATAAAATTCGTTTTGCGATTAAAGTCGGGGAATATAATTCATGGCAATTCACCCTATGTTGTATGTGTAACGAAGATGAATATGAGAGATCCTCTCAATTTATTGCGACCGAAAGTGTCACATGTCCTAGTAAACAGGAAGGGATCGAATTTATCTGACCAGTATCTGTCATAATCAGGCCTTCATTGTTAGGAACTAAATGCGTTCATATATCTTTAAAAATTAAGTTTACATTAAAATTTAACTTAGACCTCTTATGCTAGAGGTAGTTTGCAGAGCTGGACACTGAAATGTGTGTGTGTTTGAATGTGTGTGTGTGTGTGTGTGTTATCGTCTGTGTTAACGTCAATATGCATCAACAAATGTCATCTCTCCAATCCTTCTCCCCTCACCCAGTCTTCCCTCTCTCTTTTTCTCTTTTCTTTCTTTCTTTCGTTTAGTCAAAATAAAATCCATCAACTTACGTTAATTCCCTATGCGGTTTTATTCTAAACTGTAGTTCGTATACAGTTTGCACGCACAATTTCACAGTTTTCTGAGTCCCAAATCGCAGACCATCTTCTTTATAGTGTGCCTCTCGTTCAGTAGACGGGTGTCGTATTCCCACGGAAATTTTGAAATTTTGAGCCATCTGTTTTGGAAGTGTTCTGTTAGTTCATCAATATGTGCTGTGCTGACAAGTCGCAGTCATGAGGGGCGTTTACCTCGATTGTTTACATGCAATATATTCGTACAATACACGCACGGGATCGGGTAAAAGTCACGTGCCTTTTCGTTCCCGCATATGGTAATGTCCAGTTCATATGGTGCCCAACTTTGTTACTGTAATAGTTGCACCCTCTTTTAACGGAACTGTATTGAGATCAGCTGATACTCAGGCCAAAGGATAACTTTCAGACTACCTGTTGTAATTGAAGAACAGGTTAATAATTATCAACTGCACACCGATGCCATCGTCTGCCTTATAGACACAAAGGTCGATCAGGAAGATTATACGATATGTTTGGTCATGTCAGCTGTTGTATAAACACAAACTAGCTCGTGGTTACTTTGTCAAGTCTCACTGTGCAACAGTCAGTTTTGAAGGTTTTCATATCTTTCATAATTTCGAGTGGACTATCTGGTGTTACAACACATCTATTAAAAAAATCATGATAAGGATTCGCATCTCTAAAACCCGATGTACCCAATGAATCATTACATTCTCAAACAAGAACAACTGTCATTTAGCAAACAGATTTCAATTAATTTTGCAGGGATTTATAACATCCGATAGTGGAGGAGGTTATGTTTTTGTTACCGTTAGTGGGTTTTTGTCTGTGTACACCATCACGCAAAAGTAATGGACACATCTTGACAAAACTTTCAGGATAGGTCACAAACGCCCAATTAGATTTTGATGATCCATTGACTAATTAAATTTTCAGGATAGGTAATAAATGGGCCAATTTCATGAAAATTTTGGGATAGTCCAGAAACGGACAAAGGCAGAAATTATGATAAGAATGTGGGAATTTTCCATTAATCAAATAATTATGTAAGGCTTTTTATGAAATTTTCTTAAAAGGTCGCAAATGAACCAAAGAAGAAATTATTAGATTTTGGCGATGATTAATTACTTAAGTCAGTAAGTAATGTTTAGTTATTAGATAATTAGGCTGCGTTCACATGCAAAATCTATTTTCTAAAAATCTATTTGCGGTATCTTGTGATCACGGTCTGTGCCCTGAATACCCCACGGCATATTTACAGGCAGCGCGAGCCAGTTACTCCCAAAGCTGTAATTAATTCTCGGCGCTGCCAGTAATTACGCCACGGGGAATTCAGGGCACAGACCGTGATCACAAGATACTGCAAATAGATTTTTAGATTTTTAGAAAATAGACTTTGCATGTGAACACAGCCTTATTTCTTGGCAGAGGTTGCATTCTCCGAGTGCTTTTCTATTTTTTAATAATTCAGATATATAAAAAACACTGCTATTTTCTTAAAGCAAAATCAATTTTAAGACAACACTGTCTATGAAAACAAGTAGAACTTGATTTTAATTCAACAATTTATTCAACAATTATTCTGCTTATCTAAGACATTCTGTTCAACACCAATATCATCAATACATCACTACATATAATACTATATAGAATGCAAGCTTACTCTCTACCAGAGGCCAGTTGGGTGACGATGTCATTTTGGAGCAAAATTATTATTGGTTCAGAATACAGAAATGTACATAGAATTAACCAGAATTAACATAGAATTATCTCTCTTTTGTGGAGGGTACTGCGAGCTTATGTTAACAATAATTATGTTACAAATATCTATCCAAACAATATAACAGTTAACACTCTAAACAGATATAAAATGCAGGTTTTATGGGTGAAAAATCCAAATATGGCATTATAAAAACTATAAATTGATAAAAAATATACAGTAAACATTCAGATAACACAACAAAAACATTGATATCAGAAAGGCAAATGCATGATAATGAATGGAATGTTTGAATAATTTTCTCTCAAAATTGTATCAATTAACCAATCACCTTTAAATCTATTTTTAATGAAATTGCACAAAAAATAATTTTATAGACATTCAGCACCCTCACTAAAAATAATATTGTCATTATTATGCTATTAATGGCAATACGATTATGGCACAGGCACTAAGAAACAGGCATATTAGCACCTAAAAAGCACATTTCTTTACAGTATCAAGATGAGAGGGGTGAGGAAGGTGGACGCCCCCATGCCTTGCTTCTCTACATTCTGAAATGTATGGGACAAATATATTGATTAGAAAGTAAACTGCCCATTACCACACCCACCTTCATGCATACAAATGCCTGTACAAAGTGGGCAAGCAAATGAACTTGCACGTTTGTGTCTGTGCATGCACAGCCAAGTTACACTGAGATTCCTTCAGGTTGCATATATGGTTTTGAAGCAATTTAAAGAGTGCACTGCTGGCTTTAAGTTACAGTACATTTTCAATCACTATATGCAATGCTTTGAAATATATATCAAGATGCTATATGTATGGAATTGTCTTAATTTGGTCAATATGTATGAGAGGTCCAAGAGCCAACTTATTGCAGAGATTATAAATATGCACCACATCTTTTTTATCTGATGCACACTATATTGCATCTTTGACATATAAATTCTTCTTCCCTGCTTTTGTGTTTTAAGACTGGCATTCTCTAAATCCCTTTGAAAAAAACAATTAATGTATAGCTGAGTGAACCAATTGATGCCTTTGCCAGTTGTAGCTTTCCAAATGAAAACACAATCATTTACTTGGATGTAATTTGTGAGATATTAAATGGTACATGTATGTTGTTTTCAGTTTCTTTCAAATAGCAGTCCAGTAGCCATGGGGGTTTCAAAAGAATCCCCTTTTTTTCCGGAAAAGGCCCTTCTGAGAAACATTTTATCTATATCCTCAAGGTTTCAAAGTAAAAAGTCCAATTTTTCAAAAAAAGAACTTCCCTTTTGAAATTGCTGGCTACAGGCCTGAGTAGCCCAAATGATGCAGTTACTGCACAAGCACATGTCTTGAAAAAACCCTGATTAGGAGTGTGGAACTGTCTCAGTTGTGATTGACAGCTCAGTCTTTTTTTCCCTTTTCACTCGTACTTGTATGTGTTGCACAAGTAGCCAGTCCCGCTGAGGTCTCTTCACTCTTATGCGTATACATGCAGTGTAGTAGTCAGAATTTGTTTTATTGAGCTCCTGCCAGTAAAATAATGAGCTGTCAATTTTTCCAACAACCTCAAAACGACCACACTCCTTCACAGCTGAACCATTCAAGTCAGAAGAACCACCTGGATCCACTTTGCCAATTTCTACGACACCAGCTTTTAAAAAATCACGTTTATGATTTTCATTACTGGTATGAATGGCAATGGCATCAATTCTAATAAGTTCCTTGAATCTCACCAATATATAACCACCTGGTGATGGCCTTGTCCAGAAATATTTATCATCATACCCATATGCATTTTCTATGCTGTTGTTAGCTTCTGGAGCCATGTTTGATTCAAGAGTTGCTGGGGGATTTGGTTCTTTGAATGTTGGGATATCTTTCCCTCCAAAATATCTGTCTTTTAGCTTATTAAAGCCAAGAACTGGTTTTTCCTGAAGTGATGAAACTAGACCCTCATGCTGAAAAAGTGTTGGTTTTCTTATATATTTTGATTTCTGACCCATAGATGTCATGAAGTGGTTGATAAGCCAATCACATGGCTGTTCGTCATAAAACAACAACAGGTATTGCCCAAGAAGTAGAACATCCTGCGAGCGCAACAATTTTCCAATAAATCCCAAATGGGAAAATTCAAGCATGATCCATTTTTTTGTACTAACCATTGAAATATAATCTTTAATGGCTGCAATAAACTTGGGGGCGCACACCACATCATCTTCAATCTGAATATAGTAACTAGATATATTATGACCATAGATAAACATGAAGGCGAAGTCAATATTTTGTTTGGATCTCCACTTGACTCGTAAAGGGTCATCATTAAAATTTCTCTTTAAATTATCAAGTTGAGGATAGAGCTCCTCAGATACTTGGACAACTTGAAGGAATCCACTGTTCAGATACACCTCATATTTTTCCATTATCATGTGTATAACACGATGATTATGATGCCTGTCAAAGTCTGCCAAAAACAGCATCACAACAACTTCTTCTTTTTCCTGCTCTGATATTTCACTGATAAGAGACTCCAGTGTTTGAAAGAGATATCCATCTCCATTTAATCTTTTAATAGATGGAACTCCGATTGTTAGAAAACCTAATTAAAAAGTAAAACATGACATTCACAGCAACATTATATTTAGAAAAAAAATGATGTTAACCACAAATTAAGTAAAATGACAAAAATGGTTGTATTCATCATATAAGTTTCATGAAAACTGATCTGGCTAAAAGTAACTACGTAAAGAGCAGACCTTTGTATGAGTGGGCCTAGCACAATATATACAATTAATGTTTACTTTACACAAAAAGTTAAGATGTGTAAGAGTGGGCCTAGCACAATATATACAATTAATGTTTACTTTACACAAAAAGTTAAGATGTGTAAGAGTGGGCCTAGCACAATATATACAATTAATGTTTACTTTACACAAAAAGTTAAGATGTGTAAGAGTGGGCCCAGCACAATATATACAATTAATGTTTACTTTATGCAAAAAGTTAAGATGAAATAAGAATGATGCATGAGGTAATATTTTATAAACTTTATGAAAATTTAACCCACAGTTCAGAAACAATTTGTAAGTTTTGCTTTGCTGATATCTTGAAAAATTAAAGCTATAATATGGCTCTGCATAAAAAAATTAATAATCAAAAGTTACTTGATCAATATCATGATAATATTTCACATGCTGTCACTACTGTCATACCTTTTTTGTCTCTCCTTGCTCCCATGACATTGACATTGACAAAAGAATGTTGTATAGAGCTCGCTTCCACAGTGTCTATCTGTGACTCTGGATTCTCAAAGAAACTAACCTTCTCAACTGATGCCTCTGAAAAAGGAGAAGTTTTCTAATTAACATCCATCATGTTCATATAATGAAAATATAATGCATATAACCCACAGAATAAACATTTTACTTTAAAAACATTTTACTTTGCTTTTGTTCATGTTTTAAAATAATCCAACAATGTTCTTTCTGGTAATTATATTCAAAGTCTAAAATCCATTAATATGCAGTATGCTTTCCTTTAAAAAAAGGTACCTGTCAGCATATTCAGTTCATCCACATTTTCAGATATGTCAGCATGATACCTTTGTGATATATCAGGTATTTGAAAAAACGAAAGACATGCAATGATGACCACAGTGGCAAGAAATTGTCCATGTAACCGACGTGAACTTTTTGGCATGGTTTCTGCTGTCTTCTTCTCACAAATTTAAGAATCCTCTTTGTTCCAATGCCTTCAAGACATTCTTAACCTGTAGAAATAAATAAATAAATAAATAAAATAAAATAAAATAAAATAAAATAAAATAAAAAAATAAAATAAATATAAGTTCAAAAAATGGAATAATCAACAACTAAGGACTTAAGGGGGTGTCATGGGGGGGGTTCTGACCACCCCTTCGATATCTGAAAAAAAATCACACCAATGGTCCCTTCTTGAATTTAGAATTTTGACTGGCTGAATCATAGTTCTAAACCATGCAGTACCAAATCGTCCATTGTTCTCGTCAGTGAGGCTAAACGAATTCAGGGTATGTACGCACAGACAGAAAACCATGTATTGTGTGAAATTGTGGGAACGTTACTAATGAAGCCACTGGTAGTACTAGTAGATATCAGTCTGTAGTCTAGAACAAGCACCTGTTGACGAGTGAACAGTTGTCAAAAACAAAAGACCCAGGTGTGGTAGATCGACTACTGTTCGCGCGTGCCGCAAAGACCAAGCCTAATAAAATCAATTCATTTTATATTTCACATAATCTGTTTTTATTATTTCTTCTAAGCATTTAATCATAAAATCTCCCATCATTATACTGTTATTGTGTAATAACATTGAAAGTTTCCAAGTTTTTATTAACAGGTTGATGCTAACGTATTACAAATAAATATAAGCATCAAAGCATATTTCCTTACTCAAATGTAGCAAACGTACCACTACACTGGCATAATACCGGTAATGATACAGGTAAAGATGACAGCATTGATAACTGGGTTTACAGCGATGTTAGTGCAGCATGATTAGTGTCAGATTGTTATCTGATAAAGTTTGCAACTAGTACCTAGGAACAAAAGGTCTGGCACTTGACAATCAAGTTGATAAAATCACAAAATGCCTGTAGAAAATAGTGCATACCTGCCCAACATTGATTTGTTCAGATTCTTGACTAAGGGGTGCGTTACTGGTGTCAAGGGCCAAGACTTGAACTTAGGGGTTTGGCATGCCACTGGACATTCCTCTCGATTTCTGCCCAAATCTAATAAAGCCTCAGTTGCTTAACTTTTGCCAAATTTCCAATATCTACAGGTCGTGTTGTTTAATGCTTGCGGTCTCTTCTCTGGCGGCGGTTAATTGGGGACACCTGTGCGGCCTGTCAACGCACCAAGACCCACTTTTGCCAGTGCCACATTTTCCATTGCCGTAAATATCAAATTTGTGAATAGAATGAGGAATAATGACAGTTATGAAAAAATGTTTGGAAGTACCTGTCACCTTCGCCACAGTATCCATATGGGCTGTGCTGCCCCCCTACCACAGGCGACACCTTGCGGAGCAAGCGTGCGTAATCCAGGGTGCAACTGAAAATAACCTTGTCGCGCGACCTTATTGCCCCTCAAGGTCACAAACTAATATCCGGTGCTGACGGTTAGGCTCGTCATAATCATATAAGTAGCGCGTTTCCACCCCCTGACCAAATGGCACTGTTCGCCCTCTAAAATACCAGTTTTTTTTTCGGTGCCCTTAAAAGCGGGCATCGAGACCCACGCCACGGGAAAATGAGGGGTAAAATGACTTACCCGCTCCTTACACTGTTGGTCTTGTGTAAATGTACTCTTCCAGCCGTGTCACGGCGCAGAGTTGCGCATTGAGTGTCACCAGCACACGAACGAAACGGAGTGCCTCGATATGAAACCAGACAACTTTTGTGTTTTTAATCTCCAAATACTTTAAAAAATCAATTAAGTTAATAAAAAGGCCGGGAACAAGAACTTCTTAAATCGTGCATTTTATATTAATGATTATTAAAGATCATAATAATAAAAGAGTCGCATTTCGATTTACTCCATGCTATGGTCTGTATTGAAAAATAGCAATTTTTACGAGATTACAAATTGCATCGTATTGTTTGGTTCCATTGCCTCGCTTTCAAAAATTAGAACTGGCGCTGCAAAACCGGTGTGGCGTGATAGACCCGTGCCGTGACGAAACCGTTCTGCACATGCGCATTGAGGGTAGATTGAAAGAAGGGACTTCCGGTATGACAATATCGTCGTAGGTATTTTTGGAACTATTGACCTTTCAATTCGTAATTCAGTGGTTTTTGCCATGAGAGAGTATGTATTTGATAATCTTACAATAAACTCCACGGAGGAATGTTGGAAAAGTTTTATATAAACACCAAAGGAAGCGTGTGACACAGCCCTTATTACTGAGATTGTGATCGTGACTGAACTGTTTTGCTCTGTGATGAGGTTGTAGTAAGNCATTTCAGGGGCTCCTTGAAATCAACTATGTTAAAAACAGAAAAATCCGTAACAGAGCTCCCCTTTTACATTCAATGGCTTTTGTCTCATATGTTACACTATATTATGCCCAAATGATTTTCAAACAACATAATACCTTACAACTGATATCTTTAGTCAAACGAAATGCAATAAATTACAATACCAAATTACATATCCACTACCTGAAATTATTACACAACTGCAGTGACCCTTCGTAACAACTAAAAACGGCTGTATTTAGGGTATTCAAATTAGTATATTTTTGCCAATCTATGTTCGATTTTCAAAAAAATTTTTTTGATTGCTCCGACTAAGTGCCATCTACCAGATTGAACAAGAGTGAGCACTAGATTGGTTTTGATAATACTTAGAGGCAATGTAACATGCTCAATTTTGAAAGTGTACGTCTGATTGTGAAATAGCCGAATGCGATACAATTTGTAATCTCATAAAAATTGCTATTTTTATATAAAGGTCATAGCATGGAGTACATCGAAATGCGACTTGTTTATTATTATGATCTTAAATAATAATTAATATAAAACAAACGATATAATACGTTCTTAACGTTAGCCTATTTATTAGCTTAATTGATTTTTTTCATATTTGGAGATTAAAAACACAAAAGTTGTCTGGTTTCATATCGAGGCACTACGTTTGGTTCGTGTGCTAGTGTCACCTCTTTTCAAGAATAACACACGCCATCTATCGTTCAAATTGTGTGAAAGACAAGCGGGAATCGTTGACCAGCAGTGGCATGATTTTCAGTATAAAATTGGAGTAAATTTGTATGTAGCCTTTAATTGCGTATTAAAAACTTTTAGATATGAAGCTATATGTGTTTTGGACCGATTACCAGTTTGATGTTTTGGCGATCTCTTTTTTTGCTACCGATACATAATTTTAACAGAGGCAAGATCGAGAGATCTCACTGTCGATGATGTGCCTGTACTTGATTTGATTGTTAAATGTTATCCTGGTACACCAAATAATAATCCTGTAGCACGTGCTCTAATTGAATTTTAGAATATATTGCTTTACACTACTAGTGAATGGTAATTTAAAGTTAATATTATCAAAAACAAATGGTGGTTAATTGCCGACATACAGTAGTCCCTTACAGCCAACCACCCTCTTATATAATTACCTGAACTGATGCTGCTGCTGATGACGTCATGTATTAAGGAGATTTATCAGCTTGTTAACTTGTTGGTACTGAAAACTATATGAGAATCTACTCCTGGTAGAACCCTGAACCTGTGTGTGATGTGTGAGTGTACGGTAGCACAAAAAATCATGCTTTATTACTTAAGAGCACTACTGTTTACAGCTTGTAACATGATAAATGTATAGTTTCATTAGCTATGAGTTTGAAATGACCAATATTTTCTATAACTATTGATAAAAATATTATTGATTAATATATGTACATACCATAAATAGGAATATACACAGATTTTCATGCTAGTGTGGGTGATCTAATTTGATTGGTACATAAATTTGTTCCCCTTCATACTGTTTGTGGAATACACTCAATGTTTATCCACAGCTCAACTGATAAATTATCGTGTATTATTCTGTTATTTCAGGTCTGATAATATAATCTATTGCATGCACAGAAAAGGAATGACAACAATGAGATCAGTTAAGTTAAATGCTGGTTGAAGTCTAGATGTAAAGATGTCAAGACAGTTTATATGGACATAGAGGAAACAGTTGCTAACCATGGCACAGGCAGATTCAGAAAGTGATGGCCAGAGTATGTTATTAGTCATACCACCACCACCCGGAAGTGGACAGCAAAATGATATTGGTGACTTTTCTCTCCAACCGGTACGTTATGCATTTTTATATAATCGCTTGTCTAAGGTTGAAAAAAAAGTTCTCCACTTTTATCTACTTTTTTTCATATGATTGGATGGATTTAGAAGTTTAAGTGTTGTGATGCTCAGAATATAAAATTCAAAATATACTACTGAAGTTAGAAATAAACTTAGATTATGCCTTATATATATTACACATGGTGAGTGTTTATTGCATTGTATATTACACCTTTATCAATTTTTCGTTCATCAAGGTATCATATAATGTGCCAATTCTGTTTTTCAGTTTTTCCTATTGTATTTATGAAAATCCAGTAAATATAAGCCTGCTGGCTTTCTACTGATGATGACAGTGAAAATATAGCCTAATTTTTTAATTACTTTTATTTTTAAAAATGTTATGAACACTTTGACTCTCTGCAGGGTACACATGACTTAGAGCAGGGAATTCAGTTTGTCCCAATTGAAGAAGACACTGATTCTGATGTCACTGTCACTGATAGTGAAGAGGATAATGAAGTGGTTATTACCAGTGTGACGGGAAATGCCACAGAGGTAGGACATATGAAGATATTGTTTATTATGTGCCTGTTCACTTGACAAATGTAAGTGAAATCTCTATGCTCTACCAGTCTTGCTGAAATGTAACTCATGACAAAGTATATTAGTATTTCATTTAGCTTCTAACATTATTTTCTAGACAAATGGTGGCGAATCTGATACATCTGAAGTGGTTGTTGTTGAAGAAGTAGAAGATATGGCAGTAGTAGAAGTTTCCCCACATGCAAATACGTCAATGACGGATTTCAAAAGCCCAAAAAAGGTTTCTGCCTCAGCTGCTGGTAGCATGGCCAGTGTCAACCCTGGGACATCGACAGCTGAGGAGGAGGATGGCGATTCAGAGGTATTGTATTTTTTCAAAACTTAAAAATAATTATTTCCAAATATTGCCACTTTAAATTGTATACACATTGCTCCGATATAAAATCCAGTGCTAAGGCCATCAGTAACAATTCACTTATTGCAGCATGGCAGCAGAAGATTGGGATCGATATTTCAGTTTTGTTAAACAGATATTTGTCTTCTGTATCCAAATGCAGTCATATACAAAGAAAAAGATAATCTTCTGCAAGGAAAGAAAACTGTATTTGAGTAAGAAAAAGATTTGTTTTTATTTCCAGTGCTGCCCAATATGTTTAGAAGAATGGACTACATCTGGAGATCATCGGCTAGCTTCTCTTAAATGTGGTCATTTATTTGGGCACAGGTGGGCTGTTTAAATATTTAAAAACCTATATAGTGAGATTTTGTTTGTAAACTGAAGTATTTCTTACCTAGGAAATCTGTAGCCTGAAAAATTTTAAGTTCTCATTGTGTTTGAATTTTATAAGTCTTTAGATTTTTTTATCTATATTTATATTTTGTTTCTTTATTTGTTTGTATTCTCATATATATCTTTTTAAATACATGAATAGTTGCATAGACAAATGGTTGAAGGGACAGGGAGGTAAATGTCCACAGTGCAATGCTAAAGCTAAGAAGGCTGACATCCGGATTATTTATGCAAGGGCACTAAAGGTAGGGAATTAAGTTATGTATTTAATTTGTTGTTCTCTTTTCTCTACATTTTTTAATTTGAATTAATCAGTGTGTCTGAGAGATAGAGAGAGAGATTAATACAACATTGTACTACTAAAAACAAGAAAAAAAGCTATATAAGTTTTTACATCAGTAATAGTGATATATTTAAAATGAAATTAAAATACAATTAGAAATTGAACAATTGACGGTAAGAAATAATTAGTAAATAGTAATTACATGTATTAGAATTGATGCAGCTTTCATACAGTTGATCAAGCAGGTCATTTTCATTATCCAAGGCTGTTGACACATCAGACAGAGACCGTGCCCTTAAAGAGTTGGAGTTGGAAAAAGAGGCTAGAAGAAAAGCAGAGTTAAGTGCTGCACAGATGAAGATGCAGTATCAGAATACAATAGCAGAGTGCAATAGAATGCGTGAAGAGATAGAGAGACAGAGGCAGCAACTTCAGTCAGTCAGGTGATTTAATGCATTTGTTTATTTGTTCATTCTACAGTTATTTCACACTTCATTTGAACCTATTTGATGTATTTATATTTTCTTTGGTAACACCTGATGATGCTATTCAGTTTGAATGAAAAAGTTAAGTTTGCACATAAATGTTTATTTAATAATTTGTTGCAGGACATTACAGCCACAGGCAAACCACAACATTTCAAGTTCACAAGGACAGTCAAGTCAGAACAATGGCATGTTTGTACTGGAGAAAACTATCAAAATATGGGAGGTTTGTATTAAACCACAGCAGGCCTGCTCTGATAACTGTGTACTGACTGCACCAGTTGCAAGTGTAGGCTAGAGGAAACTAGACACTATTATTCTGTCTTGTGCCATTTCTAGATGTCATATCACCCCCTTACTAGATGTGCTCTCTATAGATTATTGTGTCTGTTGCCATTTCTAGATGTCATACATGTATCAGCCTCTTACTAAATGTGTTCTCTATTCATTACTGAGTGTCTGTACCCATTTACAGGCACATTACACATAGTATTGGGTGCTTTCTGTACCTATTACTGGGTGTCTGTGCCCATTTTTTAGTCACAGTATATTCATTTTTAGGTGCTCTCTGTACCCATTTCTGTGTCTGTACCTGTACCGATGTCATGTCAAAGTATAAACCAGTGTAGTGTTTGTGATGCTGCAGTGTGTGATTTGGGGTGTAGAAGTAATTTTCTATTCATTTTAGGCTGGTGGTTGCAGAGTCATGGCCCACTGTGACAGTCAAGGCATTCTAGTGGTATCCCAGCCCACAGCTAGTCCTCTTTTTCCTGGGTTTGGGATAAAAAAGGTAATAAATATTTTTTTGTTCTCCGAACATAAGGCCTTAAACAAACCAAAATAAATTAGTTCATTTAATTTTTCTTTTCTGTGAAAAATTGCTTTGCCTATCATTTATTAAAACAAGTTTTACTATGTTTGTGATCAAAAGAGTGATTTAGTTTAAATTATTTTTCAGGCTGGATATCTACTATCATTTTAGAAAAAAATCAGTGTTTGGTAACTTTTTATATTGTATAACATTACGTAATTTCAGATAAGCACTTTTGACTTGAAAACATCCCAGTATGTGGCAATACACAACAAAGCTATCCGCGATGTATCATTCAAGCCCCAGTCACGAGATAGCTTACTGCTGAGTTGTTCTGTGGACAAGACTGTAAAGATGACCAGTTTAATCAGCAACACTGTTGTACAGACGTAAGAAGGAAAAATTTTTTGAATTCTGAGTGTTATGCCTCAAAAGTCTGAATAATAAGAAAATAAAGATCAAGTGTTTCTGTTCTTTCTTTCTTAATTATTATATTTATTTACTATTATTTATTATTCATTATTTATTTTTGCAAAGATATATAGATATATACAGCCTGTTCTAGGTTGAAAGGTAGTTGATGGATACATGCAAGTAATAGAGTACATTGACAACATTACATTGTACATTGGCAGTATTGTTCATTGGCAATATTAATAACACTAAAATGTTGATAATTAAATACATAATAATTTTTTCTTTCACTGTAAGCAGGTGCTAGTGGCACATTTGGCCACTTTTTTTTATACGCTCACTTTTGTATTTTTCTATTCAGGTACACTTCTCCAGCACCATTCTGGAGCTGCGTATGGAGCCAGGATCCATATTATTTCTTTGCTGGCAAACAGAATGGCTCTGTGGTCATGTTTGATATTCGCAAAAGCACTGAACAGCTTGAAAATTTCAATTTAAATGGATCAAGGTCACCTGTGGTGTCATTGCAATATGTTCCCACGGATTCAAACTCCTCATTCAGGTTTGTTGTGAAATTCTAAATTTCATCATAATCCACAATGTAGAAAAACAGTTCTTTGCAAGGGAACTAGTGCTTGATGCTGGTTTCTCTAATGATGTCTTATATTTCATATAATATATAATGTGTCAATTGAAATAGAATACAATCGATAATAATGACATCCTTAGCAAAAAGTTTGCGGCATTATTGCTGATAACTAAAGGTTTGTGGGAATGGGTTTGCAAGGAAAATTTTATTGCTGCTAATTTGCAGCAAATTCGCTGCAAATTTGCATCAGGCCTGATATTTTGCTAAGGGCAGTCCTAGATATGTGTAAATGAAAAGTAAAACAAGTAAGTTCTCTAATACATCATGAGTCTGTTTTGTATTAATTTTCTGTTAAGTTTATTTCCATACCTGGCATTGTCATGCTTTTATGATTTCAGCCTGGGTGGCCTGCTAGTAGGGCAACTTGATAAGACATTCTTTTATGAGAAGAGAGAGGGCACAGATTTCAAACTGCATGTGATGCCAGTAGAAGGTCAATCTTTTTGAGAAAAAAATAGTCTATTAGTGCACAATATTAGTTGAAATAATTATATTTCTTGAATTTTTTTGCTGAAGATTGATATAACATTCAAGTGTTTTCATTATTTAGGTTTCTGAATTTATATGTTGTAAGGTAACTTTATTGCTCTGAGCATTTTCTAAAACATCTTTGACAAATGATTTTCAGGTAGTTTAACGTGTTTAACATTTGAGCCTTGTACTCGCCATGTTCTGGTCAGTCTCCGGCCCACTAGCAAACATCCTTCAGTGAGACACCAGGTAAGAGACACAATAAAACAGGTTTTTTTTTAGGCACATGTATTTACATGCTATGTACATTTTCAAAGAAGACATCTAGAATATGAGGGAAATAAAAAATCACACATATTTAATTATTATATATTTGTATTGTAAAACATGTTATGAAAACACTACCCATTAGTATAGCTTTACGGTAATGTTAAACTAAGTCATTTATATGTGAATAAAAATTAGAAATTGATTGAAAGTAGACACTTGACACTTCATGTTGTATTCGAGAATGTTCATTGAAAATGGTCCAGGATACATCAATATTGGTGGACTTCAATTATTTATCTTTTTTATATTGAGATCAGAAATGAAACTCTACTTTCATCAAGAATTAATGTACATGGTAATGTAGTACTTGCCTCTTCACCTGCAGTGATGTATTGGCTGTGATCATATGCCTTCTTCCATTTACAATATATTCTAAAATTTGAGATAATTTTAAAATAATGGCATTTTCCCCATCATATTTTTAGATGTACGAGCTGACCACAACCAATATAAGTCAGGACCCCAGCCAGATAGACAATGTATGCAGTGGGAACCTGGTCCAGACCTTCCATGGAGGGAATACTATGAAGATGCTGGCCAGAGGGAGGTTGTTTCCACACCCTGGCAGAAAGGGGAAGCTACTGGCTTGTGTGGGCGATGAGGGGACAGTCTCTGTAAGTAGACCACTTAAGATGCGAGTTAATTAATAGGAAGTGCTTTCTCATTGTGGACACTGCATGAGGCCGGGTTGAGCTGTGCTTTAATAATGTTTTAACGTCTCATTTGGTGGACTTTTAGGAGAAAAGTAGCATTGTTGATTTTGCATAGAAGGTTTCTGACATGGTAATTGTTAAAGTTTAAGCCCAGTTAAGGACAAAATTAGTTTTACTTAAAAGAAATGGATTTTTTACCTGGAGTTTGCTTATATGCTCTTAAAAGTTGTTGTACTGAAGTCTCAGTACCTATACATCAGTTTTTACTGTTTCGAATTTGTACTCTGGAAACCTACAGTAGGGTAATGTAAATTTAATTACCTAATTTTGGTTAAATCATTTTCTTTTTTGCTTACAGGCTCAAGTGTGGGATGCAGGCACAGGTTTGGTCACCCAAAAACTCCCCTCTACTGGACCTGTTCTAGATGTATGCACTTTCATGGCAAATGGACAACAATATCTGGCTACTCTCACTGAAAAACTGATCAAAGTTCATAAGTGGAGCTAGTAGAAAGTTTTTCGTGTTATATTCAGTTCCTATGTTTAACTTTCATGAGAACATGGAGTCTTTAAAAAAAAGAAATGATCCTTGCAAATTGTTGTCAGAGTTATGGGTTGTTCAACAGGCTTTGTAGAGAGCTGGTCATTAAATCATGCATTCTATCCAATACATCATGCCTTTCTCTACTGCATGTATATATGTTCGTAAAATATTAATTCTTAATGGGTTTCATAAGTGTGAAAGAGAAATGTATGGGGATATATGATCTCTATTTTTATACTTGTGCATGTAATATAACCTATCAAATCAGTGTTGATGAAGAATTCTACTTTAAACTTAATTAATAGTTTAAAAATGAACAGTTGCTTTAAGCACTTTGAAGGTGGTATAACATAAAAACAATGTTTGTGCAAAAAAAGAATTAGTTTTATTAGATTTGTAAATATTTATATTATAAGAAAAATGCAAAAACACTTGACTGAAAACTTATTTCATACACACATAAATTTATGAAAACGTGCATATATTAAATGTATAACAGTAGTATGTAGGCATACTATTGTAACATTGCAGTCTATAGGCACATCACAGCATTTCAAAAAATAAATATGTTAACAAGTCCATAATTAAACATTGCAAAACATAAACACATTGCTTACATGGATACAGGAAAGAGGCATGAAACAGCAAGGATAGTTACTGGACTGACAGTATACAGACTTTACAGTGTTATCTATGCATAGCACAAAAAAGCATGTAGTTTTTTAAATTAGCATGAACATTTACACAGGTTACACCAAGGAGTTACAACACACACACACACACACACACACACACACACACACGTAACTCCTTGGTTACACCAATATGACTCCACACTATAAACTGGGATATGATCTGTACATTTCAAGAGTAATGGAGAAAACTATGTTAAGCAGTATTATTAAATAAATGTTTCTGATTTCAAAAAGGATGAAAAGGGATCACATTTGTTTCATTTCAAATAAGCCTTGTCTTCATTATATATGGTCTTGTGCCACATGGATCAGATCAGATTTGTTCTTTGGGGTTTTGATTCTTGTAAAAACTATATTTGACATTGCTGTTGCATATTCAGACACTGAAGACCTCAGTATATTTAATTTGCCACTGATATAGAAATTCTGCACCTTCTTCCTCACAGTCACAGAACCGTATTGTCAACTTTTTGTCCTCAGCTTGCACAGCCTTTTGGTCATACATTTCAATATATATGCTAAATGGCGCCACGATGGATTTACTGAAAAATTAATACAAAAAGCAGTGGTAGTCGTAATATGAAAAATGTTCCACTTCAGTATATTTGAATGAAAAGAAAACAACTTTCCGACGGTCGGTGGCACATTTTCCATTCAATGTGTAAAGGCCTGTTATGTGCCCATTACATTCCCAATCTGCTCACGAAGACTCGCTATTGTTGACGAAGCAAATCCTTACCTCATACACAGCCCGGCGTGAACCCCGTGGTGGAATTTTCTCCAGGAGAACAGGGAACCTCGGTACCTGAGATAGAAAACTTCAGCTTAATTAAACGTATCTAAAGTATTTTAGCCTTTTTAATCTATATTTGTACCACCTAATTGTACTGCATTGAATAACGATTTCAAATCTCTTTTAAAATAGCTTTGCTACTTTGAACAATTTAAGAAACAATTACTCAATATCAAGTTTATAACAAAAATCTAGCTGAAAACGTGTAGATCTCTATACCTTAAAGGCGATAAAACTGCACAGTTCTTTTGACTCACCAACACAATAAGCTTGCGAGCACCCATCCGTGCCTACCAAGTAATACACGTTAAATTTGTCAATGCAGTTCTTCACTTTTATGTCGTAACTTCTGTCACAGCATTGGTCTTTACTTGAGAATAAATTATAAACACAAGCTTTGGCATTTATTTCTTGGCTTCTGGTCGGAAGGGTACCTATAAAAATAGCAATTGGCTTTCTCATTTCATATGTCAGAGGATGTGTTTCTATGGCAATTAACGGATATTGTAAGTTGCTAAAAATTGCCAAAGTGGCAACCCAGCTAAATTTATCTGGAATCCAATAAAACCCTGAATCAAAGAAAAAACATTAAACAAATTTTATACGTTCTGAAATTTTTGCTTGGAAGAAAATTTTGCAGCAGATAGCACGCTCATTATGTAAAGTGTCGATGCAGTATTAATTTGTTCTTCATTGTGCTCTTGAAATGTTTTATTCGTTTATGAATGGTGAATACAGTATTTTGATAATTCAAATATTAAGACTGGCAATTGGTCTTAAAGTATAGGTATCCTATTCCGGATTTTTCCACCAAATCGTCCCCGCATTTTTATACCATTTTATTACCTCCGCCAAGGAGGTTATGTTTTCACCCCTGTTTGTTTGTTTGTTTGTTTGTTTGTTTGTCATCAACATAACTCAAAAAGTTATGGATGAATTTCGATGGAATTTTCAGGGTAGGTCAGAAGTGGGTTAACTTAGAAGTGATTAGTTTTTGGTGGTGATCCGGATCAATAATCAATCAATAATCAAAATAAAAAACTAAGATATGAACCGATTTTGATGAAATTTTCAGGAACTATCAGAAATGGGCCAAGGAAACGATGATTAGTTTTTGGTGGTGATCCGGATCAGTAATCAATATATAATCAATAATCAAAAAATTAAATCATTATAGAATGAAAATTGAGGGGTGAAACGGCATTGGGTGGAGACTTTGCTGCCTTGGCAGAGGTCTGCACTCTCGGAGTGTTTTTCTAGTTAAAAAAAATCGATTATTAATGTTTCTCGTAATATTAATATCTTTATGTCTTCTTGTACATTTCAGAAAGAAACGTCAACATCAGATACTTTTATTTGACGAGTTTTATCGTCTTTTAAGGTAGATCGGTCGCTACATGTTCTAACGTTCGAATTAAAAAAATGTTTTTAAAAATAGGCATCCAAGTTCGTTACAAATTTGCAAAAATTTGCACCGACCAAATAGGAGAACTAGGTCCAAGTACGTTACACCCTTCGTATCGCGCTAGTCCTCATTCAAATCAATGGGGAAATGAGTGATCTGTCACTAAATCGTTATTTGTTATATTGTTCCAATTTTCAATTTTTTTTTTTAATTTTGGTGTTAATAGGAAAATATAAGCTTTGCACGATATTTAGACATAAAATTTTACATTTTTAAACGCGGATATTGTACTGTGAGAAGAAAAAAAGAGAAAAAGTAATGAATAAATGAAATGAAATGACTAAGGAGATGACCCAAATTTACCATTCATCCAAATTGGCCATGTGGTTCCACAGTGGTTTGGCAGCACACAAGAAGTAGACATGTCGTTGCCAGCCGGACTGTCAAATCTATACCAGCCGTCATCTATGTACCGATCACAAATTGCAGCCTCACCACTTGCCTTGGTGTAGTTGACACTTCTCCTCCATTCGTCTTTTCGCAAGACGTGGTTGCTTGAATTACAGGGGTCATCTGAAATATGAATTTGGCCATTTCTATATTATTCTTTAATTTATTCAAAGCGCGCAATGTTAGGCTGCTTTAAAACCTTGAATACTTCTTCTTCCAAAGTATGTATATTCGGATATAAGCCGATTGCTAAGACCAAATACAGGCAAGGAAGTAAGTCGTTAGAACTTATAACTGTGAGAAATGAATAATAAGCAGATGGAGAACACTCTGGCCTGTGCTCTGTTTGTTTCAAATATATTACCTGGACCAAATTCTGGCGTTAAACTATCGGTTGATATTTCTCCAGAAGTAGAGGGAACATCAGTGGCTAAAATAAGAAAAATTATAAATAAGAAATATTTACAATATAGAAATAGGCTTTGAAATTGGCGCATATGTACTATATACCTGTATTGTTGAGGTCAGTGTGTGTGTGTGTGTGTGTGTGTGTGTGTGTCTGTGTGTCGTATGCATTATTATCTTTTCAAGAAAATATCCTCAACTGAATAAGCAAACAAGGCCGCCCAGAGTATGTAACCCCCCTTTAGAAATGCACTATCGAGATCAGTGTTACCTTTAAAACCTACAAACCTAAATTATATTAGACTAGGTTCTTTACCTATATATGTTCAGTTTATGACTTATTCCAAGGTATAAATATAACTAAAAGGGAAAATGGAAAGCAAAACATACATGCCCTAACATCAGCACTGCCACGCAGGACCTAAAAGAAAACGTGAAAACGAGCAGATCATTCATATTGTACTTATTTATTTCTTATTGTTCAATCTTTTTTAATTTAACGTAGAATATCGGTATGGTAAGTATATCCATCTCGATCTTTAATGCTAATATTTTTATCTTTGAAAATCTTAAAAGGCATTGCATGCAAACACTGAAATGTGTGAAAAAGACAATATCTTTAACTACACGTGAAACAGATCAATATATAAACAGAATTTTTAAGGAATCTTTTGAGCTGATTAATTCATTATCCTTTGATTTTCTTATCTTCCAGATGACTATGTACATACCTTTGTATAGTGCTGGCTGGCAGCATCATCAACCAGCAACCTCCTGTCGTAGGTGACGTCTTCAGCAGAATTCAGTTCACACACAGTATTGTCAGATCTTACGTTGAAAGACACACACAGATCATTTCTCAGGCATTCCGCTGCACATTCTATTTTACTAATTCCGCCTGGCTGTAGCTTAGCTTTCAGTACGTGGTCTGGTAAATATTTTCCTGGTATGACGTGAAAAAGATTTGATTTTATAACAACGCATTTCGCCACTGTATAACACCAAGCGAATATAGTAATAAAAATGAGAAAGTATGTTAAACGTCTTGTGCGTGTTTTTGACATGATGGTACAAGTAAGACTGTATTTTTAAAAAATGGGAAACCTTTGAAAAGGACTCCGATAAATGCCTCGTGATTTTGACATTGAAGTCAATTTTCCTAATATTTATTTTTCTATGACTACATCATTTATCACGGATTCTAATGTAAGTGACTCTGTGAGCTAACAGCCTTCCAAATCAATATCCTAGACTATTTAATACCTATTTTTTGGAGAAAATGTATACCTACGACTAATTAAATGGTGTTATTGTCTACAGCGATATTGTTTGTTGCTTATTGTTATATTCAGATAATCCATTCTTCCAATGAGCTGTCTCCATTCACATTGCTTGAAGATAACAATTAATCTGTATGAATGGCCATTTTCGGTAGCAAGCTTTTACAATATAAGCAAGCTTTTACAATATAATCCCCAATGGCAAATTAAATATTTATTAAGTGCTTACTGCTAGTGCTTTTATTTCGCTATGTGGTAATTCTCTGATTGCTGTTTCGCTGATTATTTACACCAGACAAGGAAGTAGTTCAACTCTCCTGTGGGCAAATGCTACATGTATTTCCTATAGTTAAGATGACCTTGTTGCAAGCAACAAAGATACGTGAAAAACTTTTAGCAGATGGAAATACTTTTTAACACCAAAATTGAAGCTGGTGGGCTGGGATTATCGCCCATAAGGTTTATGTTTTTATGTTTTTATGTTAAAACGGAGAATTGTGGTTAATATAGGCAAGGATATTTATAAGCTTTTTTATAAGTCTTTATTTTGTGCATGTAAATATCAATTTGATAAATGACAGGAATAAACCAATAGTTAAGTGTTTACATTGTACTATGAATATATCTTTAAAAAACAGCAAACCATGGCTGTAAATTAAGCAGGTACTGGGTACTATTTACAAAAAAAATAAAATCAAATAAAACAAAACATATGGAGAATCCCGTATATAATAGTAGTTAAGAACAACTTACTCTTGCTTAAAAATGATTTGACACATTAAGAGATCTGCAGGGTACTGGGAATTAAACAGAGATATAAAATTAGCAGTATGAAATATTGTGAATTGCCAGACAGCCGAGTCAATTTGGGCAACTCCCATTTCTTATAATCGTAATATATGGAGTTTCATGATAACTTGCATGTCAACCATGTATCAAACTTTTGGTCAGTAAAAAACCAGTGAATAGCACTTTCCAACTCCAACAACATTAGCTTTGTTTTTATTTGCATTCTTAGCACTTCTCAGAGCAACTTAGTTTAGTGTAGATATTTTCGTTAGGATCTTCTTTCTCGTAAGGTTCGTATATTTGGTTTTTTTTCTCAAGATGTCCATCATTGGCGTACTGGATATTGCAGGCCTGTACTCCCCCGTTGTATGCTACGTTTATAACATAATCATTCTCAGGGGAAATGGTCTCCGTCTGACGTCCGATTACAAAGCTGTCCGTTGTTTCTGCTTCCATACATATCGGTCTCACGCGTCTGAAATATGATAAGTGTGGCCTAATAATCTTTGGGTTATGTCAAATAAGAGGAAAGATTAAGATTTAAAAGCCAGAATATTATTTTTAATATTAGAACCTGGCTCTCGAAAGAAGAAGAGTTTTGGCTACATTAATTCACACTAAAACTAAATTCTTAGTGAAAAGATTTTATATTTCTGATTTCTGGTGTGTATTTACTTTTCTTTCCTGCACATCATTACAAGGATCACAATGGTGGCAATCACAATCAGAGGGCAGACGACCACTGGTACAACAATATTCACAATTCTCTCAGAACTGTGTGGATCCAATGGATCTGGCGACAAAGTGGTAGTAGACGGGGTCTCGATTTGTTTTTTGTCATGTTTTGCTTTCTGTGATACAGGTGCTGTTGTGGTTGTTGTTGTTAATGATGATGATGATGGCATTGTCGACGTGTTTACATGCTGGGTCACAATGGTAGTTTGAGGTGGAGCTGTATGTGTTGGAGGTGGCCCCGCGGAAGAACTGACTCCAGTGGTGCTGGTTGGCAGTTTGGGAGTTGCAGTTCTCATAGTTGTTGGCTCTGGTTCTGAAAGCAGGATAGAATTTTTTATTATTTTTGAGTGGATATCATAGACTTGGAATAAATAATATTAAAATAAAAGAGAAAGTTTATATGAAACCATAATGCTATTTTTATGAATTCGATTATCGATTGAAAACGTCGATGTGTTGATGCAAAACAGAGTGCATACGTCAGTTTGAGCCAATCTTTGAATAAGAATATTGAAAAAGGACCCATTCTACTGTAATTTGCCTGGAAGAAACTTCCCCTTTCACTTTATCTGGAAAGGTTGCACTGTTATCTTACTATACTTTCGAAAGGAAAACCATTCGCAGGAAAAACGTTTTTTCCCCACTGGAAAATTCTTAATACAAGGCACTGAACAAAAGAATATTTTGCTACATCTTATGATTAGAATATTGCAAATGACCTATGAATGTAACGCAGATGTAAATAGGTATTCCATACACTTTTGTAAACATTTTATTCTTCGTTTACTGATAGATCAAGGAAGAAGATTGACTTAGCATAACTACCTAAAAATCCATTAAGCTACTTATATCGACTGTTTTTTTTTTCTGGGCATTTTTTTTTCTGGCTTTCAAATCGAGTTCGCTGTAATTCTTAAAAAGGCCTGAATAATGTCAGCATTATTTATGCCGAGTATGGAAACCAATCAGAGCGAGGTAACCAGTAGATTGTTGATTTACGTACGGGTGGGTGAAGAAACTGCACTGGAAATTGTAAAGCTAGGACAATATGGAGAAAATGAAATTTTCAATTATTTACAACTTATCAACTTTCTTCACCTCGTGCAGACCGCTTTCCGGGTGTTTCTCTTTCTTTGTTAGTGACACTTTTTTGGACACTGGGGGGCATAACCATAGGTTTGTAAATATTTAGCTAGTAAACTCCGGTTTTATTCGTTATTGAGAACCACCCTTGTGGATTAGTAAAATTCTCGTCAGGACCATTCCGCGTGGGTACCCCCAACACCCTTCCCATCCTGGCTTTCTATTGTTGATACACTTCTCACCTGGACCACACCCCGGAGTGAAACCATTGTTAGAATATTCTCCTAGAGGACAGTTTACCTCGGTACCTGGAGTAAAAAATGTAGCACTGTTTACACAATTTTATACGTTTGACCATTTCCCGCTTTTCTTTTGTAAATCAAAATCGTTTTGTTTCAATAATCAGACTAATTTTTGTGTTACCAATATTTGGCAATTTAAAAGCAACTCCATTTTATAACCTCAAGCAATGAAAATTGCTAAAATATTTCTGCTTCATTTTTTTTAGTTCAAAAGTAATCAATCTTCTTGTTAATATTTATACTCATTCTGTTATAAAACTCACCAACGCAATAAGCTTGCGAGCACCCATCCGTGGCTACCAAGTAATACACGTTGAATTCGTCATTGCAGTTCTTCACTTTTATGTTGTAAGTTTTGTAACAGCACGGGTCTTCGATTGTAAACAAATTATAAACACAAGCTATGGCGTCTATTTCTTGGTTTTTGGTCGGAAGGCTTCCTACAGAACAAAGATTATATTTTAAGACACATAAAGAGGTGGGGCACTAGGCCCCTGTCTGTTTTAGAATTTCATAATTATAGTATTTATTGCGTAAAATTATTCAGTGATAAAAGAAATTTCTTTCAAAGACCAATTTAACTGAATGCAAGAGCTAACACAAAATAGAGAGAACCAAAGAAGAAAGAAGATAAAAGCTAAATTTATCATACCATTCATCCAAATTGGCCATGTGGTTCCACAGTGGTTTGGCAACACACAATACGTCGGAATGTCGTTGCCAGCCGGACTGTCAAATCTATACCAGCCTTCATCCATGTACCGATCACAAATTGCAGCCTCTCCACTTTCCTTGGTGTAATTGACACTTCTCCTCCATTCGCCTTTTCGCAACACGTGATTGCTGGGATCACAGGGGTCAACTGTAGAAAATTATTCATATGTAACAGCGCCTTTAATTCATCAAAAAGAAAAAAAGGCCACACAACACTAGCTTAGATAAGTTTGTTGATTCTTGCATAACCGTTGCTTAAAATCCTACACTGTGACCAATTTACACATTTAATAAGAAAAAGAACAAGTTTCGAAATATCGATAAGTAGGCCAGCAATGAAAACAAAGAGCATGAAAATGTAATAATGACTTTAATATTATTTTCTCTACCTATATTAGATAGATAAGGCGCTCAACGTCATATTAGGTTAGGCCTATGCCCCTCTGATCAGAATCTCATTTTAAAGGCAAAAATATAGTTTTTTGCCAAAATAACAAATCAGGACTGAGCATTGATGTTTTCCTTTAAATAACCAGTACATCAGAACCTTTTCAACCATGACTAGTGAGATCGTTATTTCATTTTATAGTTATTTTATTTTCATTTCAGATAATCACCATTTAATCTTATTCCTTTATTTCTGTTTACGTATCATCATTCTCATGTTGTTGTTATCATGATTTTATCATTATTATTATTATTTGTAAATCACAACATAATGGTGACAATTATAATCCGTACACTAAAGAGGTCATTCAGTGTACAGCGTAACACGGGCGATTTCAAATCTTCACTCTCATTGGTTATTGAAAAACGGGACTCCCCCTTATGTGTTAACAAAACATGTATTCCAGTCAATATAAATGACGTCGAGGAGATATTGTGTTTGAACTTTGGTTTGACGTCGAAGTTTTACGCTTAGCGACTGCTATTGTATGAATTATATGACTCATTTGTGCATTGTCCTTTATAACTTTGGTCGACCTTCCTCATCATCAAGTATCTCAATCAGACACTTTTCTTCCCTATCTTTTTCAAAAAATTGAATACAGTCCTTTTAATTTATATCATTTTTAATTAATTCAGACACCCGTGCGAAGTGAACTTTAAGGGACGTTATTTAAACCAATAAATGACCCACCACTGAGAATAAAAGAAACAGGGGAGCACTAAACATATGCACGAGTGAAAGTGTCCGTGTAGTCTATCTAAAGGAAAATATAAATGACATGTACATACAATCATTCTATGATACAATCAATATATGTGCCCTTTCTGTATGAGCATATGCAGCCCTGCAAATTATAGCAAGTCGGGAGTGGTAGGTATAAAGCTTTCTACCTGGTATGTTTCTTTCTCTTCCCTTTTAGTTTATACATATCACCTTTTTGCAGATTTGAGTCAATTGAAAAAAGTTCGTCACTCGTTCAGTGCTTAGCAAAATCTTATTGATGGTATTCCGGAATGGAGAGCAATACTTACGTTCGCCAGCAATCGATTTACTCCAAGCCACCAACATCACACACACGGCAAAGTGTCTGTTCATCTTTTCCGACTTATTTCTTCGCTGACACCGTTATTTCTGAGCACTAACATGCTGCTAAAAATATACTTTTAGACAAGGAAGTTTTCCTGATTGCAAACACCTTAAAGAAATCGCTTTAGGGCTCAACATTCGATCGTGCATGCATTGTAAATACAGTTCATTGTTCATGTGCATTTATGGAAGGGGCCTTTGTTCAGGACCCATGACAAAATTTCCCACTGCAAAAAAACATTCGTACATTGTAAACAACTAACAAAGAGCCTACGCAAACATAAAAATAGGTAGTTGGACAGGTGAATAAAAGCGGACGTGGTGGGTATTTCACTGGAAATCAAGCACAAAAATACTTCGTGGAAAATTATAATAAAAACTTCCTCATTCCTCCCCCCCCCCCCCCACACACACACATACTCTCTCTCTCCAAATGGTAAACGGCAATTTTAAGCAACAAAAATATTTCTGCCTAAATGAACAATAAATAAATAATAAAATGGTTTTGAACAATATCTTATTACTTCTTTTCAAGGTAGCTTTTAAAACATACAAAAATATAGGTGATTAATTGCAACTTGCAAATATGAACGAGCATGTACTGACAAAAAGGCACAGTTTGACAGGTATATATACAAAATAACCCTATACTACAATACAATAACATTAGACTACAATAAAACCACATAGACATGGTATGTGAAACATTTCGTTCGCGCACAATTAATTTTCCCATTAAGGAATACTGACTGGATGCGGCACAATTCATTTGAGCTGTGACCTTTTCTCAAAGGTTTTCTGAATAACTGCGGCCATCGCACTGACAGAGAGTTGCCTTAACTGTACATATCATGAGAATTATGAATTTTTCTTTGTTACTACGAACATTACATAGTGGGTATGATTTCAAACAGTTCATCATAATGTGGGCACGCTACAGGGAATGAATTTCATGTTCTACTACTTGGAGATGGCACATTGTACACAGTCTGCTTGATCCCGTGCGCTTGAGTGTGTAATGTCGGTCAGTTTATACTGTATATTTGAAAGTTAAGTGAATTTGCCAGTGTACCCATTTATTTATACCATTTAAATCATCAAGGTAGATTTTATCTTTCTTTTTTTTTTTACTAGTTTTGATATGTCTCCTTATATATAAACATCACATGGGATACATGTATATACGAATAAAGTTATAGAAAATGCCTCAACTAGCACGCTAAGGGCTTGTGTACTTATAACACACGCATATGTGTACATCTTGCTAGTTCAATAAAGAGCCTAGTGCAAAATTATTTTTAATACTACATAAATACAAATAAGTGTCTTCAAAAAGATACTTCCAGCGTGTCCATTTTTCTTTTCAAATTTTTCTGAGTCCATTTTTTAAGAGATATTTTTTCTGCCAGAAACTTTTCTTTCAAGAACAAATGTAAAGAAATTTATATTTGTTGCTTCGGCTCTTTTAGATTTACAATATAGGTAAAATTTCATTACATATTTAATGAAATTATATAAATTATTCAAAACCAAATATACGTTTTGCATGTCAAATGATACCTCATTACTTATCTTTTTTCAAAGATAATTGTTCGAACTTTTCCTTTCCTTTTTATAAATTTCTTATTAAATTTAGTCTTGTATTGGCAATACAGTTAAAACTAAACTTAACAATGAAGTCTACCAAAAAAAAAACCCAGACACATTTGCAGTAAATGAAGACATCTTTAGAATTAATTCAACGATCACTTCGTAAATAACAGACTTGAAAATGTCCATAATACTTACATCGCATAGAAGTATCAATAACCTGAATTTCTAAGAATATAAAATATTCTATTTACATAAAGTAAGCCGGGTACGCTAATCATTTCAATTTCATCCTTAATGAAAATGTGATACATATTGAGAAGAAAAACATTTTCACAAAAGTCATTTTGAGTGTTTAGAACCAAAATGTTACATTTACATCGTCAAAAATACCACTAAAAATGGACTAAACTCTATTGCAATCTACTAAATCAGCTGGTATTTCGTCATATAGTGACTCCGTGTTATTTTGGTGTGTCCCCTGGAAAGTCTGACCAATGCCCATATAGCGACCACGTGGCATCGATGTCCTGAACCCCTGTTGTCCAGCTGCTGACATTTCTAAAAGACTTTCATAGTGATGCTCCCCTTGAACTTCCCCATTGACGACACTGTGTCGTTGGTTTTGAAGGGTTCTGAAGTAATCTGGAGGTTCCTCGTATCCTAAAGATGCTGCTGTCTGGCGACCATGTGGCTGAATTTGGAAGTCTGGCTCGTCGTAAAAAGTGACTCGTTGTTGATAGTCGTCGACTCCTCGGTTTTTATCAAGATGTTCATACTCATTTACAGGCTCGACACTGAAAAACAGAAAAGTTGGAGTGTATCGCTCTATTTAACTCTTTATTTATTAAACGCATTACTTGTGATTGTATGATTTGTACTTATGAAATAGAGCTCAAATGAGAAACAGAATATAAGAAACGGTAGAGAATCAATTCAAAAACTCTTAGATCGCTTTAAACCTAATAAAGAGCACACCGATAGCCAGTTAAATGTAACTTTTACCTTTTCTTTTTGACATCTATCCGCCTGCGAAGATAACATATAATAAGAACAACACCAACTAAGGGGATAGCCACTCCAATGACAATGCCGATGACAAACCGCGTGTTCACCGTTGTTTCCTCGATGTCAGGTCCCAGAGAAGTCTTAGATGTAGAGACAGGTGATGAAGTGGTTGGAAGAGAGTTAGAGGAAGTAGATAAAGTTCCGGATTGGGTTGAAGAGGCGGTAGATGATATTGTATGATGAGAGGTAGGGGTAGTTGAAAGGTAGTTTAAAGTTGCAGGAAGAGATGTAGAGGTCGTGGTTGAAGTTGTAGAATGAGAAAAAGATGTAGTTGGTGAAGTTATAGGAGAGGGTTTAGAGGTGCTATGTATAGTTGTAGGGCCAGTTATAGAGGTGGTAGGTGAAGTTGTAGAGTGAAATGTAGAGGTGGTAGGTGAAGTTGTAGGATAAGATGTAGAAGTGGTAGGTGAAGTTATAGGATGAGATGAAGAGGTGATAGGTGAAGTTGTAGGAAGAGATTTAGAGATGGTAGGGGAAGTTGTAGAGTGAGATGTAGAGGTGGTAGATAAAGTTGTAGGATGAGATGTGATGGTAGTAGGTAAAGTTGTAGGATGAGATGTGATGGTAGTAGGTAAAGTTGTAGGATGAGATGTGATGGTAGTAGGTAAAGTTGTAGGATGAGTTGTGATGGTAGTAGGTAAAGTTGTAGGATGAGTTGTGATGGTAGTAGGTAAAGTTGTAGGATGAGATGTGATGGTAGTAGGTAAAGTTGTAGGGTGAGATGTGATGGTAGTAGATAAAGTTGTAGGATGAGATGTGGAGGCGGTAGGTGAATTTGTAGGGTGGGATGCAGAAGCGGTAGGGGAATTTGCTGGTGTTGCAGATCGAGATGTAGAGGAAAATGAAGTCGTATGCTGAGAGATGGAAGTGCTAGATGTTGATATAATAGGTGAAGTTGTCTGTAGGTCAGAAGAGCTATTAGCGGTTGTTATCGCTGGAGAAGAAGATGAAGATATTGAGTCGCAGTCAGGAGTAAATTTTCCGGTTTGTCCAGAGCAGGGCACCTCAGTACCTAAAGACAAATAAATATTAGTGTTATGTAGGGACAAAACAAGGAAAACTGATTTTAACATAAAGGTGAAAGGTAAACCACTTCATTGATTTTACTGTATTTCTTTTAAAAGTATAACGGTTAATATACATGTGCCAATGGGACAACTTTTTACCAATCAAGTTGCGGCCTTCCTAGCAAGCATATTATGAAGATAGGGGAGACCGGGGCTAGCTGGACCCCGGGGTAAGTTGACCCCCCATCAAGTCTCTTTAATAAAGTTACTTTAAGATGCTAAATTATTTCATTTGGACTCACTGCCGACGCTTTCTTAGCACTATTGGATACGGTCACTTTACAAAATGATGTGATCAATTCTTTTACCCCATAGTTACTTTGTCATAAATTGATGGGGGGCCAACTGGTCCAATTAGCCCCGGTCTCCCCTACTTTTCTAAATCAACAAAAGAAATTATTAAATCCCGTTTTATAAGAATTCTGTTTGCATCATTTAGCCTGTACTCACCAACACAGTAAGCTTGCGAGCACCCATCCGTGGCTACCAAGTAATACACGTTGAATTCGTCATTGCAGTTCTTCACTTTTATGTTGTAAGTTTTATAACAGCACGGATCTTCGATTGTAAACAAATTATAAACACAAGCTATGGCGTCTATTTCTTGGTTTTTGGTCGGAAGGTTTCCTACAGAACAAAATGTTTTGAAAATGGTATTATAAACACAAGTTTGGGTGTGATTAAATCATTTGTACGTTAGCAGGGGTACTGGAAAGAAGACAGTTAAACCTTTATCTTCTCAAACAACGGCAATTAAAAGAGGAAATGTAATGTAGGAAGAAAAGTCTTTTTAAACGTATGGGACTTTTAACGAGTTTAAAAAAAATTGTTTCGCTTCCCTCTCTGATAACAAATAAGCGGTCTTGTAACCTGTTTCAGAAAAGCTTAGGTCCATGACTTTAAGTGAAAAATGTCAACAAATATAAACAGTGTAAACAGTCACGTTTCTAACAGAAATTATAAGAGGTTCAGATACATGCATCATATTATTTTGATTTGGAAATGAAATATTGAGTTGATATTTTCAAACAAATTGCGGATGCAGTGTGGATTTGAATACCTTTCATCCAAATTGGCCATGTCGTTCCACAGTGGTTTGGCGGCACACAAGAAGTGGGAATGTCGTTGCCAGCCGTACTGTTAAATCTATACCAGCCGTCATCTATGTACCGATCACAAATTGCGGCCTCTTCACTTGCCTTGGTGTGGTTGACACTTCTCCTCCATTCTCCGTTACGAACTTTATGATTTTGCGGATCACACGGGTCGGCTACAATAAACGGTATGCAGAATAATACGTCACCACTTCCATCCTAAATACGTTATGATATATATATATATATATATAGATAAAAGTACGTGGCGATTTCTTTACCTGCAAACATATAGCAAATTTAAGCAATAAGTAAACGAATCGTTTATAGATTTTATCTGATATTTCGATTGCAAAGAATTCATTTGTGCTTTCTTTACACCTTTCCAGTACCGGTCACAATAACCATCCGCAGCCTTTCCCCTGCGCAAAGCGATTTTAAGTTAAGAACTCACAATTATCAGTGCAACTCGAATCTATTCTTGATGTTCATGCAGCTACCAAAGCTTGACAAAAGACGAAAAATATTGAAAGTATTATGGATAACTAGGCACGTAGCCAGGAAGTTCGGGAGAAGGTACGCTTTCTCAGCTAGGTCAGGTGGTATTTATTTTAACGTTAACTAGGGGATTCTACTTGTAAAAGCAATTATTACAATCAATGATCCCGGGTTAAATGATCGGTTTCTCGGTACCTTTCGGAACAAGCTTCGTCCCTTGACAACATAAACGTACATTGTGTCCAGGTACCCTCTGATATCAGGGGCCCACTAAAATATTATACAAAATCACAAAATGGGCTTTCAACATTTTTGTAATAGACTAGGTCCTACTGCCAAGTCAAAGACTTCATAATTATGGTAGGGAATCAAACATGGAAGCTCTAACGTTAAAAGCTTAGACATTTCACGATACTCAAAAATCTGGGACACAGAAGACGGACTTGTCAGGTTCATATCCACAAGGTGAACAACAGGTAAAACTCAGCTCCTTTTTGTATAGCTTCTTCATTTAACAAATCGTCCACGCGCTCATCGTAAAGTACAAACTATTAATTGCGAACACTACTTACTGTTAACTGGAAGTACACTTGCCACCGTGATCCCAAAAATGGCTAGCCATGCGACCATGGTGTAGAAAGAACGCACAAGGTAACCCGGAAGATGAAAATGTTAATATAATACCAGCTATTCGGTGTAAAACTGTTGTGATCGTGATCCATTGTTGTCAGAGTTTATTTTTGCACAAACCGTCTTCTTGGTTGAATAGAGATGAATGCTGCATAGGGGAAATTTTATGCCAGTCAGGTATACCCAGTGTCTAGTGAGGGTGAGAAAAAATCAGAAAGAGAAAGAGGTTTTCATTTAATAAAATAACACAACTTATATCGTTTTTTACTTTTGATATACGAATTCAAATATATGAGTCTATAATGATTTTCCTTTAGATGCCATCTCCGCGAATCTAATTTTGTTTGAAAGATTTCCGTTCACTAACACAACCGAATTGCCAGTGTGAATATTTGTGAGGAGTTAGGGGGAGTCGCTGTACTAAGCCCGATTCCACTATACAATCTTAAATAATTTTTGGAAGTATGCCTAAAATATCTTAAGTCATTTGATTCTGTATGCAGGGGCGAATCAAGGATTATTTGAGGGGAGGGGGGGACGGTCAGCGGATGTGAAGCCGACCCCCACTCCCCTTGGCGTGGGGTTCGGGGCCAGGGGAAGAGCCCCGAAATTTTTTCATATTTGAGAGGGCGAACGGTGCCATTTGGTATGGTTTAGAACTATTCTAATTTCAAGAGTTGGCTAGTGGTGTATTTTTTTTTCTGAAATCGACCCCCTGACACTCCGCCACTGTATATAAATTTAAACCACGGCTAGCAAGTAGAACAAAAGACTCAGCCGTGCTGTATTCGACATACAAGCACGTCATGTACGAGTGCGTTCCACTACTAGTGTAGTAGAAGCCAATCAGAGGCCGTGGTTTAAGCCAGATACAACACTCGTCGCCGAGCTGTACGTGAAAATTACTCGTGTATTGTCTCGCCTGCGGCTCGCCAATACACTCGTAATATTTCACGTACAGCTCGGCGGCTCGTATTGTATCTATCACATATTTGTTGTGGGTACGCAGACACGTGGTATGTTTCTGCGTGAACTGTTCAGTACGGTCTGAGTAGTGTTAATATCATGTGACTGGTCACTCGAGTNCCCCCCCCCCCCCCCGCCCCTATTCATAGAGAAATTAGTTTTGATCTTAGTTCAAGCTTTTGAGTGTTTTGTTTCATATTAAACTGTTTCAATTTTTTAGTTCGGATCCTGGTTCTAAAGGACAACAGAAGATAAAGCAAGATGGAGTTTTCTTTAAAAAAAAAAAAAACTATACTCAAGAACTGATCATTATAATTACTATTTTATTATTTTTTTAAGACGATTTTCGTTTTATAGATATTTGATTTCGTTGTTTTGTTCAAAGTTTGTTCTGATATAATAATAATAATAATAATAATAATAATAATAATAATAATAATAATAATAGCAAGAATATATGGTATTCAATTTTCACCAATGACTGTCTTTATTGTAATACGTTCAACCGGAAATAAAGCACACGGAACGAAACGAGCGCTTCCGCCCCTAACACTGTGTCTGTGTTTATACTAAAAATATTTTATGTTCGTTTGAGTGTAACGAATTAGAACATAATATGATATTTTGTTGGTGTACTTCATATATTCAGTAAATTTTAGTCTAGCCATCTTGTAATCATGTATAGCTTATATCTTCGTTTTCAGTGCTTTTGAAGTTGCATGACTGGTCCATCTTGTGACATATTGAAAATGCCTGGTTTCAAGAATCCAGCTCGGTTGTACTATTGAAGTGGTGAGATAAATCTTTTTGTATTCCAAATGAAAAACTTAAACGTTGTGTTTTTGCTTTGCTCAGTAATTGAGATAACGTGACGAGAGTTTAAATTAACAGAGCATCTCATAAAGGTGGGGCTTTATGAAATTATGAAACTGGCTTTTCGCGTAACTTGGGCTTCTTTCTCATCTAGGGGTATAATTTGGCGATACAACCTGTACTAGTACACGTTGACAAGCCCTAACAGGTTTTTTTTTTAACTCTCTTTCTGCGCCTTCTCTGTTAAACGTATTACCAGAAAGACTTAAATTGTTCCAAAGTATTATATGGATGCAATGACATGTATCATTCGACTAGAATTTCACTGATTGTCAATTTGCACTTCCCCCCAACGACTTCTCCGCTTTTTACTGATTCTGTTTGTGTACCAAGATTGATGATTAGGTTGATCGATGAACGAAATGACAAAAAAAAAAAAAAAGAAGTATATTCTGTGTTCACTTACTATCATACAGAGTGATATTGAGGGTGGAAATTCAGTTGACATTTTTACTTTCATTAGGCCAAAGCCAGTCGACAAATCTCTAAGATTGCCTCATCTTTTTGGTAAATTATCTGCCAAAGCAAACAAATGCCTGCACCTCGTAAGCAAATGCTTTTTTTAACTGAAAGAAAAAAATGGAGGCAAATGTTCCAAGGTAACTGTTAGCAAACATCCTTGGTTGATTTTATTCAAATTAACGTGGAAATCACAGTTTTTTTTGTTGTTGTTGTTTACGTTACGACAAAGCAAGACGCTGAAATGTTCGAATACGACAGAATTATGTTCATTATCAAAAAAATCTTTCTATAACATTAGGCGTACAATTTAACACATTATTCTTAAATCGAAAATGTAATTTATATATATATATACCACATTACATATGTCTTTTAAGGCAGACTATTAAATACATTTGCATAATCGTTTCATCAGGTACGTGCAATGTGTCTGAACTATTGCGGCACATCTAACACATTTCAACGCACTGTCACAATTCTGTCCATTTTCAATAATGGCAAGAACAGAATCAACATCTTCCAAAACAGAATTGACGTTTGATTTTTCCACCACCTGGTTATTAGCAGAAATTAAAGTATGGACGACGGTCCAGGTATATGTGAATTGTGGAAAACCCGTTAAATGCCCCCGAGGTCAAACAAGTTGGAACCGGCTTCATGAAGAACTGAAATTGTGAAGAAATAGCAAGATGTAAAGTTTTAACTGCTAATATAAACATGTATATTTATAATATTACGAAAAATAGTCCTGATTAAGAAATTGATAATAAATCACTCTTTATAAAAATCACTATTCAAGAATTTTTTAAGTGTGCTATGCTACCTTATACAAAATATTTTCCACCACAAGTGAACAAAAATTTTCATCAAAAATAATTTACTAATTTTGTATTAAATATCAGGATCTGACCTTTCTGACATTTGACCTTTCTGACCTTGTATTGATGGAGGTTAACGTATAATTTTATTGGGTGTGGCTAGATCTGACAGCCACCTTCAACACATCACATATTAAAAAATCCTGTCGTTTACCTCTAAATTGGTATTGGACGGGTGTTCGTATCGGGAGGATGAGAAGTGCACGTAAAAGGCCCAACCAAACGAATTCAGTTTTCCGTTGTTGTACATGGCGAAGACAGGATAAAATTCTTTACAGTCCATATCTCTGCGTACATTATACCAGTAGTGTTTACCTGGAGAGGAAAATATATTGGTCTAATGCCTTCTATTATCTGTTTTTCTACAATGTGACCATGCAGTATGTAAGAAGATTGGATGTTTTTTCAAGAGTAGTGTTTAAGTTGATCGAATCTTAAAATCACGGCCAATAATAACTAATCAGAGGTTGGTTCTTTGATAATAGCGTGTTCACAAATAAATGGAAGCTGATATAAGCCATATTTACCCATGCCCCAAAAGCATTGTCCTTCTGTCCACTGTGTCCCCGCCATGTCGGACTGGAGCATGGGGATGGTCATCAAGTCAGTGCGAGGGTTTGAGCCGCTTTGGATGTGAAGTGCGGTCCCTGTCCCCTCCTCCTGAAACTGCTGCGCTGTGCGTCCTGTGGTACATATGGTTGCTAGGGAAATATGCATATTTATTGTAATCAAGCAAGGGGTGTCCTTATTTGGTCATACTCAAGACAAAATGGAAAAACAGCACTGGGGAGTGACGTTTTTGATAGAATCAATGTGAACAAACATTATGAAGCCCATGTGAAAACATAAATAAATAAATGAAAGATTGGCTTTGGGTGACGAATATCTTTTGAATTGGAATTATTTGTCAAATTAAAATTTCAAATACACTTTTGGTGGGATCTACACCTTTTTTTTACCTCAAAAACTATCTTTCAATAGGTCTCAAATGTAACTTCTATCTCTTAACAAATATACTTCCAGCTTAAAAGACCCAAAAATCCAGTAAACATCTGAAAAATTGGTCTTATATAAGTTTCACAAGTTTCTTGAATTCATCCCCAATGCGTTTATTGTCTGGTTTATTGTAAGTGTCAGGGATAGTCTTAGTATGTTAGGATAATACTTACAAGGGTCTTGGACGAAATAAGCAGTTATAACCATAGCGCCATCTTCTTCGATGAAAAACTTTCTGATTTTGGCGTCAGGGTATTCATCTGTCTTTGGAATCTTAAAAGAAATGCCATTCACTGTAAAAGTTACAGCAATTGTTTTTTGAAAGAGGACTGTTTTTGCAGGTCATTCTTACAGAAATGCTCTCCGCTATCCATATATCCAAAGTTGAAACAAATGCTAGAGTAAATGAGAGACACAAAAAAATGGGTTTATCCAGGAGGTCGATTACCTAATTTTATTGCGGATCCTTACCTTTGTCTGGATCCCTGCGATGTAGCCTTGTTTATCAAAGAGAAGCATGGTAGAAACATCACCATCTAGGATATACCGGTTCCCAAAATAAGGGTTATTTCCTACAGAATAAATTGATATTTTCATTTTTTAAATATCAGTGCACGGATTATCGATTTCGTTTCAATTGAACGCCCATTTATTATTATTATTATTATTCACTTTGTAAAAATCTATTTGAATATGAATTGAGATCCATTTTTGCTCACCACTACATGGCTTGTCCAGTATCCAACCGCTACTTATAGCGTCCTCTGCCTTCCTTGGTAATCGACTGAAGCTCCCAAAGGTAACTGATGACAATGAGAGAGAAAAATATATTCCAAATATATATATATATATATATATATATATATATATATATCTTTTTAGTCCCTTAACTATGGACAATGTTATTATATAGGCATTGACTACCTAATAACAGCTTTGAGCACACCCATTCCGTTCGCATAAAGATCGCAAAGGTGGTATCGAAAGAGTTGTTGGAGCTGAATAATGTATGGATAGGAGATTGGTGGTCGCCAAATGCAGTACAGTTGTTTTTCTGAGAGAGAGACTAAACCGCCGGAACTAGGTCATTTTAAAAGGCAATTCACACTCACCGGAAAGGTCTCTCCATTCTGGTTGTGGGTCTGAAAAATAAACATTCATTGACCGTTGTAATGTCAGATATGCAACTTTCAGGTAAATTGTATAATCATTTTTAATTTTGCATCCCCCTTTCAGGATTTGTGACAAGTTTTACATAGTTATTACAAATAAAACGTGAAATAATAGTTTTAGTGAGATGAAAAAATATATTTGTAAGCTTTGAAGTATGCAATAGACCTGCAAAAAGAGCGTTTCGAGTGTACAAAATATGGCACACAGGTTTCCGTGATATTTTGGGAAATTAACATGTTTACCTCCATAACACCTCTATTCCCCCGTTACTTTCTCTTCATCTCAGTGTGTCTAATCTAACTAAAGACAATTGTCACTGCACCTACACTAGATTAGTTACTTTCATGTCGTGCGGGGTAATTATCTTACCTATATCGTAAAGTTTTGACAAGCTGACAACTGATAAAGTCTGGTTATTTCGTGAGAGAGTCAACTAAACGGAGTCCTCGAGCTCTGACCAGGTTAATTTTGATTTGTCCAAACAGTTGGAAACGAACATATGAAAGGGAGCCAAACTGCCCGTAGTAAAATTACTTGTTAAGACATCTCAAACTGTTGCGATACGATACAGACAAATATTCCGCGCGTTGTGAGAAAGGCCATATCTGCGTATTCCTGAGGCCAACCGGTAAGTGGCAAGAAAAATTGTCATGAAGGGAAAAAAATACAACGGAATGACCCTATAATTCTAACTGTAATCTATAAATGCAAAATATGTTATTACACTTACATGTATCAAACCATCCTGCCGAACTTGAAGCGAGTACGGAAACAACCACTATGACGATCTTTTCCATCATATGTCTTCTGTGTTATGATGTCCGTGTGTTTTTCTGATGCGTGAACTGATTATTTATAGGGCCCAGGCATTTGAGGGAATCAGGTGATGCGAGTTGGAGTTTGATCACTGCGTAGCAGCCAAAATAAACAGGAGTCCGGGAGGTTGTGCGGTTTTGGAGTGCAAAAATTATCTCAAGGTTATAGGAATCAGGAGACAACAAATGAAGTAGATTGTTGTGCTGTTAGGTTGTTAACGTAATCACATTAGAGAGGGAGTGGTAGAGGAGGAGGAGACGCCTACTAAGTGTGTGTGGGAAAGGGGGGAGAAGGAGAGGGGGAGAGTGAAAAGCTAAAAATTCTTTGAAATGGCATATTGCCCTACCCAAATACAGGCAGTTGTCGATTCGGGGGAGGGGGGCGAAGGGATAATGGCAGATCAATTTTGAACCGTACCCCCTCGACATTTTCCTCCCTTTTTTATCCAGGTTGCCTGGATAAAAAACTTTGACATTTGTTAGTCATACATGCTGATTGGGTAACTATTTATGTTTCCTTAGTACGCATGCACTCATTTGGTTTTAATGGTAACACATCTGTAACCGGTCAATTGTGTGGCATAAAAGGACAAGGGTACCTCTTTTAAGGGGTCCTTCAGGACCCGAGAAAGCCACTTTGAATTCACGAATGTCTGAAACGTTCATTTTTTTTAGAGTGATCCGTGAAGCACTCTATTCCCGTGCGGATTTTTATTCTTCGCCCCTCGTGAAACGAAGTTATAATACCCGGTGATTCGTGTTTTTCAGGATTTTCGATTTGCATTTTTAGTGAGATATGAATAAAATTTTATGAACTGTTGTGACCACTACTGCCCAATGGGACCCTCTCTTTTAAGTGTGTGTGTGTGTGTGTGTGTGTGTGTATGTGTGTTTTGTTTGAAGGTGGGGGTCTTGGGGTTTGCCAAACTGTAGAATAAACAGTAGAATAACAGCTTGTTTTTATTCCCATGTTTTTGAAAACGCATAAATTTTTCAAAATCCTCTCGTTTTCCACCAATGTAACCTCTAAGTCACGGAAGTGTGTCTTGGCTGAGAACAACCCATTTTTTCGTTGGGAATGAGCTGTTCTCGTTTTCGGTTCAAACTGAACTAAAATTGCTGATATCATCATGTTTATTTTTCTAAAAACAGATTGGAATTTCCTCAGTACAAGTTCGCGTGCACTTATTTTGGACCCACTGCCATTTTAGTCAGCAGCATTTCAGGAACAAAGTTCGCACGGCCTTCAGTTTTTTTTTCTAAGTATGGATGACCAGTTTGTGGGGATGAATTCAAGCTAGCGAGAGGTTCACATAATAAAAGACCCGTTTTTATGTGCTCACATCCAATTTACTAAGCATTTACAACAGTTAGAATAACACATTTCCTCTACTTTCCATACTCATTCTTTCTCTCTAAAAAGGCAATGATTCAGATACAGTATCTAGGTCACTGATATACCAAATCACACCATCTAAACTATACCGTTATATATATATATATATATATATATATATATATATATATATATATATATATATATATATATATGTCTATCTAGCATCATATTCATTCATTCTTTTTTGCTACTATAGGAGCTTGAATCAAATACATTTATAGAGGTACATTACATCTTATATATTGAAAATTAAAATGCCTCTTATCTGTTGCTAAGGTCTAAGATATAAAATTAGATTAGAAACAAGTGCTTTGTCGCCTTCAAATTATCTTGTTCAGCATCAAATTATCTGTTCACACTTGATAAATGGTTGATACATTTTTTAATAAATAGGGTCTACTTAGTTAGAAGTTTGGCTCACAAATGCTCTTCTTGAATTAACCTTAGGCTTTCTTGTCTTAGTCGTATCACTATCAATATTTTTGTAAGCCCTTTCAATTATTGAAGCCAGACTTGAAAATGTGCGCTTACCGAAATCTTGCAGCCAGCTCTGAAGTCCAGGGCTTTTATTGGGCAATATTGAAATTTGAATTCTTTAAATATTTCACTGATAAACAAATAAATAAAATAATATTAAAAATATTAAAAATAATAAAGATATTATAATATTATAAGGCAGAATAGGTGGTGCACATTTCTAGAGGCAAAAACTCCGGATTTCGCTGCCCCACATCGCATTATCTTCGTAAAACAGAAATAGGTAAGCATAAATTTGTCAATTTTTTAGTCTTGTTCATGAATTGATGTGTCGTTGAATCCACTCTGAATACAGCGCCACGCGGGTATAAACACCAGGTTTCATAGGTCGACCACAGCCAATACCAAAACTGGTCACACCCTGGAGAATAAAGCGACCGTCCTCAAGACACACCAGAGGGCCGCCCGAGTCGCCCTAAAAAAGAGACAGGCCGGTTTGATAGCCTTGAAAACACTACTTTTTTACATTATGAATGGGTTGCAAACAAGGAAATGTTATAAGTGAATGAAAACACAAAATAAGACTATAATGAACGCAAACGCATTCGTGCTTTAGAAAGGTTTTTAAATGATGCATACGTATTGATCACAACTAGAATTCTCCAAATGACACGTTTATTATTATTTTTATTATCCTCATTTACCGAAGTACATTTATTTTGGAACGTGTGAGAATATCGACATCCATGTGCTTCTTTGTTGGGCCTGAAGGCACACTTCAAGGTATAGGGTAAATTCACAGGCGCCAAACGGAATTGATGTCGGTTTTGGTACTTTTCCATTAATGCCCAAAATCAATTTCAATCTATCCACTCACTTAAAACACGGTAACCAAACTCGCTTTCTAGAATTTTTCTATAAAAAAGATTGTTAATGGAAAATATTGTTTGCAGAATAGTGAGGAGTGCACATAAACGACGTAACAAACCAATGGATTTACTCACATTGCAAGCGTCTTTTCCGTCTTCTCCACCCGCACAGATCATTGTGTCTTTTATAAAACTGCCTATATAAGAGCGCAACCTGCACGTGGAACGAGCGACGACACTCAACACTACCTGCTGGAGCAAATCTGGGCGACTTCCTAAAATTGAATTAAAAAATCAATTTGTTTTTTTTTTTATTTCGTCATCAGCTTTCATTGGCGCTCACATGCACACATTAAAAAACACGGGCGCATATTTCAACGTTTGTACAAACAGCTTGAAAGAAACTATATATTTTTTTACAAACGTTTCTATATTTGTTTACCTGATTCTGAAGTCACTCCCCATCCAGTCGCCACACATTTCGTCCCTGCTGTCACATCCTTAGTTGGAATACAGACCGGTGTTATCTTATCACTGTGAGTCACCGGCTGACTGAGTCGTACCAAGGCGATATCGTTGATTAAAGTAGATTCATCAAAACCTGGGTGAGGAACCACTCTGGATACCGGGATATCTCTCTGAATGCTGCTGAAGGTTGTAAGGTCGTGCTCGCCCACACGCACTCTCCAGGAGCCAGGGTCTAGTCGGCTGTAAAACAGAGAAAACCAGAAATATGAAATATTTGAACACTATAGTATTTTTTTTTCTTTCCGCTTCGTTTTTCATATCTAAATGGAAAGTATCAGTTCCTCTCACAAACCCAAAGCAATTTTCTTTGGTATTCAATTCTTCGATATAATCTAAGAAAATAATGTACAACTCGCCAACTTGGGGAATTTTTCCCCCGCAAAACACTTTTCGATCTCTTAAACGATATTGATGTGTATGCACGTTTGTTTTAAATTTTATATTTATATAAGTACTCTCTTGTGCACGAATACTTTTGCACCAGTTTTGTATCAAAGATAAAGTTTTAATGCCCATCTTACCTGGCCACACAGTGCCCAGCCGTGACCACCCACTGGTTGCTGACCAGTGTCCCTCCGCATGGCGCCTGGTTTGAACTGGTCACTAGAAGTACCTGCCACGGCCAGCTGTTGGGTTCGGCCGTCGTGCCTCCGACTATCCTTTGCTGCTGTAGGACACTCGGGGAGACCTGACCTACACCGCAACCTGGTAGAATCGTAACGTTGGAATATTATATGGTGTGATAACAATGTTAAATAAGATGATTTCTTTTCAAAGGCGGATGCCTGGAGGGTGATATTTTTTTAGAATAAAATGGTGGAAAGACTGTCACACGGTACTAGAGCAACAGGATACAACAGATAAAAATTTCAGAAAAATGTTTCTAAAAAGAAGCAACACTATGTGGGCCTATGGAGTAACTACCCGGTAGAAAATTACAACTTAGACATTTGCCAACGAAACATTATAATAATAGTAACAAATTGTACATATCAGTATAATAATACCGCGAGGGAGGACAAGAAGTAGGATAAGTCTTCAGTATTTTTAGAAAAGGGGTGACCAAAAATGCTTTACAACTCGGCATAAAGGGAGGAATGTCGACTCCTTTATTATCTTTAAAACACACAAAAACCAGTGTGAATGAAGTTAAATTTCACATACTCGGACATGCCCCCACATTGCAGGTACTTGTCTCGGAGTTTCCCCCAGGGCAGGGTCTGCCGCCATGTTGTGGAGCAGGTCTGGAACAGGTTCTCTCCCGTGTTCTTTGTCCATTGCACTGCTGAGAACAAGTAGACCAAGATCCCCAAGGTGCCCATCCACCATTGACAGCTACAGCTGAAATTAAAAAGATGGTGCCTCAGTGATTTTCGTCTATCTGGTGCGTACGAATAAAACATTTGTATTTGTCCAAGAGTTTACACACAATTTAGAACAACAGGTAAACTGACTGCCCTGAATAAAATTAATAACTAGTTCAAGATATCTATATACCTTAGATTCTTTACCTGTATATATTTAGCATTTTAAACGCGATAAACTCTTAAATCACTTACTCTGACTGCAAGAGCCAAATTCCAGCGGCGATCCCGGGCAAGAGGCCCCTCCATACCTAGGTGGAGGGTTAGTGCAAGACCGTCTGCGATATCTTCTTCCTGCAGCTGAACACGCCGACCACGGCGACCAAGGAGTCCATCCGCCGTTCACTACGATATAAAGTATACCCCGACTTAAACAATGAATCCGTGTTTAAGTCGGGGTATACTTTATATCCCGACTTAAACATTGATTCCGTGTTCAAGTCGGGATATGAAGTATACCCCAACTTAAACACGGATTCAGTGACAAAAACATAGGCCTGATGGATAGCTATGTAAGTGTGATGAAAACAGTTTGAAATCTGCATAACAATGGGGATCCAATAAAGATAATTAGAAAACGTTGCCATTAGTGCTCTGAAACCAAGGGTGGGTAACTGTGGTTGCTCTTAATAATATTACTGTATAGTCTGTCAAATTTCGCTGCTGCCTTTGCTTTACTGGTTCTGCTTTTAGATTAAATGGCCTCTTTGACTCACACCATTAGATAATTCAAATCTATCAAAAGAGAGGGAGAGAGAGAGAAAAAAAGAGAAAGAGAGAGAGCTTTTCTTCAAGGTACCTGGACATTCTCTTATGTTACAGTCCCTTGTCTGTGCCAGCGACACTCCTGGACAGTTTCCAGTGCAACGTCTGCGTCGTGTCTGCATTCCTCTGCCACAGGTTGTAGAACAAACGGACCAACCTTCCCAATTTCCTATAACCCTACCTAGATTAAAACCACCGAGCGAAATCTGACAGTGTTAAAATGAATGTGTATTTTTTCAAAAAAGAAATATTGAGAGGAACAAGTAAGTGCAAGTGATGCCAAAAAAGCCGAAAAAGTTGGTACAATTCTTAAAGGAAAATTCGGTAGGTACTTCAACAAAATGAGATTATTGAAGTGACCGGGTTTTGCAGACCCTTACAGGGTACCTTCTTTAAATCAGGTAAAAATCGAGATCATACATTTTAATAATATAATATAATATAATATAATATAATATAATATAATATAATATAATATAATATAATATAATATAATATAATATCGGAAACTCACATGGATTGGTGTTACAAGATTGACTTTGTGTAGGACTTCCAGGACAATCTAAACCGCCATTCTTCGGGGGAGGGCTTGTACAAGATCGTCTGCGGACTCTGTTTCCGCCTCCACAAGTCCGTGAACACCTTGACCAAGTTGACCAGGCCGTCCATCCTCCATTCACTTTTTGTCATAGAGATATTTTTCTTTTAAAGTATGCACACTTATAGGCCTACCTAAATCGGCAGGCTTTTAAATATAATAATATTACTGTATAGTCTGTCAAATTTCGCTGTTGCCTTTGCTTTACTGGTTCTGCTTTTAGATTAAATGGCCTCTTTGACTCACACCATTAGATAATTCAAATCTATCAAGAGAGAGAGAGAGAGAGAGAGAGAGACAGAGAGAGAGCTTTTCTTCAAGGTATAGTACCTGAACATTCTCTAATGTTACAGTCCCTTGTCTGTGCCAGCGACACTCCTGAACAGTTTCCAGTACAACGTCTGCGTCGTGTCTCCATTCCTCTGCCACAGGTTGTAGAACAAACGGACCAACCTTCCCAATTTCCTATAACCCTACCTAAATTAAAACCACCGAGCGAAATATGACAGTGTTAAAATGAATGTGTAATTTTTTAAACAGAAATATTGAGAGGAACAATTAAATGCAAGTGATGCGAAAAAAAAAGCCGAAAAAGTTGATACAATTCATAAAGGAAAATTCAGTAGGTACTTTGACAAAATGAGATTATTGAAGTGACCGGGTTTTGCAGACCCTTACAGGGTACCTTCTTGAAATCATACATTTTAATATTATATTATATTATATTATATTATATTATATTATATTATATTATATTATATTATAATATAATATAATATAATATAATATAATATAATATAATATAATATAATATAATCAAGAGAGTGTTAACATAACATAACACAATATCGGAAACTCACATGGATTGGTGTTACAAGATTGACTTTGTGTAGGACTTCCAGGACAATCTAAACCGCCATTCTGCGGGGGAGGGCTTGTACAAGATCGTCTGCGGACTCTGTTTCCGCCTCCACAAGTCCGTGAACACCTTGACCAAGTTGACCAGGCGGTCCATCCTCCATTCACTCTTGGTCCTAGAGATATTTTTTCCTAAAGTATGCACACTTAGATGCCTACCTAATTCGACCGGTATTTAAATACGTTTGAAACACGCAAACTTCATCAGCTGTTGAAAAAACATCGAATTTTGAGGTCATGCACCATTGTTTATGAAAGGAAGTGGTGAAAACATGAAAGAAGCCTTTGGAACGGTATCTTAATTAAATCAAAAGGCGAAGTCGGCATTGGATGATACACAGGAAAATAAGCATCAAGAAAAAAGTACACTGAAAGACGCAAGATGTGGTCACAATGGGAAAGTTGAATAGCCTCCAAAACAACAGTCGGACACCAGAATGAATGGAACTACACAAACGACACAACGTAGTAGTAGTAGACTACACACTTATGAAGTAATTGAAGTTTACTTTATTACAGAAGTGGTTCAATTTTTCAATGTGACCGTACTTTGATGAAGAGTCTGTTAGGGGGAAAACATATACCTGAGCACTGGACAGTACATCGAACGAAGGCAATCGTTGGTGGTCGTCCTCCACCAACGCATTCATACCGCCTTACGCTAATACCTGGTACAGACAGAACCCCTGTGCTACAAGAGCTGAATGGATAACAACGACTTGTAGTAGTACGAATCGAAGAGCAAAACTGCGAAGAACCTGAAAAAACAATTGTTACTTCAGCATATCAGTTTTGATATTTGTACATTAAGTAGTTTTGTAACATTTCGTAATAACTGAATTTTAAATGATTTATCCCCCCCCCCCCCCCGCTAGAATCATCACTTATGCATATTTCCTTATCTCAATCAATAAATTTCTAAACGAATTAGAATGTGGCTTCTTGTGCCTTGTTGAGTAGATCCATAAATAGCGCCCCCCCCCCCCCCCCCCACCAAAAATATTAATACATACTAAAGGTTTTAACAAACGAAATGTAAAAAGAAATCTCTTTCTAAGCTTTTTTCTAAGAGTTGTAATGTCGTATAAATTGCTAAAGGATGGCGTTATCTTGTGGAAAATTCAGCATATCCCTTCCTGGGAGGCTCAGCGTTCGCCGTCATTTTGCTATCAGCAAACTTCACAAGTTCATTATTCATAAAAACGTCAACATTCACCTGTAGTGAGTCTCTTTTACTTTTAAGTTATCAGATTAGAATTTTACAACTGGATAAAAAGGAAAGTAATGGTATTTGACACACATCCGAAGATACTAAAAAAGATTGATAAAACTGCCTTGTACATTTAAAGATGCAAACACACATCAAAAATAATTCTTGGTTTTACCAGTTGACGCCTTAAATCAAGAACCGATTCATATTAGTTATCCAAAGTTGATCAAAAAGAAAAAAATAAAATAAAAAGAAATAAAGAGAGATGGCAAAGACTTTCGTTCGTAATTAAGAAATGCATTTAGATACAAATATAAGAATGTGACGTTTACGTAGAAAGAATCAACCAGAATCAAAATCCATTTATCCCCAAGTAGATTGCCACCTTACCCTTGAACTTTAGTACCAGTCTGTCTGCAGTCTCTTTACCTGCATTCGCTCCATCGTCTTTTGAAAGTATAAATCTGTAACTGGTCGATCACACTATACTTGCAGTGACAGTAAATGTGAACAAAACGAGAGATACCACGGCTTCTATGAATAATTACATCTTTACTCATATGAAGTTCTTACGGATGATGGTATACATCAGAATGAATACAAACACTACAGGTACTTACCTAAAGAGATTAGATTTATGAAAACAATCCACGCAAAAATGACACGGATTTTAATCGGCACATCCATGCTAACAATTTCAAAAAGACGTTCCCAAAATTGTTTGTAACAAGTCTTTAGTCTTTCCTACAGTCTTTTGACGGCAGTTTGACCAGTATGCATCTATTTAAGCCTTGAGAAAATGGATTTGATCTGAATTGCTAATTCACTTTCCTGCGGGGATTCTACATATGGCCCAGGGCGAGGTAAGAATCATGGCACGACAAATACCTACAAGCGAGAACAGCGTTTTGATATAATAAGTTGGGTGTGGAAGACCCAAGAACCCGCTGTTAATGTATTCCTTCAGATTTGCTCAAGGACGATTTGTAAATTCAACGAACTATGGAGACTTGTGTCTGGAAGGTCGACTAGCGTTAACTGCAAGGTACAATTTTCCTTAATACGAACATTAACCATTTGTGAATCTTGTCGTAATTTTCAGGTTATGTAGTTTTATCTTTAGTATTTGTTTATTTCAAGGCCCATTCTTGTACCAATCTGTGATCACCACAACTGCATTCAGGTGTCAAAGAAAAGACTTTCGATGGAGCTGCCTCTCTGTCAGCAAGAAGTTATACTCAAGGCATATGACCATAGAGATAGACACCGACTGAGAAAATTGGAAATATTTTACAGCTATTTGTCAACTCGATCTTGATTTTTTATAACCCATATTAGCAACATTATAATGAACGAGCCCTGTCACTCAGGGTAACAAAACTGTGAACCTGCTGGCATAGGGAGGTGTTGGACTACGTTTGTTAAATGGTTTGAATCATGTCTGTCATGACATCCTCGAAGCTATGCAGTCATCTCCCGTTTCACGAAACGATTCCATAATATCAAATAAACCGACTTTCACCTATTTTAGCTTTTGCCACAATATGGTTCACAGCCACTGTTGGGTACAAAAATGTTACGGAAGACTTAAGCATAGGTTTATATCGCATTTCAGTCAGGTAAACAACTCAATTTTTTTTATCTCCAGATAGAGATTTCATTGGTAATTCCAAGATTCAAAATGTTTTGTTTTTTTTTGTCGTATAACATGCCTTAATAAAAACACAAGGCCAAAATCCAAGGCAAAGCAATATTTTATTGAATATAAAAAGCCATTCTTTATTTCATCCAATAATAACATCTCATAATTGGTAGGAAAACCAAACAGTCTGAATTATACATACATGTATATATCTGAAATATAATGTGGACGTATCTATAAACACAAGCTTTGATGAAGCAAAAAGAACATGTCAATCTATGACAAATGTATAAAAAACCCATTTCAAATAATCCGTCCTTTGTAAAACCCAGCACTATGTATCACTACTAGCTTCTAAAGCAGTACAAGTAAGAAAAATGCAAGGCTAAAGACTTTAACAAATGTTGAACAAATCTAAGTTACTGAGGCAAAACATGAGCGTCACATCAAGTGCAGATCTTGTAATCATTTTAAACTGTCTATGATGCTTTAACATAATTAGACCAGAAAGTCATATTTCAACCTTTTTGAAATGTAGATTCATGATTGCATTTTGCTCTCCAAGTACAGGAAATTGCACAATCCTTAAAATGAATTAAAGATGACAAGAAGCAGAGCTATACAGTCAAGTCTTCTTTTCCATCAAATGTTATCTGCTGTTCGAGCATCTAAACAATCCGCTTGAAGTTTGTCTCCTTGTAACTGAGATTAGTCTGTTGCCAAGTGTGAAAAACTTTCTTGGTAAATATGTCATGTACGATAAACTTAATATAATGCACTAGGTGCCACACACTGAGATGTGTAGGGGTTTTGCAAGAAGCAAGCCCAGTGAATATCAAATAAACACAATAAGCTAGGGGCTTGCTGAATATTAGTTCTATGCTGCAAGATTGTATTACTTAACAGTCACTGGCCTAAAGTTACCAAATTTTATGTGAGTAATGTATCACTATTTGCAATAAAACAAACCCATGTTCTACCACTTTTGCGTATTCTGAACTTGCAGTTTTTTGAAGCAAATCAAAAGTTCAGCATTTTTTTCTTATTTGCAACTTAACAGTTAATGCAAGCTGAACTCCAGCAGTGTGTTATAACTAGAAGTGCTACCTCCATAATTGGCAGTGACGGCCAGGCGAGTGGCTTTCCCCCAGAACTTATCCATGTAGACCCCGCCTTCCCAGGTACCAGTCTGCTTGGGTTCCAACTGTTCCCACTCCTCGCCAACGACAACAGCCACCATTCTTGCCTTAGGGACTTCCAGTTTGAAAAACAGGTAATTATGCTGCACATTGGCACCAAGGCGCTGGCTGCTCAGTTTGCCATCCTGTGGCTCATACAGGTAACAGCCTTCTTTCCACTGGGCAAACTGACGTGGGTAGGGAGTGACTGGCACGCGGCTCACATTGTCACAGTTGATGAGATAGTTGTATACACCTGGCAAATTCTCACTGGGTTCCGTGAGAGACTGGGCATAGATCTGGAACTTGTAGACACCAGGATGTGGGAGTCGCAGGTTGAAGGTCAACGAGTTGTTCTGCTGCTGCTGCAGGATGTTGTCCGGGTGCTCATGGCCATTGGCGGTCTCGATGAGATTCGACGTGACGCGCATGGGTTGTGAGAGAGAGAACTCAACCTCCAGCTCACCGGTATGGTTAACAATGAGAGGATCCTTGTGTGAAATGGTATTCATTTTGAGATTAGTGTACCCTGGCTGGGGCCCTAGGTAGGCTGCAGGGAGCTGTGGATAGCGGACACCAGATACTTTACTTTCGTTACATACCACGAAGTACTGGCACATGTGGAAAAGGGTCTTCCCATCCTTGGCTGGTTCATTGGCAAAGATCTCCAATCCGTATTCGCCTTGCTGTGGCACCGAAATACTAAATATGGCAGTATCATTCACAACACGATGCATAACAGTTCCATCCAGGTCCTTCTCATCAAAGTCATTACTTTTCATCTTAGCCATGAACAACAATGGTTTTTCCAACTTGAATCTGATTTCTGCCTGTCCGTTTGTGGTTCCAACTGTAGCTGCCATCTGATTGGTAACAACTCCGTACTTCTTTGCTGCTCCATGACTAAGGCCCCAGGTTGGTGCTGAGCATGGTGGGAAGGGAGTTGGATCTATGGGTGTGCTAAGACAAACAATTTGGTACTCGCAAACAGCACTGTACATCTTCTCTGCATCCTCACCTCCAACTTCCTTGGCATAGATGACAAACTTGTAGGATCCTTGGTCTGGGACTCGGATTTTAAATGAGGCAAAACGATCCCCTGTTTCTTGCAGGATAAACCTGGATAATTTTGTGTCCCTTATTTCTTCGCGTCCATCCTCAAAAGCCAGACTGCAGTGGAATTCTAATCCAGGACCTCTATACAGGGAGAAACCCACCTGTACAGCCACCTCATCATCTGTGTAGATAACTGCATTCTTGTGGCTTAACAAGTCCAGGCCATATTTAAAGAACAGTGACTTAACAGGTGGAAGATTTTCAAATTCCTCTAATGTGTATTGCCTCTCTAGCAGTTGCCAGTTTGGATCATCAGGGAAGTGAGTGTATATAAGCTGGCGTTGATCGATCATAAAATAATATTCATCAAGTCCATATCTGACATTTTCAGCTCCCTTCTTGCCGATCATCCTTCTGGCAGCCCAGTGGCAATCTACTAAGCGCCAGTGGCCATCAATGAGCACAGCATTCCAGGAGTGGTGAGCCGTGTCCCCAGTGAATTTCATGCCAGGTTTGTAGTCTGCTCCCTTTGCATAACCGCTGATCACTTTGCAGTGCAGACCAGCATAACTGAAATATGACCAGAAAACAGTGAAAAGGATGGAAACATAGGATACAAACAGGAGATCAGGAAAAACAAACTCCCACCTTAACAAACTGTTGAAAAACAGTTTGCTAATCTGTTACATTTTTTGACAAATAATCCCAACCTAAACCAGTGAAATCTTTGAATAGTATTCAAAATCAGACAGCAAATACACAAATAGTACTATAATCATTTTCATTCATATTTCTTTCTCACTTAGGGATACATTATCATACACTTTTTCTCCAGCATCTAATAACTTCATAGTTTTTTTAAAAAGCCAACGCCTGTTTCTCCTAGGTTCTTACCTGCAGAGAGTCTCATATATGACAGCATATGTGGCCTTTCCTTCCTTCAATCCCATCAAGATCTCTTCAGGGGTGTCTGGAGCCACGTGCTCAAAGTGCATTTTACTCAGGTCTTTGGTACATAACCACAGGAAAATAGCTCTGTAATGTAAAGTGAAGGTAATGATCAAATCAATAAATAATATATACTGATGAAGATATGTTTAAATTCTTTGGTGTGTGTGTGTGTGTGTGTGTGTGTGTGTGTGTGTGAGAAAAAAACTTTACTATACACAAAAGTATGTGTAAAAGTGCATACAACAGAAATTTAATTAAATTTTAATACACTATTGTTTAAATAAAAGGGTTACAGTTTTCTTCAAAATATTACTGTGAATCAAAAACTCCTTGTTCAAAACTAATGGGGACTAAAAATTGGTAAAGGTTTAAAGATGAATTGTAGAAATTTCAAAAATTAGCCAAAACATTGTGAATTACCACAATTTCAAGTCAAAAACTTTTTAAACCTAAGTTCCTTTTACCTAGCTTTGTTCAAGTCATCTGTGATGCCTTTGGAGTAAATCAGTGCCCATACCATGTCTCTGAAACTCTTGTGTTCTTTTTGTGAAACCTAAAAACAAAATTGCTACCCTGTATATTAAGTATTTAACACTCAAAATGTTTTCCCTGTCTCCAAAACATGTCTGGTTATTTGAGCTTCTAGGTAATTTGAAATCAAATTGCCTGGAAATTTAACCAAAGGGAACAATTTATTGTCTCTACACAACATAACAATGATAATAACATTATTGAGAAGAATTATGTCAACTTAAGGACTGTTACTAATACTACTGAAAATGATGTACCAAGAACTGAAACACTCTAAAACAAAGCCATTAAATGGTCTGCCTACCTCCATGGCATGCCTGTCAATGGTCTTGAAAGCCATTGTCCTGTCTGTGAACACCTCTTCCTTCAGGGGTGTTGGAGGAGGTGCGGGACTGGGGGGCTTCACACGAGTCTCAATACGGACTGGCTGGAAGGATGCGGGGGCCACTGGCTGGCCAATACCTGGAATCAAAACCAAATACAGTATTGAAGAGACCTTATCTTCAGTGTGGTATATACTTTTCAGAGCTGAAAGCTATTAAAGCATTAGCACAGGTTACAGACTGTTTAATTTTGAAAGATAACTACAAGATCTGAAATTAAAGAAAACATCTTTGGTCAGGTTTTCCACAGGCACGCACGCATGCACACACGCACACACACATATTATTAATTCCTTGTATATATAACAGTGAAGAATTTGGACATTCTGAATCTAAATATCTTATATATTTTTTGATATGATGCGTACTGTACATTATGCTTAAGAATGCTACAACATGGCAACAGAAAAAAAATTTATAGAATCATAGTTCATATGGACAACCAAGAATTAACTGAAAAATTAAAAAGTTGTCTACAACAAATATAAAGCAAGACTTATTAATGAATTAAAAGAAAGTTAACATGCAAAACCTGGAACTTTCAAAACAAAGTTTAATGACTTTGGAATAAAACTATGACAGAGCATCCATTGTAGCTTGTAATTGCAGGATAAGAAGGTATGCAACTTTCATGTTTGTGGTGAATGAAACCAAAGCTAAAGCAATGCAAAAAAACTGTCGAAAGAAATGTTCAATATTTGGCAACTACCAGCCATTGCACCACCACTGCATCCTGGGAAGGGACCAGAATTGCTGGGGTTACTCAACAACCATATACCTTCATGAAACTCCTTGAAACAAACAAGAAATGCTTTAGCATCCAAAAGAAGGAACTGATAAACCTGCTGCCTAAACAGACATTTAATAATAGGAAATTCAAGTTAGAGACTAACCAAATCAATCAAAAGTGCAGAAAGAAATGCAAAATAAAGACAATCCAATGGGTGGTGGTGCTTTTCTACACGCCATGCCACCAAACCTGGACTTGGCGTCCTATCTCCTAAAGGAACTTGAAAGCGGATTTCAATAGGAGAGTATCTCTGAGGGGAAACTGGTGGCTGAGTGGAGAGTGACTCTGGTCTCCTTGGTGGCCCTTGGCCATCTAAGATATAGTGGTGAAAGATATAGAAACAATCAAGAAGAATATAAGGTGCAAGTGAAAACAATTCTATTTAATAGTGTCTGAGATTGATGTGTGCAGGAAAGGACTTGAACCTTGTCCAACCTCCAAAAGATTCAAACAGACAGAGAGGTTACTACAATACACACAATGGCTGCAGAGAATTAGGAAAAGGCAACAATTCCCTAAAATACAACATACCTTCTGGTGTCTTAAACTCGTGCAAAACGGTGACATTGTATGCATCTTTCTTAGGTGATCCTTTAGAGTCGCTTCTCTCTGGGGGTGGTGGTGGCGGGAAGTCAGACTTCCACTGCTGGTACCCTGTCACAGGAGGTGACTTCTTGCCATCTGGTGTCTCACCAAGTTTGCCCTGTTGTCTGGGAACATTTGGTGAGAACTCCTTGACATATTCTATCTTGACTGGTGTTCCTTTGGGAGCAGGTGCTGGCTGGGCCTGGACGCCCCTCTGTGTCTCTCCAGTGACAAACTCAATTTTGACAGGGTGGCGTTGTCCATCAGCCCCAATAACATACTGTTGTTGGCCTGGTGTTGTCACAGTGACATCCTGCACCTTGCCATATTCTGCTGGCAGCGGGGGAGGTGGTGGGGGCAATTCCTCATCTCCCCTGATGACAAATGCCTCAGGTGGTGGTGGTGGGAAATCTTCAGTACCAGGCTTACCCTTAGTAGGCTTTGGCAAGGTTTGGGGCGCCTTCCTTTTCTCAGCTTGGATCTGAATGTAAAGGGTAATTTCATTAAACACAAATGTTTGACAACATTGAAAAAATTATACTATTTTGGATTTACCTATCAACACTAAAATTCATTCTTTAGAAACAGATCAAATGTTTTAGCTTAGGAATGGAAGAAAAGAGTCAAAATATTTTTTAACGTAAAAAATACTGACCTGCTCTTCATTAGCTGCTCTCTGGGCAGCCAATTCTTCCTGGCTCTTAGACAGGGTGACTTTCTCTGTCATCTCATCTCCTCTCATTGGTCTGCCAGCACTATCAGGGCGGTAGCGGTCAGTGAAGACAGTAGTAGTGGTCGTGGTGGTAGTAATTGGACGACCATAGCTATCATACTGCTCTGGTGCTCTACGCTGATCATAACCCGCAGGTCCTCTTCCTGCAGAGTCACCTGCATATTGGTCTCTCTGGTACTGTACAATGCCAGGACCAGCTCTGCCAGCCTGCTTGTCTGAATAGCCATACTGCTCTGGTGTGCCAGCGCCATAGTATTCAGTCTTGGATGTGGGGCTCCTGAAAGAGTCTTCATACCTGCTGAACTCTTCCTGAGTGAGGTGACTGCGTCCAACCACTTCTTTATTTAGTTGATCATTTAGGCCTGGCAGTGGGACACCATCTTGTTGAGGGTCATATCGCCTTCCTTTCATGTTGGCAGGCATGGTAGCATAGCCTTCTCTGACGTCCTGTCCAGACTGGCTCTTGCGTGGCATAGAACCATAACCCTCACGGACCTCTGTGTGGCTTCCTCTTGGCAGAGACTGATATCCCTCCTTGTATTTCACATCAGCACCTCTGGCTGGTGACTGCCTGTAGCCCTTCTTCAGAGTCAGGGTGCCGTAGTTCTGTTGATCTGAGCTGTCTGCTGAGTACTCTACAACATACTGGCAAATATGGGTATAGGTGCTGTCATCCTTCTCTGGGTCATTGGCATAAATTTCCAGGGCATATTCACCCTTCTGTGGCAGCTCCAAATTAAACGTGGATTGGTTTTCTGTCTCATGGTGTTGGATATACTCATCCAACTGACCCTCATCTTCACCATTCTTCTGCAGCTTGGCAAGCAGTCTCACTGGACGGGTCTTGGCAAAGCGCAGCTCAGCTCTGCCATTGATGGCTTGAATAACCCCCTCCTTGTGGCTTGGTCTCAGCCCCAGGGATCGCACAGGTGCTCCAGGACCCCAGTTGGTGTCAGAGGTCTGAGGATAGGGTGTGCTGTCATCTGCAGGGCGGTCACAGATGACCTTGTACTCACAGGCAGCATTGAAGACATTCTCCACATTGATCTCATTGGAAACCTTCTGGGCATAGATAGTGAGATAGTAAGACCCCTCCAATGGTGCCCGCAGATAGTGGTTTACCTGATTCTCCAGAGTTTCTTGAAGAACATACCGATTCAGCTTAATACCCTGATAAACCTCCTTGTTGTTCTCCCCAAAGACCAGCTTGTAGGTGAAAGCTGTGGGACTCCTGAAACCAAGAGTGAGAGTGAGCTTGCCACGCTCGGTGAGAATGGTACCAGTGTTGTGGCTCCAGAACTGCATCCCACACTTGAAGAAGTGAGACTTGGCCAGGGGCAGGTCTTCAAACTCTGGCAGGCTGAGAGGACGGGGAAGGAGTTGCCATGGCTGCTCCTCAGGCCAGTGGCTGTAGATGAGTTGCTCAGGGTTGGTAAGGAAGTAAAAATCATCATACTCGTAGACCAGGTTCTCTGGGGAGTTCTTCTCTGACTGCAGGTACCTGGAGGTACAAAATAATACACGTCACATCAAGGGAATTAATAAGTATTCATAACCCTACTAATATCTTTGATGCCGTACATGTACATTTTTTGTAATCCAAGTACTGAACTTTGAGAATCCGATTTGGTACACATACTAAATAATATCCAACCAGAAACACATTTATCATCATTATTCATTTTATATCATCAGCAGTCATAAATCAATCTTTATAACTAGGGCATGCAGTTACTTATAGCTACAGAGAGGGAACATAATTATCTTGGAAAAAAACATATTCAACTATGTTTTTCCCCAAGGTCACATTTATCATACTTCCACGTGAACAAGGTAATGTGTTACAGCCCACTCTATCTATATCTATATTATCGAAAACTTACCTTGTAGCCCAGTGACTGTCCACCAGCTGCCAGGAGCCGTCCACATACACTGCATTCCAGCTGTGGTTGTATGGGCCACCAGCAAACTTCACCCCAGGACGATAGTCTACACCCTTGGCAAACCCAGTTAGTGTCACACAGTGAATGCCAGAATAACTGAAATGTAAAATATATAACATAAAGACTGAACAGACCTAATACATCTAGATATATATATATATTGCCTGATGTTTCAGATGAGATTGGTGTCCCCTTCTTTGTAAACCCTGTCGTTGTACATAACTAAGTGAATGTCAAAATATACATGAAAAGAGTGAAATCATACTGCTTACATCTCCAAATGTTTGTAGATGGTTATGAAAATCCTTACAAGGCTCTCACTCAGATTATCATGCTCAGTGAACCTTTTTCCAAAGCTTTTTGTCAAAAAATGTTGATTAAAGTGAAATTTGCTGGTAGAGAACATCGACTGAGGACCTCTCAAGTAGGAATTATCCAACAGTTCAATAGATAGGGCAACCTTGTATTGAAATTATAGATTTATCTTTCTCTTGGATATTGAATTTGTTATCACTTCAGACTGCATGTCTGGGCAAATAACTTAATTATGTAGACTTGGAGCTCAGATAAAATACTGTACATTAAATAATACGTCTTTGTTGTATTTACCAATTCCCAACCTATTCTTTGGTCCTGTTTAATGTGTGTACAGTAAATATAGCACTTCTGATATAATACTTCCTGCATTGAAACATCAACAAATCTTCCAGTAATTTCAATGTACACTACATTTTTAGCCATGCCTTCACATAGGTAATTGGAGATTCTGATTCAACCATGCGGGCTTGCTTCTATGCAGATTAAAGCATGTTCTACATATGTGTCATAACCATGCCGTAAAAACACATCTGCTCAGTATATTCATATAGCTACAGGTGAAGGCAATACTCAGTAAATGTATATAGCTTCCCATCAGTAATGCTGCATAATAGCACTGAAAAGTAAGAAGTTCACCCAAAGGTCTGGGTTATACTGTTTACCCATGGCATTAATGTGCAATTATTCTACCTATATAGGCATGGTGTGCCAACAGGTCTATTTATCCTGTTGGTACTTTAATCAGACACCACGTATTTCCATTTATTTCACCATAAAAAGAGATGGGAATGGTTTTTGAAAGTCATTTTCAATATCCATAGAAGATTATCACAGTACAATATCAATGCAGAGGCGATCCATTTGATGAAACAGATAATAAAGATGCACTAAAATTAAATGATGGTAGAAATATCCTATAAAAATGGCAGTGCTTTCAATTATACTGGTGATAATTTTTTTCTTTTTTTTTTTTGGGGGGGGGGGCACTTGACAATTTACAGAATAAATTTAGGCAGTTATACAAAATGCAGTTATACAGTTATGGGCAATGCAGAGACAAACATAAGCCTGGAAACTTTGAAAAAACAATTTTAAATAAATATACTTGAACAGCAGATATGGAAGTGTGTATTTAGGAATTCAATTATTCCAGTGATATAAAATTTTGGAAAAAAAAAAAACTCTTTAATCTTACAATAGAAGGTCAGATTCAAACACTGTATTAATATAGTAAAGAACATAAGTCAAGATTGGTGAAACTTGAAAATCTATACACAAACTCTTCAGACATCTACCTAATGACATATATTAATTAGCAAATATCTTAATTCAATTACTTGTGCCCTATCTCATATTGCTGTATTTTAATTCTTCTGCCAAATTTGAACTGCACACAATCAATACTGTTAATGCAAGTTACATGTAAAGTTGGTACTCGATGCATTATAGCAAGAAAACTATTCACATCTATGTTTGTTCATCAGTGTAATCTGGTACAACAACATTAACGAAGGCAAATAATAATTTGTTGTTTTTCCCCTAAATCTGGGTAATACTTCAGGCTGAATGTATAGACCAAGAAGCTTAATGATGCATCAAGGTACAATATGCAAGAACAGGTGCTTGTCTAGAAGTTAGCTAATGGCAGAATTCAGAAATAAGTCTATAGCTGTTTGCCATAAGGTTGGTTACAAGTAAGATGGGAATTTAACATGGGAATACAATATTGCTAAAGGTGGTTGCTGAATCACATCACATCTCGTGATTGGAAAATGATTACTTTCACAGTAGTGCTGGCAAGTTGTGACTCAGAGTTTTGACCTTGAATTTTACTAGCTGCACCGGGGCTTTGAAAAAAACTTGCTTTTCTATTTTCAGTTACAAATTAATGTGAAGTTTGGGTTCTGTCGACTTGCACTGACCTGAGTTTCATGGGCAAATCTAATCATGGTCATTTCACAATAAGTTAGTAGCTCATCACATTGCTTATGCAAAAATCAATCAGCTGCTGTCCATTTTTGTTGCACACATATGGATCAAATTGGTCCTGAACTTTAACGGTGCAAAGTTAATACAATAATACTTACAGGCACAATGTCTCAAAGATGCGTGCATAGGTGCTCTTCTTGCTTCTGAAGCCACAAACTATCTCCTCTGGTGAATTCTTGGGCTCCTTGTCAAACTGGACTGTGTGCAGGTTCTTGGAGGTCATCCATCGAAATATGGCCCTGCACAAATAAAATGAGAAAAAACTCTTTTAAAAGATCACTGAGTGCATAATATAAGTATTTCTAAAATAAATGTGGGTTGAAATCCCTACATAATAAAGAGCACATTTCATAAAATAATTCATGGTATTCAGTGCAGCACACACCACAAGTTTTTTAAAAGGTGCAAATACAGATTGACATATAAAATCAGTCCATCTTGACAGTCAAAAAAAGTTGCTGAATTCTCAAGAATTTTATAGTATCTTGTTAAAGGCTAACAATGAATGCCTAGTTACAGGCAGACAGACACAGGTGAAAGATTCTTTAAAACCACTACAGTCTCTCTAATATTTTGAGGCACCACAATGGAATGACTAAGAACAGAGTACAAGCACAAGAAAAACTGAGTGTGAATCTAACCTCTAGTTAACATTAAGTAAACATGATTAACTGAGATGTTCATCTGCTTACACAACGGTTTCAAGTCAGAACAAACTGCTTCCCACTTTTATCACTTGGACTACATTCCAGCAGGTAAACTACCTGTGATCAACTTAATGCTTAGCTGATTTCATGGACAGAGCATGGGTGAAGAGCACTAAGAAAAAAGTCTTGGTGTGGAATAACTTTCTATGTGGTTATCACCAAACATATTGTTGTCCTTTTCAACCCAAGTATGTGAATCCAATCTGCAATTCCATTACTTTTATTGACCCCAAATATCTTGTCCATAATTGTTTACTTGTAAAACTGCCCCATTCTTAAGGAACATAAAACTTAGGAGGTTCTTATTCACAGAGGATTTATTCTAGCATGAGATATATTACAGAGGTTTCATTGGCAGTGTGTTTCAATTCACTTGGCACCTAATCTATACATACTTTCATCCATTTTATTCCATCAAGGCCTGAAACTGAAACAGTGAGAACGGGAATGCATGTGAAATTTTACCATTCTTTTGTAACTTTTAAACAAAATAACAAATCTCAAGAATACTCCTGCAAACTGTTCTACAAATTACTTAACAAAAGAATAATACGGTAATTTCTCTTCTCATTTCCATCAATTCTTTCAACAAAATTATTCCGTTGTCCTTTGAGTAGCAATAATACATCCATTTTCCATTATTTATTGTAAGCCGTGATTTAAAGATCCACCAAGAATCCAAGTTACTGTCGTGAGCTAAGTGGGTGTACATATTTTGTCATCAGTCAAAGCCACTTTTACGACTAGACTGACTTAAACCCCCACATTTTCAACCAAACTAACTTAACTACATTTACAACTACACTAACTGAAACCAAAAATATTCTCAGACATCATCAAGCACCAGACTGCATAAATGTGGGATTTCACAGCCTCATGTGGTAATATGTCCATCTGGGGCTGTAGTTAGAGTTTCTTCTGACATAAGGTCTGACTATGAATGCAACCAAAGTGCCTATCAGAATTAGGGCATGAAATATTGTGGATAATCGTAAGACCTTAAGTACCCTAAGGAATCGTGGAACATAAAAAACATCATCAATAACACAGAAGTATTCCTTCAACTAACATCAGACAGGCGCCTCTGTCATTATTCAGACTTCAGAATAAGAAAAACATGCACTGAGGTATAAAAAGGAAGAACTACAGACAAATAAAACACAATAATAAGCATAGGAAGACAATGGAAAATAAGTATAAGAGAAGTATAAGAGATCTTTGTAGTTTAATCTGCCAAATAGATAATCTGATACCATGATGGGCTTTACATAATGTAACATTTAAGTCACAATAAATGAGGGTTGGTAGATAAATTTAGAAGAGAGATTGCCACATGTTCAAGATTTCATTGTTTGCTGTAGTTCAGGAAGCCCTTTACTTTATAGAAAAAAGGGAGCATAAAAGCGTTGCAAACTTCACATAAAAAATAAGAAAGAAAGAAAGGAGGTAAACAAGTATTACAAGTATTTCAGCATAAAGTTAAGTTCAACTTGCCCTAACTTTTGCTAAACTGAAAGCTATAAAAAAGCTACAGCAGCCACTAACATGTACACATACTAACAGCATCGGGTCTCTTCTCCAGCCGAGTTGTGTTGTGTATCCAAACATTCAATATCAGACAAAAATTGGCGACTGACCACAAAGTAGCTACTTCCTGAATGTACACACATATAGTCTAGGCAAAAATTGCAAGGCACTAATACATGTAATACAATGAGCCATTGCTCTAAAGCATAATTGCCACACTGCTTGGCCAATCTTCATCTTATGCTGCTGGAAGTTCTACTCTGGACACCAATTTGACCAGCTGTTTTGGTGTAAGCTATAACATGTCAGGTGTGTCTACTTACCTGACAGCTTCCAACTCTGACATCCTCTGGTTGAAGACAAGGTGCCATACCAAATCTTTGAAGTTCTTGTGATTTGTCTGGGACACCTGCAAGAAAAGACACAAACATAATTGATAAATATGTCTGGCAGGAGTTTCTCCATGAGCCATAAAATTACTATCATCTTAGCAGCTATATATAGGAGAGATGAAGAGGGGGATTGCTGCACAAACATCTGTTCTTTTAACTACAACAACCTGTTGGTCCTTTAAATATCCCTTTTAAGTAACTTTTTACTTTTGATCAAAGTAATTTTATCTTAAAAATGAACTATTGCAGGGAGCATCCTTATCTCCAACATCAAACTAAGAAGCAACAGAAGATGACATCGACTTTTCGCCAAAAGTTATTCTACCCTGATCTTATTATAGATTTATTAAAACTGTTGAAATGCACTTTTCTCCATTTCTCAAGGAATGTGTAAGCAAATGCTTTATGTTCGTGTCAGTTTGTACACTTTTCTATTTTCATTTAAAGAGCCAATATGCACTACATTTTATAAAATCCACAATATTTCAGGTATGATACTTCTTAAGGGGAAATTTGTGATCCAATCTTTCAGTCTTTTTTCTTTTTAACTACATCACATGGTAAATTCATTATTGTGTTGCCTCCTGTGGTCATACTCAAACACAGTGAAGCCCCTCATTCATGCATGCAAAACGAGATGAGGTAAACAGACCATGTAATCAAAAACAGATATTCATACAATTGACAATGAGCCATAAAATTACTATCATAATATTTGTGTTATGAATAAGGAAAGTCAAACACATGGAGGATACCCACATTTTTAGTCATATTGTGACAGCCGAACTTAACAGAAGGAAGAAAATCTAATCCTGTTTTTGTCCTGCCATAAAGATGGTGGGCAGGGCAGTAAGCTGTAACTATGAAAATCACACCAGGGTTATTGTGATATTGACCTTTTTAATCCCAACTTGCAACAAGGAACATGTCGCAGAAGTGGCCACAATTCCATAGCTTTGACAAAACCACAAGAAATTAGGTGTTATATAAAAGTACGGGTTATGGGAGCTTCCCATCTTTCACTGGTGATAACTTTCCTTCTCACAGGTAATTTATGACTGGTCTTTTTACCTTTGAAGTGTAAAGCCTTTGAAGGTCAGTATAGCCAGTAGCATTCTGCTGATAGTCATTGAGCAAGCCTTACTTGACCAAAAAGAATTCATATAAGATAAATACTTGTCTTTGCTATTTTCATAGCGATTACTTCATGATTGGTATTTTCTATATTGAGTTATATTCAGAATAAAGGATCAAAGATGCAAAATGAATATATATATATATATATATATATATATATATATATATATATATATATATATATATATATATATATATATATATATAAATGTAAGAAAAGCTAATGATTTGGGGAAAATATTAAACCATAAAAACCATTTCTTGTAGATGCATTGATAAACTCCTTCAGCATCATTTTTAAATCTTGGACACTCCCAAAAAGTACAGCTGCAGACTGGGTTCTATTTATGAGGTCAGTGAAGTATCTCTGAAATATCATGTGCACATAGTGTGGAGAGTAGAAATATATCCAACAATGCTAATGATTTTGAAGAAAAAAATGACAGAAAATCAACAACAAGAATAATGAGGTTTCTTGTAGATACACTGATAAAGTCATAAAATATCAGTTTCAAATCTTGTTCTCTCCCAAAGAATATAGCTGCAGAATTGTTTCAATTTATAAAGTCAGTGTAGCATTGCTGATGTATTGTATATATGCAGCATGGATGGTACAAACATCTCCAAAACGCTTATAATTCTGAAGAAAAAAATGACAGAAAATCAACAACAATTAGAATCATGAGGTTTCTTGTAGATAAACTGATAAAGCCACCAAATATCATTTTCAAATCTAGGACACTCCCAAAGAATATAGCTGCAGACTTGTTCCAATTTACGAAGTCAGTGTAGCACTGTTGAAATATTATGTGCAAATAGTATGGAGGGTAGAAATATCTCCACACAGCTGTGGGGATGCAAAACATATTTCTTTCATACTGCAACAGAAAAAGGCCAAGGACTTTGATCAAATTGTAACACAAATAGAGGCTGGTGTAAAATTAAGTATTTACTGAATTATAAAAGGGGTGTTATGGGCTGGCATATGAAAAAATGCAGCATTTAAAGCTCAATAGAACTGTAACCATCCTTATTGAAAAAAGTTAATAAAGCAAAATAGATAAATGTCAAACCAACCATTTCGGTAAATCTTTAATTTGAAGTCAAGAATACTTTTAATGGCACAAGACAAAATATAACTATACAACTCTAATTTCCCTTTTACATAAAAGTACCTCCTTCTGTCAAAACTGGCAAATGAAATTTTCATTTTGAGATACATTTAAACTGCAAGTACAGCCACTTTTCAAAACCAGCTAGTGTTTAGGACCCCCTTAAATATAAGATTAGTGCTGGCGAGAGGAGATCTATAGTCAATATAATTCCAAGATACCTTGGAAACAAAGCTCTGGGGATAATTTATTGGACTAAACATCTGTGGTTCAAGCTAAATGGCCCCTGAATGTTGAATTTTACAAGCCTAAGAAATAAGAAGAGGAGAAAATGACAGAACTAAGTAGTTTGGACAGGGAATATATATGATCACTGCACAGTGCTTAGATTGTCATCAACCATGAACTTAAGGTTAGAGTTGTGGGGGTGGGGCAATAGTTCTAGATCTAAGCATACCAGTATTTGAGTTAGGTTCTTTTCTTATGTGGGTCCTTGGATCTAGAACTTTTTAGCTTGGCAAAATTATGGCTAACAAGCAAAGGTATCTCAAATAAATGACATATAAGTGTAACAAGAATGTGGTTTAACTACTCATAGTATTAAATTTAAAAATTACAATGATTTGGAAGACTACCTCCATTTATTAAAAGATAACAATGAATAGGGTTACAGGAAAGGGATGAAAGCTGCTTTTATTGTCTAAGCCCGCAGGTTATTTAGGTTTTAGTGAACCAAATATGAACAAGAATAAGATATTTATAAAGCACTGTGCACAGGAAAAAAATAAAATATAAGGGGGAAGACATATTCAGGTGTTATGGGTCATGTCATCCAGTTTTGAGACTACTTCGATGTTATAAGACCATATCACCAACAGAACTTTTAGGACTTTTTGACTTCAGACTATATATCAGTATCCACTTAAAATGTGTGGAGATAGTGACCTGTATTAAAATTCACATCTGTCACAGTTAGCCACTGAGACTGACAACAACATGATCTATGCTGATGACCACCACTAGAGCATACTTTCATCAGTATATAAATACACACACATGGGTCAAAATACTTCATTGTCATTCCAAGCACATCAACCAAAACTTTATGATGCATTGAGTTTATGAGCCTTCAACAATCGTTTATCAATGAAATCCGACTACATGACAGGAATTGTGCACAAAACAACTTGGCAACAAGGCTACATCTGGCTTCTGAAATGTACATATACAGGAATTGTGAGAATATCTACGTTTACGCAAATGTTATGTTACTTAAAATGGAGCAATTTCCTTTGACTCTTTACACACATTTATCTTGTAAAACCATGCCTGGCTTTGGAACCTTAATGCACATGATTGTTATGTATATATTATGTGTGACAAAATTGCAATGTAACAGCTAGCCCATCCCATCCTTCTATCTCTTCCACACACACACATATACTGTGTGTAACTTACCCTAATAGCGTGTTCATCTATTTCATGAAACTCTGCCACATCCTGGTATTTTTGTCCTTTCAGCCATCGTGGTGGGAAAGGACGCGGCCGGTCTTTGGGGTTAACTGGAGCAAGTTTAAAATCAGATGGAGCACTCATCTTGGTTCTCCTATTGTCTCAGCTTTTTGTTTCTGTAAATAATCAAAACATGAAGCAATAGGATTATTTAGAATGTAGGTTATCAATGAATCAAAAAAAGGTGTTTCATTTGCTGTAACTTAAAAATGTGTGTTTAAAAGGATAACTTTCTTTTAAAATAACCCAATTTTTCAAAGAATGTACTGCAAAGAAGATCCATTCAACATTTCATAGGTAATTCTTCCACAGTATATATATTCAAATGTCTTCAACAAATTGTAGTTGACTACTGCTGGCTAATAAATATTCTATGTCTAAATGTTTTGCACATAAGCCTGACTATAATTACCCAATATTTGTTAAGTATCAAAATACTAGACTGATAAAACATAAAACATTAAGGCATTTAAAATTTCCAACTGCAATCTAAATACACGTAATTAATGCCCATACTAAAATTGTGGACACATATATCTAAAAATAATAATTCAAACAAGCTAAGTAGTATTTATGTGTGCAAAATGCCACGAATTCACAAAGTAGATTAAGTGCCTTATCCTAATGAACCAACCAACTTCATCAAGCCCACTTTTCTTCACATTATGAGAACAGATTTGAGTGTAAATGACTTTATCAGATTAGGGTTGACAGAGCACATTAGGCTGCAAGTATTCCATCATCAGGAATATACTGTAGGTTGCATATCAGCTTCTTATACAATTCAACCTCAAGATAATCACAGACTTTCAACACTATGTATGCCAATCCCATTTAGGACTAACCATGATCAGTCAAAAATGAAATATTCATAACATTATGGAGAATGCAATCACTTTTGCTATTTACATTTTAAATATAGACTCCCCAAGGAAGAGAAGATAATTGTGTATCAAACGCCAAACCATAGACCATGAGACCTCAGTTGCAATAAAAAACAAATGTATACTACACCATGTGTGTAATGTACAGTACAGGCGTCTGACATGCATAGGATATGCAGAGCAGGTGGGGAGACCAATACATGGAAACTTAGTCTGAATACTTAAAGAGCAAGAGTGTTCAATCGCCAATACCCTAGGGAGAGTTTCAACATCTTATTCACACCATTCAGACCTACTGATATGCTGTACATGTGTTTTCACCAGTTAAAATTACTATAATCATCTGTGCAATATCCCTGTTGGTATTCAAAACCTTGATAATACAACATGTAAAGAAGTCTTTTTCTTATCCTATACAAAAAAAAAAAAAAAAAAAAAAAAAAAAAAAAAAAAAAAAAAAAAAAAAAAAAAAAAAAAAAAAAAAA